TTCGCCCAAGAATTGATGGCGCTGAGTAGAGATGCGTGATTTCCGTACGCGTGCCCTCCGGAGGGAGGGCATCATCGCCAAATGTCGTCGGTCCCGTTGAATTCATTCTCTTGGACTCAACGTGTTGTGTCGGTTTAGGGGTGTTGCAGAGCGCGAACAGAGGTCGATACGTGTGTTCATGGGCCAATGACAGTCTGCGGCGAGGGCGCGCCCGGGCGCGCATTTATTTGGGCGCCCGGGCGCCCATGTATGCTTGAGGAACGAGGAACGAGTGACGAAAGGTTCTGCCTTGAGGAACGAAAGGATTTCTATGCCGCGCTTGCCCCGAATCCGCGCCTCTGATTCGCTAGCTTTCTCGGCTTCCGTTGGCTAAAAATTGCCTCTTTCGTCTTGAACGATTGCTTTTCGGTTGGCCTACAAGTTTGCCCCTGTTTTTTCCCCTCTTTGTGTCCTTTTTCATCCCGCTTCCTGTGGCCATATATGAAAGTCGTCGCCTCCCCTCTTTTTTTCTCGTCTTAGTCACTTTTTATTTACGTCAGCTGTTCCCACTGTTCCTGCTCCTGCTCAAATTGCGCCCGATTACCCGTTGATCTTGGTGTGGGTTACAGCAGCCCAACAAGTGTCTTCGCCACTTAGTTGGCCCAAAATCCGGCACAGCCCAAAAATCCGGCACAGCAGGGTCCTCATTTGGGGTGCAAAATCAAGGAAATTCTACGCTTCGCTTCATGGTGCCGTCAATGCGACTTCAAATATAAAATATACATGTGATCAATAGCTGCGGATCACCAAAGACGCAAGTAACAACGAAAAGTGAAAAATCACGTCTTTGGGCCTATTTAGGAGCTGCCGCCTTCCAGTCGAAGAGATAGGAAGACCGCGTTTGTGAGTCCAAATAGACGTATTATGTAGTAATTTCGCCTGTTGTGCGTCTCTGAGAGCTATTTTATCCATACCTGTGTTCCTGGAGCGTCTGCTGTATCTTGTTGGACGATCGTGCGCGGTCGAGGGCATGGTGTATCGACTACCGCTTCAACCGCTGCTAACGGCGGCGATGAGGGTATATTCTCTTGCGTGTCGAGTAAATTGTCCTCGTCTTCATCGTCGGCGCCATCCTCACTATGTTTGTCAAGATCGAGGCCTGTGAGACGGTATCGTCACTGCCGGGCAACGACGACATATCTGTAAGTGGGCGAGGTCGGCTGCGCGCGCCCTGACATCTCTGGCGGAGTTATTTCGTGGTATCATAGAAAAGGATTCTTGATGGCTCTTTGAGCTCCCGCATGAGGGTATCGCAACTTTGCTCCAGAGTGTAGAACTCAACGTCTCGTCCCGTAAACTCTAGCCAGGGCTTAAAGTTCAATGTCTTGACTCTGCCATTGACTAACTGCTTCTTCCCGACTTTATAGTCTTCCGATCTCTGCATCTCTCCACGAACTCGTTTAAGATGCATCCTTATCTCCTGGCGCGTTTGAAGCCGGGTTTGCTTTGCCTGGAGCTCCTCATACTCCCGGGTGATGTCGGCCATGCTGGAGCTCGTGATAAACTCTCCGCGCGGCCTGACAATCTTGCCTCTCTTCATTCGATTCGCATACGCCTGGGTTCGGCTATTCTTATCGCTGACTATGCCCTGGAATGTGACGCCATCGCGATAGACTCGGTGTTCACTTTCGCAAGAACCCGCAAGTTTTCTCGTGATGGCGAGCTCATGAGGGCCCATACCGTTGCCGGATATCATTGAGGGCATCCGCGGCGACTTGAAACGCGTCTCCGAGGGTAGGGCGAGGCGTATGCAGGATTGATCGGCTGCTGTTGTCGTAGCTGCTCGTGGAGGATCTTGGTGATCACCGGCGCTGGGTCGACAGGAAAGAGGCCTGTTTTTTCAAATGCCGCCATAATGTTATGCCGCGTGAAGCCAGCCTCATATACGTCCTGAAAAGCTGTGAGGAAGTTGACCCGCGAAAATGATATGTTGCCTTCTGCGAGCGACTTCCAAGCGCTTTCTGATGTGCTGACTTTAGTGGCTGGAATACCCCAACATCAAGCGGCTGCATGAGGTGGGTGGAATGTGGAGGAAAATAGCAATGATGATATCAAACTTGATACAATACTCAGCAAAGTCAAGGGTGGTATGCCCTGTAAAGCCATCCACAACAAGCAATCGGTAGATCTTCTCGTCGTCAGGCCGTTGGTTTGGCGGCGCCTCCACGCGACTCATCCCCATGTTGGGGCGCCGAAGATGCTCGTCACAGCCGAACCACTCTTCCAGCGAATTTCCTGACTGTTTTGCTTGCGCTGACGATGCCCAAGACCAGCAGTTGAAATGCCTTGCCCACTCAAGGTGTATCTCTGCGTTGGAAAAGCCAGTTGGCGACTGGGCAAACCGTACGCCTGTCATGATGTCGATGCCGGCCCAGTTGGTGGTAGGGTAATGTTGGAAAACAAGCCAGGGTGGAAGAGAGTCCCCCACTGCGTTAACTGAGGCAATTACCGTGCAGGATTCTCGGTTTGCTGGGTCTAAAACTCGGGGCCGGGTGCTCTTGACTCTAGTGGTGCGCGTGATGAGAACTTGGATGCGTTCTCGCAGGCACCCAATGCGTATTCCGGCCTCGTCTTCATTCCAGATCTCTGAACTGCCAATACGGTAGCTGGTGATGATTTCTCGAAGCTTTGAGTAGAAAAATTCGACTTCTTCTACCCGTGGGCTTCAAAGGACTTCCGGGCTCGTTCAACTGCTTTGAGATACGTCTTCGCGATCGCAGGATGACTTCCACGCCAATTGTCAATCCAACTTGACGAGACCGGGCGGGCATTGGGATCTCGACGCATTCTTGCATTTGCAACAGCTTCAAGTTGCTCTCGTGGCGGGCATGCCGGTGCGTTCCATCCACTGTACATACGCAACCAGGGCGTCGTCTTCGTCCTCCGTCAGCGCCAATGGACGCCCTGGAGCACGGGAAAAGGGGTTTCTTATGAAATTAATGGCTCTCTGTACGGATGAGCTCTTCACATTGTAACGGATGGCCGCATCTCGCACGGAAAGAGGCGTTCTTTTGGTGTTGTTGAGCGACGAACATCGGCTCTGGGGTCGCGACGAGACGCCAGAACGGCTTTGCTGCCTCCAGGGTAGCCATGTTATCTGTCATAATGTATTCCGGCAAAAGATACGTAAATAAAGTCAAGTTGCGCGAGAAAACGCGGTTGAGATGCATAGGGTTGACGTTTTGGAGGTGGGCTGCTGTGCCGGATTTTTGGCTGTGCCGGATTTTTTGGGCCAACTAAGTGGCGAAGACACTTAGTTGGGCTGCTGTGGCCCCACACCAAGATCAACGGGTAGCCAGACAATTGCACCGTTTCCCGCGTCTAACGTCCGATGTCATTTCATTCATATTTGTGCCTGTCGAAGGGTTCACTATTCCTACGCGTATTCGAAGTCGTCGCCGAGCCAGCGCAGCGCCTCCCGGACGGTTCTGTCACTCAGTTCCTCGAGCCTCGCTTGTGCGGCCGTCATCTCCCGGGGACCCGGTTTCACGAAGTCTCTCTCGCACCTCCGATATGAGCATGATGCCGTCTAGCGTCGGACACCGCGATAGCTGCACGTATAGGCTGTAAGGGTCGCACTGCGAGGACGGCACGTCCACCGACGTTTGTCGTCCTCGTCCTCGCAGCTCGAGCGCGACACGCTCGAGCGTCCCGCCCTGCACCTTATAATCGGTGCACGCGAAGGCCGCGGCGCACGGCAGGCCCTTGCGGGTGACCTCCTTCTGCTGCCACGGTCGCTTCCGGTGACACTGGATCCTGACGCTCATAGGCGTCAGCAGGATCGTGCCGGGCGGCATCCCGACGAAGTGGAAGTCCTTAGTCGTCTCCGACCCTAGTATGATCGCCGCCGGCGGCCGAAGTGGATCGCCATATCGGCCGAGATGCGATGCGCCGGGTGCACCTTGTCGACGATGACCTCGGCCGCCGTGTAGCTGGCGCCGTTCACCAGCTTCAGCCCCTGGTGGGTGTTGTGGTTCACGACGACCGGCATCCCGGCCACAAACATAAAGACGCCCGGCACTGGGGTCGCGCTGTCGTCGCCCTGGTTTAGCATCATGATGGCCTCTTCCTCGGTCGGCAGCCCCTCCTTCCACTTATGCTCGGAGATGAAGATGCGTATCGTCAAACGTCGTTGCATCTGGAATGCTAAGCTCGCCTCCATGTTGAGATTCCACCGGTTCCTATTTAGCGGCGTGACCACGGTGATGCCTGTCTCCCACGGGATTCGCCTGCCTTCCCGGTAGCATCTTGAGTTAAGGAGGTCTAGGTCGGTGTGATCCTGCACGCCCAGTCGGATCCGCTTTAGCAGCCTCTGCAGCTCCGGGTCGCCGGCGGCGCGCATCTGCTCGTCCAGCATGACGACAGTGGTGAACCGCTTCCACAGCGCGTGCGCCTTGTCGTGCTGGTGGCGCTGCTCGGCCCTGAACGAGTAGTCCTCGTCCCACGAGACGGCCGAGCTCGGCAGTAGGATCGACCTTTCCTGGACCGGGCGGAACTGGTGGAAGTCCCCGCAGAAGAGGACGATGGGGATCCCGCCGAAGTCCCGCTGCGACCCCCGCAGCTGGCAGAGCCGCTCGTTGACGGCGTGCAGCGTGCGCGCGCCGAGCATGCTTACCTCGTCGATGACGAGCACCTCCTTGTCCTGCCAGTCCATGCGGGACTCGCCGTCGACGAACCGCTCCGCCTGCCTCGGCAGCCGTACGCCGTCGACCTCCTCGCCGTGTTCGCGCCCGGCCCTTGGTCCTGGTGAAGCCGCAGGCGGAGTGGATGGTGATACCGTTGACCCGGGCCGCCGCGGTCCCCGACGTCGCCGTGATCAGCAGCCGGCTCGAGATGCCCTTAGCGGCAAAGAGGCCGACGAGTGCTTCGATGACGCGCGACTTGCCGGTACCGCCCTCGCCGCCGACGAACTGACAGAGCTGGCTGACGTCGCCCCCTCCGTCTCCTCGCCGCATCAAGTCAAGGTGGCGGCATATTATGGACAAGGCGATGGCCTGTTTCCTGTTTAGCGTCAAGCGTCTCGTCAATTTTCCGGCCTCGAGGAACGAGGTCGACGGGCCGAGGCGGACTTCCATGCCGGCCTCGGCGTTACCTGCCGTCTCCTCGGCTTCCGCCGCCGTTATCTGCACGCCTTCCTCGCCGAAGCCGGTCAGCACACTCCGCTCCGCCGCGCCACGATCGGTGCCGTGGGCCGTGGCCATGCTGTATACCCTGTATCATCTTCACCCTCTCCCTCGAGGCGCTCGTCTGCTGCGACTTGATGGCCTTGACCTGGTCCTGCGGCACCGCGGCCCCGGAAAAGACCCGCCCCGGCAAGTCGATGCGCCTCCGCCCCGTTCCCTGACGATGGAGGCCTCGAGCTCGGCGGTCGAGGCCAGCGCTGACTGCTGGAAGCGGCACAGCTGCTGTATCATACCCGAGCTCGCGCGATCCCGCCGTGATCTGGTTCGCCCCGGCCGCGCTTCGGACGACGTCGATTAGTCGCGTTGCCTTTCCGACGTTGTCGGCCTGGTACGCCGAGGCCGCGTCGTCGTCCCCCGGGTGTCGCCCCCTCCTCCCCTCCCCGCCTCGCCGAGAGCGCCGGCGCAATCCCCGGCGCCGCCCGAGGCCGCCCACTGCTTGGCGTCTCGCCTCGCGTCCTCGGCGGACCGCCGGAGCAGTTGAACGTTGTCGACGAGGCACGAGATTCTCGGCGGAAGCAGCTCGCGCCCGCCTCCATATCTCATTGATGTCCCCTTCTTCTTCGCCGAGAAAGGCTTCCCACGGCACAAATAGCGCAAGATGCTGGACGGCAGCCCTGCGACGGCACAATAAGTGTAAGTCAGCCAGCCCCCCCGCGGCGTCGCAACCCCCCCCCCTCTCTTCACTCGGCCACTTTGCCCGCCCGCACTTACCTGCGATGAGCCGATTCCTCGTCGTCCTGCTCGAAATCCTTGCTTAGGTAGCCGTCGAGGCAGACGACGGCGTACTTTCCCGGCCGCCTTAGCACCTGGACCCAGTCTTTACCGGCCACCCAGCCGCCCTCGAACGGCACCTCTCCCCAGCCGCCGGAGCAGCCGGCCTTGCCGACGCGTTGGAGCCTGACGAGCGAAACATAGTCGTATAGGCACAAGCCTCGTAGGACATGTCCGCGATGATGATAGGCCTCGGCGAAACTGATCCTCTCGCCTGCTTGTTCGACGACGACCGACTCGTCCGCGACGGACACGTCTTCGACCGCCGCGGTGCCGCTCTGCTGCCGAAGGTGTCGCCAGAGCCTCGAGACGTGCCAGTATAGCACCGACACGTTCAGGTACGCCCAGGCGCTGCTTCCGAGAACTCGCTCGGGTGTCCCAGCAGATGGGCGACGACCTCGACTTGCGACAGCGCCCGCTCCGTGAACACCCGATTCGCCACTCTCATGAGAAACTGCCGCGTCTTGTTTTTCCTTCCATCGCCGTCGCCGACGACGCCGCTACTTACGTCATCCCCGGCACCCGGCTGACTACCGGCCGACACGACGGGCAGCAGTTCGGCGGCGGCGGCGACGCGCTTCCACGTCGGGTCCTCCACCTTAGTCGCGTAATTGGTCACGTAGTAGACGAGCGCCATGGTCTTCCGCTGCGTCGCTATAAAGGAAATGTCGTGGTTGTGACGGAGCCCGACGGCGATGGCCTTGTTCCACCGGTTCACCATGGGATGTGTTCTGCGGATCCGCAGCACGCCGTCCGCTGACAGGGTCGTCTCCTCGACCCGCTCCACGGTGCCTTAAAGCGACAGAGGTCGGCGCCCTTCCGCCCCTTGCTGCCGAGGGAGTACTTGACGCATGTCGGGCTGTGGGTATGGATCTGGGTCGCGCCGGCGCAGAAGTTGGCTTCCTCCTCGAACGAGGCCGAGAACTGATCGGCCCTGTTCAGCAGGGACGAGATATCGGACGTCACCGAACGCTCTGCCTCGACGGCGCAGAACCCTTCCTGGTCCAGGTCCTAGTTTCCCGCGTCAGCCCGCGTCCTCTTCTCCCACGACTATTTCGTACGACGCCCCGCCGTTCCTTACCTCGCTGAAGACACTATCGACGTAGCGGACGATTCGCTCGCGGTATGCCGCTTGTTCCCGCCGTCTGAGTCGGCAAGCATCGAGCTGAGGTGGGCGTTTCCTCGAGCCAGAGCAGCCCGTGCACGTGGAGGGAGCCTCGCTCGTTCGTTTCACGGCGCCATAATACTGGCTGACGCGGCCGAAGACCGACTCCCCGGCATTGACGTAATGCTCGAAGAACAGCGTCATCTCGCGGTGGAAGAAGACGGCCGAGCTCATCGGGTCGGACACGGACAGCCGCACACGTTTGAACGCCTTATCGAGGCTTCGTAGGAACTCCTCGGCCTAGGGGCGCGCGCGGTACGCTGCTAGTCGGAGCTTTACCGGATTCGTGATGTCGTTTGGGTTGATCGTGAACCAGATGGCGGGCACGCCGTAACGGACGATGAGCGCCAGGATCCTATGCCGCATCCCGAGACGGACCTCCCTCGACATGGGCTGACGATACCCATACAGCGAAAGGCTCCTGAGCAGCTCCTTCACCGCATCATCGGTCGTCTTGCCTGTGCTCTCTAGCTCGGCCCTGGCCGCCGCCAATCCGTCCGCGGTTAGCGACCGTACGATGCGCTCCACCTTGCGGAAGTTCTTCCTCGTCACGCTTAGCATGCTGACGCGGCGGTTCCTCGACCGCACGCCTATATTAAAGACGAGGAAGGCGAAGATGTGGTGCGTCGCGAACCGGCCACCGTGGCGTCGTAACACCGTGTCGGCCCAGGTCCGAAGGCTCATGTTCCGAGACGACACGAGCTCTCGCGTCGCGGCCTCCCGCTCGCGTATGTCGGCGGTGCCTCTGCCTAGTTGTACGGCTGCTTCTTCGACCGGTCGCGGCCCTCCGACGCCAAATGGCAACAGCGTGGGAAAGGTCTTCGCGAAAAAGGAGGCTTCGAACGAGTCGGCGAAGTCATCGCCGCGGCGAACGCCTATATACGGTTCGGAACCATCGGCGTGCCCTGGCTGCCTTTGCCGAGGTTTCCACCCACGTCCTCGGACCCGCGCCGCCGTCGTCGCCCGCCCCTTCGCGGACGGCATCACATGCGAAGCGCAATTTATCCACGTCGGCGACGTCGGGCGGCCCGTCTAACGCAAACATTCCCGACGAGGTTACCTCGTTGATCGTCTCCGCATCGTGATTAGCCTCGTCGCCGCTCTGACCACGCGCCTCGTCTACCTCGATTGACTCTGGCTCGTCGTCCTCGAGAATCGTCGCGCTTCCTCCCCCTTGGTTGAGCAGAGACAGGACTTCTTCGATCTCTACCGCGCCCTCGTCGTCCATGGCCCGCTCCGTGGGCGGCACGATATGCGCCGTCCGCGTCTTCTCCCATGCCGACGGCTCGTTCCGCTCCAGGCGCCCGTACACCGACGGCGGCACCCGTGGGCCGACTCTCCCCAGCTCTCCATCTCAGCCGCGTCGATCTCGATCTCGGCATAGTGTGGGTTGTTTCTCTTCAGCCAAACAAGAGCCCTCTCGACAACGCGCCGCCTCACAGACAAGAGACTCGATAGGTCGCTCGGTGTCGGCTTTACCGCCTGCCACGAGATGTGGATCTCGTCCATCACCTGCAGGAGAGGGTGCGGCAGCACTTTCGTCACCAATTCTTGTACATTGTTCGGAAACACCGTGATGTGGCCCTTGACGTGCTTGGGGTACCTCAGCGTCTGCTTCTGGCCGCCCGGGACGCTATACCTCGTGACGAACCCGTAACACGAGTTTAGCGCAATCAGCTTCTCCTCCACTGGCGTGAGCCTTGAGCTCATCAGGAGCATATGCTCACAACCGAGGCGACAATGAAGTTGGGCCGCCGGCGACAGCACCCCACGCGCCAGCCCTCGATGACACTCCGCGCAGACCACGATAGACTCGCCCTCACGGAAGCAACTCCGACACGCGAACGGCGAGCCCTCACCCTTAGGGACGGGGCTCGACAGCCACCGATCCCACGGCATCTCCTTAAGCTCCGTCCTCGAACGCTTGCGGTAGCACAGCATACATGCCCGTATCGGCAAGGTGGCCGCATCGTGGAACGCCCGATAAAAACTTCGCACCGTCGATACCTTCCTCTCATGCGGCACTGGTGTGCACCAAGTCTGCTCCTTGGACAGCCTCTCTTGGCGGCAAATTCGTCTTCCAGGTAACGTAGGACGCTGGCTAGATCTTCCGCCTGTAGCTCACTTCTCCTCTGCCTCCGACGGCCGCCTCGAATACGTTTCCTTGGCAGCTCGTCTCGGTCGGGCTCGCCGATCCTCTTTCTCTGCTCCACGGACTCCGAAGATCTCGCTACCGCCTCGACTCGCCTCGGCCGATCCTCCTCTCCCACCGCTGCCCCGCGTGGTGGTCGTGGTAGCAACCGTCCGGGTGATTGTGTATCTCCGGCTCCATCTCCCGGCTCTTTAGGCTCGACTGGCTGAACGAGGGGCTCCCTGACGGCCGTGGACGAAATCCCGACCGCCCCTGCCGGCCGATCCTGCCCTGCCAGGCGTGACGGCCGTGGTAATAACCGCCCGGATGACTGCAGATCTCCTGCTCTGTCTCCTATCGCTTTCGCTTGAATTGGCCGGGCGACGGTGGGTTGCGGCGAGTGCTGGCTTACATTCTCTAGCCGAAATCTTGTTAAACATCGCGCTTGCCCTCCCTTTGAAGAAGCACCATGGACGCGCGTCCTATTATCCCGCGGCCGACTGCCTCGCCGGCTTCCTAGAGGCGTCGCTCTTTCGACTGCTTCTACCCGCTCTCTTCGTGAACCCTCCTCGGACGCCGGCGCCTGCTTCGCCTGGATAGGCCGGAACCTAGGTGCCGGGTCCGCTTGACTTTCGTCGCCCAACACCCGCTTCGGTCCTTCGTCCGTACGCCTCTCACGCACATTTATCGGTGTCGAGCGTCGCGCTCCTCCCTTCAAGGCGGCGCCATTCACGTGCATCGCCTTTTCCGCAGCCCACCACCTGGCCGACTTCCCTAGGCAACGCTCTTTCAATGCATCCCCTTGTTCTCTTCGTGAGATCTCCTCGGCCGCCAGCGCCTGCTTCGCCTCGATAGGCCGGACACTGTCGACCGTTGCCGGCCGACCTTTCCTTCCCGGGCTGCTAGAGTATCCTCGCTCCTTCTGCCTCGTCCGCGCCCTATCGTTCCGCTTTCCAGACGTGCCGATCTGCACGCCCTCCGCGATCCCGGCGTGTGATAATCCGGCCTCCTCAGGGGGGGCAGGCGCAGCTCCCGGCGCACTCTCCATCTCTTTGGGTCGGATGGGCCTTGGCGAATGCTGGCTCCCGCCTTCCAATCGAAATCTCATAAGAGCAGGCGCAGGTCCGGCCGTATTCTCCATCTCTTTGGGTCGGATGGGCCTTGGCGAATGCTGGCTCCCGCCTTCCAATCGAAATCTCATAAGAGCAGGCGCAGGTCCGGCCGTATTCTCCATCTCTTTGGATCGGATGGGCCTTGGCGAATGCTGGCTCCCGCCTTCCAGCCGAAATCTCATCACCGTTATCGGTCTTCCAACCCGGCGTTTTCCCCACCACCTGTCCGCTCGACGAGACCTTTCGGCCTCGTCAGTTCGCTACCGCTGGGTCGCCTAACCGTCTCAGAGCCACTTACGGCCACGCCGGACCATCTCCCACTGTCAGGCCGTCTTCTCGCCCGACTAAGGCTTCCGGAGGACATGGTGCTTCCAGACCTACCGTGGTCGCTGCCCTCCTCTCATCATCCCCAGCCCTCCCCTCCTTGGGCAAGAGGTGCCGGTAGGTGATCGGGTCGTTACCCTCGCGCTGCAACACACCGCCGACGGACGGCACAAGACTCCCTCCACACGGCTTCGCACCCAACCCTTGCATGGCAACGTCCGTCTCCATGCTCACTAGCTTATCATCACCCACGTTTATCGGTGCTGAAAGTCGTGATGGGGCCGCCTTCGAAATGCCATCGTTCAATACTGATTTTCCCTTTGGCCGCCGACCGCCTCGCCGGCTTCTCTTGGGCAACGCTCTTTTAAGCGCTTCCGCTTGTTCTCCTCGCGAGACCTCCTCGACCAGCCCCTGCTTGGCCATGATGGGCCGAAACCTGGATGCCACGTTTGCCTGTCTCTTATATCCCGACACCCGCTTTAGCGAATCATCCATTGCGCTCAATCTCGCCGCAGCGACATTTCTCGTCGCAGCAACGGCCGCTGCTCCCATCACCATTTCACCTTCTCCTCTACCGACCGAACTCGCAGCGAGAACTCTCCCATGTCGATGCTATCTTAACGCCGCGGCTCTGCACACGGATGATGGACCATAAAGTTTGCCCCGGATCTTTCTTCAATATTATCTCGCCTCCTAACAATAATGGTCCGCCGTGTTGGCGTTTTTCCTACCAATCCTTCCTATAACTAAACCCTGTGATCTTTTTAGCACTGAGCCGACGCGGCAATGCTTATCCGCGAGAGCCCCCCCCCTTTCTCCCCCCTTCACCACCCTACCACCGTCCGTCCATCCTTTCCGGACGGCCTCGACCAGCCCATGCATAGGAATACACACCGCAACTCCATCTAAGGCCGCCTTCTACTACTCTGCTCTCTCCGCATCTTCCGAATCTGTCGTTGCAGGTATGCGTTTCAAGGAACATCAAATTAGACTTTCTTTTTCTTCGCTACCTATGCTGCAACGGAAAAAGGAATAGCCCTGCCATCTGATTCAGCTCACCCGGCACGATAGCTCCCAAGACAGTCTTCCCTAAATTTCCGTTCCATTCTAACAGGCAACCTTCTCACACCGCCTCTTCGTGTGGCTTACTCGTTGGCTTACTCGTCGGGTCAAGAGCTATTATGCACCACGCATCCTTATCAAAATTCAAACTTGCCATGGCAAAGCTTCTCGCTCTCCCCACTGGTTCTATAATACCTTGGATTTATAAAAAAGGCCGCTTTATTCTCCACCTCTTACTTCCTTCTTAACGACTTATACCGATCATTTTTCTAGGCGCACAAACCACTTATTAGCCAACATAGATATGCACGATGTCTTCCTCGTCACCGCTACCTCCACCACACCTTCGAAAGCCGCTCGATAGCCAGAAAGGCGCGGGTGGTGATATGTCTATGATGTTCTTCGTCCAGCCCGACTGCCCTCGAGATTTCCCCATCAGGACGAGCATCGCGTTAGAGGTCTCAACGCCGAGACCATTGCCCGCATCTTTTTGCCACCTCCTTCATGGTTGCTCACCGCGGAATATGCGCCGCTCCGATTGGATACCGACGACTCGCCGACATCCATCTTCTTCAGTCTCAATCTCTCTATTTACAACCAGCCTGTTATCGCCTCCGAATGGTCTGAGGAATGGTTTTTTATGAACGGCCGCGTCCACCTACGCCCTTGCCTGGGAGGTTAAGCAGCGCGACGGCCTAGAGTCTGAAACTGGCGACACCCTTATCTACACCATGCCCGCCCTCGTCGTCCGCGACCAGGGTTACCAGCCGTAAGGCGTGCCATTTACCCTAGCGCGTACCGCTCTCGGCTCTCGGGCGAGAGGTCCGGCTGATTTGTCCTCTTAGCATCCTCCTAGACTCTTCGCCTCTATGGATAACTTCCTTGCATCCCGCCTATCGTTTCCTTCACCGGCTTCATCCTTGGCCCGGGTCACTCCCTGCTACGACAAGACCTTCTGCCAGACCTAGACGCCGCCCAGCTAAATTGCTGCGGCTTCGTCCAGCTCTCTACGTATCTAGCTCCTGGCATTCCTGACAAGATCCCTTTCAGAGGCTTCCACCAATTCGAGGTCTTCGTTATCTTCCCCATTCACGCTAACCCCTGGGCTATACTATGTAAGAAGATGGCCGAGAGGAAGGACTCTTACTTTCAGCCCAGCATCCCTTTACCTGCACAGGCAAAGTTGCTGGCCTGCTCAGTCACCGCGTCATGATTCATCCCCAGGCTCCGACCGAGACTATGTCTTTATCGTCGTCCCGGATTCTTGGACTTTTCTCGATAAGGCCACCAGCACTGCGGCTGCCTCGTCCTCGGCTATCTCGACACCACTAAAGGAAAACCGTCCTCCGCTTCGGCCGCTTTCCGGGATATACTCGCTGCCTCTTACTCCGTGGCAACACCTGGTACCCTCCGCCAAGTCCTCCACCTTCGGCTTTAATAACTTCTGCTTCAACTTCTACTTTGGCCGACCTAGCTACACCCTCGCAGAAGCGTCCCTGTCCTGACCCTGCCGGCACGCCGACGAAGAGACCGCGCCTGACGACCCCGAAACCTTCGTCTTCTACCGATACTGGGGGCTCTGCTACCCGATCCTGCTCCCTCTTAGCGGCTTCCCATATTAGCGATCCGGAAACAGCCGGTCAGACTCCTGCCTCGGAGAATGCCTCGGCATCTTCCTTAATTCAATTGTCGCCTGCACATCAGACTCGCCGACTAGGCCGCTTCGAAACCGTCACCTAAGTAGAAAAACAGCAGAAACGGAATAGCTATATATCTTATCTAGTTATGTGAAATAAAAGTCTGCTAATATATTCTTTATGCAGAGAACAACCCAATTTTACCCTTTGTCTTACTATGTGCTCTTACTTCTCAGCACATATAAAACCGAACTGCTATATTCCACCACCCCTCTACGACCTCGCTTCTAGTCATCGTTTCCTTCCACACTTTCCGTGTCTGTTGAGCCTCTCGGGCACGCACGCCTTCTTGTGAACCTTCCAGTCCGCCTTTTGATGCTCCGTGCCGCAGTATGCCACTGCGTGACATCTACTGCACCGCTTCACTCCCACGGTCGTCCGCATATTTTGCACAGCCTGACCTCCATGCACCTATTGCGTCCTAGAAACTTATCTCGCCTTTCCTCCTCCTGCCGCATTTCCCCCATTACTAGTTGCATTTCCTGTCTCATTTCTACCTCGCACTGCCCTCTTCCACATAACGATGTGACCCAAACCACAATGCGAGCCTCGTCTGCGTGCAGCATCGATATCGGACTCTGTAAGATGTCTGTCGCAAACCGCCCGCAGCATTCGCAGAAAGCACCCGACGCACTGCGACATGCTGATTCGTGCTCCTTCATAAGAGGCATCATGGACTGTGTAAATCGCTCGTTGTATTCAGCATCTCCGCCGGCCCCGTTTGCCTCCGTCACAAGGCTCCGAGGAATGCTATGGTTGTGGATGAGTTGCCTGGCGCCAAATTGGCATATGAACTCGACTCGGACCGTAGACATCGCCATAATTTGTGTTCTAGATGTTTAGATACTCTGTAGGTGTGGATAGGTTAACTGAGGCTCAGTTGGGTCTTTGATCGATGATCGTGTTGTTCTTGTTATTCTTCGCTATCTAGACCATGCTGTGAGGTTTGATAGGTTGTGCGCGTGTCGGGTAAACGTTGTTCCCTGCTGACGCACGTGATACCCTCCTGCGATGTGCGCTCTATCGTACAAATGATCAGACACTGGCATCTCTTTAAGAATCGAACAAAACGCACTAAACGTAACACCCAAACAACATGTAAAAACGGGTATCTCAACACAAAGGAACAATCGATAGCAAGCTTAAATCAAAATCGTCAATCATGCGGTCATATCTTCCTTCCTTTGAACCCAGCCTTCGAGCCGGATCGTGATCTCGTTGTCGTTAACGAATCGGGTTAAGGCCCCGTTTGGAGATAGCTTCGTCATTGCATCGGCCGGGTTATCCGCTCCGTTGATCCAGCGGATGTTGGTGATTTCGCGTTGTTCGTAGGCCTGTCTCAACGCCATGATATCGATCATCAGACGTTTCTCCGTGGTGGTGCCAAGCTTCACTAGGCACTCGTACAGGCTGTACGAATCTGTACACACAACGAGCGGGATTTGCGGTAATCCAAGGCGGCTTGTAATCTGGTTGATCGTCCCTGCAACCACATATGCCAAATCGAAGCCTGAAGCTAATCCATATATCTCAGAAGCCAAGACGCTGCGGGTGACTCTCTTGCACTTCGTCGAGCTCCAATGGATCAGGTTTCCGTGGATCGTGAATGACTCATCTGACTTAGTCTCGGTTGCAATGATTATAACGAATCCGATCTGAGAGCTTAAGTCCTTGTTGTTGGCGAATGATCCGTCTGTGAAGACGAAGACCTTTGCTGCTTCTAGACCTATTGGGACGAATCGAAGGCCTCTTTGTGGATTGTCGATCTGCCATTGGATCCGTTTATTCAACGCCTGAAAATCCTCCGCGGTTGGATCTTGTGATTGTGCCGCGATTGAATAATCGAAGCTAGCCTCTGGTTGACAAATTGAGGCTATATAGGCGCCACGGGCACGTTGTTCCACGTATCGTTGGGCCCGATCTTCCGTGGATAGATCGATAATTTTGAGGTTGTTGACCTGACCTTTCTGCATGACTAGAAGATAGCCCTTCTCTAGAGCAATGAGGCTGCCGTTGAAATCACAGGTATCGCCTTCTCGTAGGGTCTTCTTTGGCTTGGCTTGAAGCATAGCTCGCGGTCTTCACGTTGCAGGAATGTTGTTGTGCCTACCAATAACGTATCATCAGTCTGAAGCGCGGCAACGCCGAAGGCATTAACCTGAAGTGCGGTATCCGCGTTGGTCTCTGCGGTCGTGACGTTGATCTCTGCGGTCGTTATCATTAAACATGGATCAAACGTTGACGGCTCCATCTGTAGCTTGATGCGGTGATGCTCATGATACGTATTGAACCAATGAGCGCCTGCTTCAGCGATTCCGTACAATGGCTTGACCACACGAAGGATGGTTCCCCCTGGGTATCTCTCTTTTAATTCGTGTGGCAAAGAGATGAGGATAGTGCGATTCAAAGTGGTCGATGCCTGCGTATAGGCCATCGTAATGTCTCGGATAGCAAGAGACATCTTCAAAGAGCAAAGGAAAGGGAAAGAGCGAGTACTACCCGCTGGGCAGGACGGGAGATTGTTGGAGCCTGCGTGAGGATCTCACGCTTCTCGTCGTCACCATATCCTTGTACCACAAGACGAGACTTCTCGTACGGTGTAGCAGTGTTCTTGCCTTTGACCTCCCGGACCATTCGTGACTTGAATAGCCTGTGTTTTCCATGCTTATTCATATCGTATCGTTCGGGCACGATGACGCCTGCGCCTAGCAGGTTCGTGATTTCGAGGTCATCAGAGGCTTCAAACGGTCGTCCGGCGGTAGTGATTTTCTTCTCTGCACGTAACTTTACGGCAAGGTCGAGGGCGGCGCACTCCTTATGCGATAGAAACATATTAGCGGGTGAAAATTGAGATCGAGGTAACGAAAGGGCTAAGACTAAGGAAATAACTAGAAGGAACGAAGGTATCGTATTGCTGCTGATCTCGAGGACTTTTCTTGGTCTGCCGCGTCTGCGTGGTCTCTCCGGCTCGGGATATTCGAATGGCTTAGGCACTTCGGTCTCAACGTTGATGCTATCAGCCTGATTGTCAGCAGTCTGATTGTCAGCGTGTGGCTGCTGTAGAACATTGTGACTTCGTTGCTGCTGCGAATCCGGGTGGCGAAAGTAGGGCTGGACAGCCGTGCTGCGAAATTTAGCTGGCCCGTTGTCTAGCTCAACTGTGACCTCTGTGTCTGTCACAGCTAGGACCTTGTATGGGCCTTTCCATCCTCCTTTCTCACGAAATACTCGAACTTCACTACCAAGCGGCAATGATAGTGGCATCTTCTCAATCGTGTTGGGCCCATTACGGGCATTGAGGGCGTCATTGACCTTCCTTTAGCTACAAGCTTGCGTAGCTCTGCCATAGCTTTCGTCACGGCTTTCGCACGTGTGATCGCGGAAGCAGAAGGCGGCGAATCCATCGTTATCCGAGGGTAGGTACCAAAGACTAGTAGTGTGGGCACTAGACCGTCAGGTCCGGCGGTATCATTGACGGATTTGAAGGCCATTTGAAGCAACGACTCAGCTGATGCTGTTTTTAGCTCGGCTTTCAAGATCTCGTATGCCCTTCGAATCGGGGCGTGATATCTCTCCACCTTGCCAATTGACCAGTGGGCTTCGACGGGCACTTGGTGACAGGTTATTCCTAGCAGCTTCGCTTCTGCTTGGAACTCAGAGGAGGCAAAATTCGTACCAGCGTCGTGCGTGATAACATCTGGAGGGCCTAGGTATGTGTCAATCCAACACAATTTGAGTGCTTCCCACGTCTCTTTAGCCGATATATTCTGAAGAAATCGTCCGGCTTGGAAAGAGGTTGCTAGGTCAACGGCATGAAGGACTGGCCGGCTGTCAAGATGCATTACATCGACGATCAATTCGTAGTTGAAATCGCAGTTATCCTTTAACGTGAATTTGAACCTGCGCGGTGCGTCTGCCTTGATCTGGCAAAATGACAGAATTTTCGGATCATCGCGATTGCTTCGAATTCAACATCATGCCCAGCGCTTGTCAGTAGCTTATGTAGCTTGTGTACTGACGGGTGGCCAAAGCGAGTGTGTAGGCGCCGAAGCTCGGCTTCGGATAGGAAGGCAATAGCGGCTTCATCCTTCCGTAGGAAGAACCACGGATGACCCCATTTGCGTACGATCGGAATCCTCTTATCGCCGCAGATCAATTCGTTCGTGACGTTGTTGAGATAGGCACCGAGACGGTCCATATCCTTGAGGCATAGCAAGAAGGGCGTTGACATATTGATAACGTGGAAAACGACTTCTCCAATCGGGGTAATGACTGTTGTGATCCCGATCGTGTTCGTCGGCTCGTTTCCACCGAATCTGACCGTTGCGATCGTCGCATTCTTCCGTAGCTGGACCGTCGGCATCTCTCGTTGGAGCGCGCGGAATTGGTCGATCCCAGCTGTAGATATCTTCGCTGCACCCGTGTCAGGCAGGATCCTTGGAAAGAGGTCCGGTTGTAGCGATCGAGCAAGAAATGCTGTGATTCCTCGCATATCGATTCTCCTCGACGGTGTGAATGCGGTGGCGAAAAGCTCTATTAGATAGGAAGGCAGCTGCAAAGAAGCTATCGCTTTGATCGTCAGAGTCATCGTCAGCAGAATCAGAGGTCTGATCTTCATCTGGGTCCCCTTCGTAATCGGCAAGGAACGTAGTAAATGGACGGGAAGATGACTTCTGGCCGTGAAATCCTCGTTCTCGAAGATATCTTTCCTTGGCCCTCTTTCTCTCGTCATCCGGATGCTTCGTTGAAAAACAGCCTTCTTTGCCGCAGACGTAGCAGCGCTTCGTCCACTTCTTCCTTTTGTCAGCGGGGTGCTGATAGCGGCGGTCAGTAAAGAATTGGTCTTGATCTTGAAGATATTGACTGGGCTGTCCGGGCTGTCTTTGGCTGACGGTTGTGAGTGACGATCTTAGCTGTGAAGATAGTCCCTCGAAGGTCTTAGCCGGCACGAAGAGGGCGAATTCTAATTCAGGCACGCCACGGCATGCTCGAATTGTCGTTGAAATTAGCTGGTCTTCGCCGCCATAGCTATTCCCAAGAGCTCTCTGGCATAGCTGCAATTTGTCAAGAAGAGCCTGGAGGATTTCACAGAGAGGCTTCGGGAGATTCCTTCCGAAGCTGTGTGAAATTGATCGAGGTCCAGTCAGTGTGATACTGTTGCCTATTGACTTCCGTATCAAAGTGCTGCTTCATCTTCTGATACATCTCCGCGAACGTTGAATCGCGGCTGACTTGATGCACGAAGAAGTTCTTTGCTCTCTTCGTGAGGATATTTGAGAACAAAGCGTGGAATTGTGACGGTTTGATGCTAGCTGTGAGGCAGGCATCGAGAAAGTAACGGATCTTATCATCTAGGATATCGTAGGCGTCACCTGAATAGTTGAGCTTTCGATCCCATAGCTTAGAAAACTGGTTGGCGATGGCAGGATCGAGGTCTTCATTGGGGACCTGGACTGGGGGCACGGTCCGGTAAGCTTCGCGGTCGATAGCTGGTCTGATCATAAGTTCCTGCTGCTGTTGATTCGATCGTGACAGGGGTAGGGATTGGTCATTGGGGGGGTCTTGCGGGAGGTTTAGATCGGGAGTGACTGGTGCTGGGGTTGGTGCTGGGGTTGGTGCTGGGGTTGTTGCTAGCGATGGCGATCGTCTGAGGAGTTCTTGTTGGCGTCGGTAGGCGGCCGTTTTCTCGTATAAGATGGCATCACGAAGATCGTCTTCATCCCACTCAGGAAGTCGGTCACGGTTCTTCAGATTTACTAGGAATGCCGTGATCTTTGCGTTCAGCTTTCCTGTATAGATTCCTCTGAACCTTAGGGTATTCCGTAGGACCTTACGGACCCTTGGATCGACCTTCTTGAAGTCGTCTTCCTCCCAATCCTCAAAGTCTTCTTGGAATGATCCAAGCAGCTCGAGACCTTGACATGTTGAGGAGACTTTATAATCAACGATGCGGGCGAGAACGAAGGTATTATAGTGGATCTCATCGGAAGTCTCGTTGACTGGGGTGTTGAAGAGGTCCATGTTGAAGATTGTGGCGAGGCCACGGTTGAATTCAGCAATATCGAGGAATTCGTTGATGTCGAGCGCCGGTGCGTTCGCGTTCGCGCTGGTGCCGCTTGCGCTGCTGCTCATGATGTCGGATGGGGCTTGACAGGAAAATCTGCGAGGGAATAGGGCAAGAAGGTGTCAAGAGAGGGTCAAATTGATCGAGTGATCAATGAAGCTGATAATCAAGCGGGATACCAGAGATTTGTATGTGCGATAGGGCACGCCTAAGAGGTCAGCGGCTGAGGCAAACAACTAGGCACGGTTGACTGAATAGAGTGGGCGCCGGTCGGGTCTTCGTAGTCAGTCTCGCGTTGTAGCACTTCTTTCTTCGCAGAGCGCCACAGATCGTGAGGATGCGTTGAGGAAGTCTCTTCTATCTTGCTGCTCTGAGGTTACCAGCCAAGGTAACAACTGATCAGTGTGGATAGGTTAACTGAGGCTCAGTTGGGTCTTTGATCGATGATCGTGTTGTTCTTGTTATTCTTCGCTATCTAGACCATGCTGTGAGGTTTGATAGGTTGTGCGCGTGTCGGGTAAACGTTGTTCCCTGCTGACGCACGTGATACCCTCCTGCGATGTGCGCTCTATCGTACAAATGATCAGACAGTAGGTTTTTTTTTTATGATTAACTGACGCATATGATGCGAAGAACACTAGAACAGCAAGTAGGCCACTCAAGGCCGAATTCTCGACGCCTTATTTTATCCCCTCTTCCTCCATCACTTCTCATCTTCTCCTTGCTTTTTATTCACACGTATTGCTGCATGACATGACTGACAGCTTGGCGCCCGATCTTCTTCGCCCCCAATCACCCGTCGCGCGATGCAAGCTACTGCGGGAAAGATTTTTTCCGTGCCAGTGATGCCGCAACCACCACAAAACCTTGAAACATCAAACAGACAGATAAATCCCCCTTTTCAGCCTCAAATTTCAACCACAAACTTTTGTTCCTCAAGGCTCTTTGCGCGAGCCCGAGGCGAGCCTTCTCCTGTAGGGTTCCTCCCCGGGGAGAAAAAAAATTCGCCATCGATTTCCCCCCCGCAAATGCCGCCCTCTGATTCGCTGGCGTTCTCGCTTTTGATTCGTCGGTTGTTCTTTTCTCGCTTTTGATTCGTCGATGTTCTCGCTTTTCATTCGTTAATAAATAAAATGCATAATGCCCTGCCCCTTGCCCCTTTTAGTTCCAGCTGCGCAGTTCGCTTCCAACGCCTCCGTAGACCATACGCCGCCGCAGACCACATAGAGGAAGGTGCCCAAGCCGGCCCGGCTTCTAACTCCGCCATAGACCACACGCCTCCACAGACCACCCCCTTCGCCCGTCCTCCTGGCCCTTAACCTACACTCCTTTTACGTCAGAAGTGTGGAAAATGCAGGGCGCCTGCGTTACCTGCGGAGCCAGTCGGCCGCCTCCTGTGTTGTCTGCCTGCTAAGCTCCTCTAGCCGGGCCTGCGCTGCCGTCATCTCCTCAGGCACCCGGTTCCCCACTAGGTCCCGCTCCGCACCTCTGATACGAGCATGATGCCGTCGAGCGTCGGGCACCGCGACAGCTGCACGTATAGGCTATACGGGTCGCACGACGACGGCACCGCCCTCCCCTCGACCGTCGTCATCCTCGCCCCCCGCAGCTCCAGCGCCACGCGCTCTGGCGTCCCGCCCTGCACCTTATAGTCGGTGCAGGCGAAGGCCGCGGCGCACGGCAGGCCCCTCCGGCTGACGTCGTTGCGCTGCCATGGCCGCTTCCGCTGCGCTGTGATCTTGACGCTGATGGGCGTTAGCAGGATCGTCCCGGCAGGCATCCCGACGAAGTGGAAGTCCTTGGTCGTCTCCGAGGCCAGCACGATGCCCGCCGGCGGCCGAAGTGCATGATGAGCTCCGCCGAGACGCGGTGGCCGGGAAGGCGCGGTCGGGGATGACGTCCACCGCCGTGTACCCGGCCCCGTTCACAAGCTTTAGCCCCTGGTGCGTGTTCTGGTTCACGACGACCGGCATGCCTGGCACGAAGAGGAAGACGGCCGGCACCGGCGTCGCGCTGTCGTCGCCCTGGCCTAGCATTAGCACCGCCTCCTCTTCCGTCGGCACGCCGTCCCTCCACTTATGCTCGAGAGGAAGACGCGCGCCGCCGTCCGCCGCCTCTCCCGGAACGCGAGCGCCGCCTCTAGGTTGAGGTTCCAGCGGTTCCGGTTGAGCGGCGTCACCACCGTCAGGCCCGTCTCCCACGGGATCCGCCTGCCCGGCCGGTAGCATCTCGAGTTGAGCAGCTCTAGGTCCGACCGGTCCTGCTCGCCCCGGCGGATCCGCCCGAGCAGCCGCCGCAGCTCCGGGTCGCCGGCGGCCCGCATCTGCTCGTCTAGCATGACGACCGTCGTGAAGCGCCGCCACAGCGCGTGCGCCTTGTCGTGCTGCCGCCGCTGCTCGGCCGCGAACGCCCCGTCCTCGTCCCACGCCACCGCCGCGCTCGGCAGCAGGATCGACCGTTCCTGCACCGGCCGGAACTGGTGGAAGTCGCCGCAGAGGATCACTACCGGGATGCCGCCGAAGTCCCGCGCCGACCCCCGCAGCCGGCAGAGCTGCTCGTTGGCGGCGTGCAGCGTCCGCGCCCCGAGCATGCTGACCTCGTCGATCACCAGCACCTCCTTCTCCTGCCAGTCCATCCGCGACCGGCCGTCGACGAAGCGCTCGCCCTGGCCCGCCAGCCGTACGCCGTCAATGTCCTCGTCGCCCCTCCCGCCCGGCCGCCCTGGCCGACCGTAAGGCCGCAGGCCGAGTGCAGCGTGATGCCGTTGATCCGCGCTGCCGCCGTCCCCGACGTCGCCGTAACCAGTACCCGGCTCGATAGGTCCTCCGGGCGAGCAGCTCGACGAGCGCCTCGATGACGCGCGACTTGCCGGTGCCGCCCTCGCCGCCGATGAATAGGCAGAGCTGGCCACCACCGTCGCCGCCTGCGTCGTCGCCCTGCCGGATTCGGTCGAGTTGCCGGCACACGATTAGGAGGGCGATGGCCTGCTTCTCGTTGAGCGTGAGCTGGCCCGCCAGCTCCTGCCGGCGGCGACGAACGAGCTCGACGGGCCGAGCCGCACGCGCATCCCCGCCGCCGTGCCTGCGTCTGCGTCGCCGTCGGCCGCCGTTACGTCGATGTCGTCCTCGCCGAAGCCCCCCATCACCCCGCGAAGGGCCGCGCCGCGGTCGGCCCCGACGCCCGCCGCCGCCCCGCCGCCCTGGATGCCCTGGATCGCCCGCTCCCGCCCCGCGCCGCGCTCCTCTGCTGCGACTTGATGGCCCGCACCTCTTCTTGCCGCGGCAGTGCCGCCCCGACAGCGCCGAGCCCGGTAGGTTCACCCGCCTGCCTGCCCTCTCGTCCGCCACCACCGTCGCCGCGAGCTCGGCCGCCGACCCGAGCGCCGACTGCTGGAACCGGCAGAGCTGCTGCGTCATCGCTAGCAGCTCTGTTGACTGCGCCGTGACTTGTCCCGCGCTGGCGGCGTTCGGACGACGTCGATGAGCCGAGCCGCGTCGCCCGCCCCGCCGGCGCGGTATGCCTCCTCGCCCCTTCGGCCGCCCCCCTGCCTTCGTCGTCGGCCTGCGGCGCCGTCATACCGCCCTCCTCGGCCGTGGCGGCCCACTGCTTGGCGTCGCGCTTCGCGTCCTCCGCCGACCGCCGGAGGAGCTGCACGTTGTCTGCGAGCCGCGCGACCCTCGGCGCCAGCGACTCCGCGCCCGTGCCCAGATGTTGTTAATGTCGCCTGCCTCCTCGCCGAGGAAGGACCCCACGGCACGAATAGGGCCAGGTGCTGCACCGCCGCCCTAGATGCTGTTAGCCGATGCCCCTAGCTGCTCTGCCTTCCTCTTAGGCGCCCCCCGTCTTATAGTACGCACCTCCGGTGGCACGACTCGTCGTCTTCCTCGCTGAACTCCTTGCTGAGGTATCCGTCGACGCATACAGTCGCCCCGCAACCCGGCCGCCTAAGCGCCTGCACCCAGCCCTTCCCCGACGCCCAGCTCTCCGCGAAGGGTACCTCACCCCAGCCCGCCATACCGTCGGCGCCGCTGCCGTTTTGCTTTAACCTTACAAGCGATGCGTAGTCATAAAGGCAGAGGCCCGCAGGAGCTCGCCCGGTGCCGGTAGGCCTCGACGAGAGGGATCCTCAGGCCAGCCTCCTCGACGACGACCGTCTCGTCCGGCGCGTCGCCCGTCGCCTCGGCGCCGCTCGCCCGTCGGAGGTGCCGCCACCGGCGGAAGACGGCCCAGTAGAGCTGGTTTGCGTTTATATACGCCCACGCTGAGCCGCTGCTAAACTCCGCCGGGTACCCTAGGAGGTGCGCGATCACCTCGACCTGCGACAGCGGCCGCTCCGTAAAGACTCGATTCGCCGCCTTAAGCAGGAACGTTCTCGTCTTATTCCCCTACGGGGTCCGCCGCCGTCGCTACCCCTTCGGCCCCGCCCTCCCGGCCGGCGTCGCGGTCGGCGCCACTTCTGTTGCCTCTCCCGTCGGCTCTAGCACAGGAAGGAACTCGGCCGCGGCGGCCACACGCTTCCACACCGGGTCCTCTACCTTCGTCGCATAGTTAGTAATATAGTAGATTAGGGCCATGGTCTTGCGCTGCGTCGCGATGAACGAGATGTCGTGGTTGTGTCGTAGCCCCACTGCCATCGCCCTGTTCCACCGGTTCACCATGCTATGCGTCCGCCGGATCTCGAGCACCCCGTCCGCCGTCAGCGCCGTCCTCTCCACCAACCTCCACGGCGCCTTAAACCGGCAGAGGTCCCCTTCCGCGCCCCACGCCGAGCGAGTATTTTACGCAGGTCGCGCTATGCGTATGGATCTGCGTCGCGCCCGCGCAGAAGTTGGCCTCCTCGTCGAAGGTGTCCGTGAAGCGCGCGACGTCGTCGAGCCGCGACGATATGTCCGCCGTGGCCGACCGCTCTGCCTGCATGGCACAGTAACCTTCTGCGTCTAGCTCCTGCGGCCTCGGTTCAGCTTAGGCCCCTCAGCCTGCCCCAGATAGGGGCATCGGGGTTGTGTTAAGGCGGCCGCCTTACCTCAGAAGACGCTATCTACGTAGCGGACGATGCGCTCCCGGTACGCCGCCTGCTCCTCCGCGTCCGGGCCGGCGAGCGCGTCGCCAATGCCCGCGTTGCCCCTTAGCCAGAGGAGCCCGTGGATGTGGAGGGCGCCTCGCTCGTTGGTCTCTACCGCCCCGTAGTATGCGCCGACGTGGCCGAACACCGACTCCTCCCCGACGTTGACGTAGTGCTCGAAGAAGAGCGTCATCTCCCGGTGGAAGAAGACGGCCGAGCTCATCGGGTCCGATATGGCCAGCCGCGTCCGCTTATACGCGGTCCCTAGGTCACTTAGGAAGGCCTCGGCCTCGTCGGGGTCGCGGCCGCGGTGCGCCGCTAGCCGTAACTTTACTAGGTTCGTAATGTCGTTCGGGTTCAGCGTGAACCAGATAGCCGGCACCCCGTACCTAACGATGAGGATAGTATCTTCTTCCGCATACTAAGGCGGCTCTCCTCGACATTGGCTGCCGGTAGCCGAACACGGAGAGGGACCGGAGGAGCTCTTTACCCCGTCGTCGCTAGTCTTACCTGTGGCCTCGAGCTCGGCCTGGCCGCCTCGAGCCTCTGCGCCGTTAACGACTTTAGTAGGCCCTCGACCCTTGCGAAGTTCTTCCTCGCTACGCCTAGCATGCTGGCCTGGCGGTTCTTAGACCGCACGCCCATGTTAAAGACAAGGAAGGCGAAGATAGGGTGCGTCGCGAACCGGCCGCCGTGACGCCGCAGCACGACGTCGGCCCATGCCTGGAGCTTCATGTTCCGCGTCGACATAAGGCCCTCTGCAACCCGCTCCGCCTGGGCGCCCTGGTTCCCGACGCTGGGCCCGCGCTCTCCCGCGGCGTCCTCGTCGGCGAGCCTCGGCCCGCCTAAGCCAAAGGGAACAGGGTCGGAAAGGCCTTTGCAAAGAAGGAGGCGTCCGCCGAGTCGGCGAAATCCTCGCCGCGTCGCACCTGTATGTACGGCTCGCCGTCGCCGCCGTCGCCCGCCGCCCCTCTGGCCGCCGTCCCTACCCACGTCCTCGGGCTGGCGCGCGCTCCCTCGGGCCCGACCGCGTCGCGGGCGAAGCGAATCTTCTCGGCGTCGGCCACATCTGGCGCCCCATCTAACGGGAACATGCCGGAAGACGTTACCTCATTGATTACGTCCCCGTCCTCTTCGGGCCTAGCGCCGTCCCTGTCGTCGTCCTCGCACGTGAGCCCGACGTCGCGGCTCCTCGGCGGGGTCCTGGCCCTGCCTTAGCATCGCGAGGATTTCCTCGATCTCGGCCGCGCCTCCGTCGTCCATGGCCCGCTCCGACGGCGGCACCACCTGCGCCGTCTGCGTCCTCTCCCGCGCCGACGGCTCGTTTCGCTCCAGCCGCTCGCACACCACCGGCGGCACCGTGCGGCGGCGCCCCAGCTGGCTATCTCCGCCGCGTCGATCTCGACCTCGCCGTAGAGCGGGTTGTTCTCCTTGAGCCAGGCCAGCGCCCTCTCGACCGCCGACCGCCTTACCGACAGCAGGCCTGATAGGTCCCGCGGCCCGGGCCTCTCAGCGCCCTGCCACGAGACGTGGATCTCGTCCATGACCCGGACCAGCGGGTGCGGGAGCACCTGGCAGCCAGGCCCTGCACGTCGTTCGGGAACACCGTGATATGGCCCTTGACGTGCCTCGGGTACCTCACGCTCTGCCTCTGGCCGCCGGGGATGCTATACTTCGTCACGAAGCCGTAGCACGAGTTGAGCGAGATGAGCTTCTCCTCGAGCGGCGTGAGGTCCTTTAGCTCGTCGGGGTACGCGTGCTCGCAGCCGAGCCGCCCATGGAGGTGCATGGCCGGCGACGCCCCCTCACGCCCGGCCCATCGCGCGCACTCTGCGCAGACCGCCACCGGCCTGCCCTCCGGGAAGCAGGCTTGGCACCCGAACGGGGACCGCCCGCCCCCCGCAACACCGCTCCGCGACCACCCCCCCACCCTCCCACGCCATCTCCTCAGCTCCCCTTGGCCCGCTTCCGGTAGCATAGCGTGCAGGTCGCGATCGGCAGCGTGCCAGCGTCGTGGAACGCCCGGTAGAACTTCCGCACCGTCCTCACCTGCCTCTCGCGCGGCACCGGCGCACACCACGTCTGCTCGTTGGCCAGCCTCTCGCCCGCCTCGAACTCCTCGTCGAGGTGCCGCAGCGCGCTGGCTAGGTCCTCGGCCTGCAGCTCCCTTGGTCTCGGCACCTTTCACCGACCCGGGCGCGTTTCCGCTCGGCCTGCCCACTACTAAGATGGCGTTTCCTCTTCTGCTCTTCCTCGCCTGCCGTCTTATCGCCGATCTACCTGCGTCCGGTTAGCTATCACCGCTACACGCCTTTACCTCGCTCTACGACCGTACCTGCCGAGGCGCTATCTCTGCCGCCAACAAGCAGCCCGGCTGCGGCCGGAGTTGTGGCGGGGATCTCGGCCCTGCTGGCCGGCCGGGACTGGATGGCTCGCGGCGAGTGCTGGCTTCCGATCGAGACTACGGCCGAGCTAGTCCCGCTTGACGGCGGCGAAGGGCCGGCGGCCCTCCAAGTCGGTTGTGGCCGAATATCCCGCGGAACGTCCGAACTTCTCGTCGGCGGCGGCGAAGGCCCGGCGGCCTCCACCGTCGGCAGAGGCCGGATTTCCCTCGGTGCGCGCTGGCTTTTCCCTGAGGCCGAGACGGCGCTAGGCCCGCCTTGCGGCAGCCGGCGCCCTGCCGCCGTCGGTGTCGACAGAGCCTGGATATCCGCGGCGCGTCCGAACTTCTCGTCGGCGGCGAAGGGCCGGCGGCCCTCCATGTCGGCTGTGGCCGAATGTCCCGCGGAACGTCCGAACTTCTCGTCGGCGGCGGCGAAGGACCGGCGGCCTCTACTGTCGGCAGAGGCCGGATTTCTCTTGGTGCGCGCTGGCTTTTCCTGAGGCCGAGACGGCGCTGGGCACGCCTTGCGGCAGCCAGTGCCCTGCCGCCTCGGTGTCGGCGGCAGCCAAGTTGCCGCCGCGCTTGGTGTCGGCCGAGGCTGGATATCCCGCGGCATGACTCGGCCTGCGCTGATCCTCCATCTCCCTAGTCCTGGCGGTCTTCCCGCCCTCGCCTCGGAGGCGCCTCCCTTGACGCCTCTTCTTGCTCTCTCCGAGGGCGCCGCTAGCAAGTGCCGGCGCTGCTGTGGTCGGCTGGAACTCTGGTCCTGTGTACGGCGCTGCGCAGGCTTCTGGCGCCGGGCTTGCCCCGTCCCCCGCTCCGGACTGGTCCCTTCCGTTGGCTGGCTTCATTGCGACACCGGTCTACCAAAGCCCCACGGACGTCTTGTCTTCCTCTTTGCACCTGCCCTCTTTGGCCCTGCCTACTTATGGTGCCACTAGGCCTGGCGTAAATCCTCGTAAGTGTAATAACAGCGTATAAATCCTTGCCTCGATTATTCGCCCTGCACTTATCTTGCTGACTGGCACCCCTCTTGCGCATATAGGATCCTCTACAAAGTCTATATATCTTACTCGTAGCTCTCTACTATATCTATATGCGTGCTGCTGCTCTTTGCATTATACCGGCGCCGCCTTTCTATTAAGCCCGCCCGCCATTGCCTGCTGCTATATGCGATAGGCTAGACGGCCTCGGCCGATCCTTATATGTACGTCGCCGCGACGGCTTCTTCTTGCCTATGCTTTGCATGCTACGCTTTTCCTTCTTGTCATCCAGCTCTTATCAGTCAAAGCTTCCGTATGCCCCTAGACACTTGCCCGCTGAAGTTTAAAACCATGTCTTACACGTGTTGCGAATAGGGCTGCCTGCTTCTCCTCAAATATAGCTTCGCGCGTCCTGCTTGTCTTAAAAACTCTCAACATCTTACTAGACCGCCTTTTAAAGTTCTCCCTTCTCTTATTGCACTCTCCTCTATACGCATCTTATAACCCTCTTTTACAAAGGCTCCTTATATAACCTACCACTAACGCCATGTTGCGTCTTTGTTTAGAATCCTTTGACTTCTCTTACACACCATCGCCACTGGCCCTTCTCTTTAGACTAAACTCGTAAGACGGTATATAGGTAGGAGCACTCCTGCCTATCTTTCTCGCCGCTTTTAGCTTTGCCCCAGCAACGTTGCTCTTTACTACACGGCCGAGCCATGTCTTCGTCTCCGTCGGCGGACAGCTCTGCCCGCACCTCCGCAAGCCCCTTGGCTCTAGCAAGGGCGCGGGCAGCGATATGTCCATGATGTTCTTCGCCCAGCCCGACTGCCCCGCGAGGTTCGCCCACCACGACGAGCACCGCATTAGGGCCTCAACGCTGAGGCTATCGCCCGCGTCCTCCTGCCGGTGCCCTCGTGGCTGCTCGAGGCCGACTACGCACCTCCGGGCCGAGGGCGACGACCTGGGCCCTCTCTTCTTTAGCCTAAACCTCTCTATCTACGGCCAGCCAATCGTCGACACGGACTGGTCCGAGCAATGGTTCTTTATGAGCGGCCGCGTTCACCCTACGCCCTCGCCTGGGAGGTGGAGCGCCGCGACGGTCTTGAGGCCGGCCCAGACGATACCGTCCTCTACACAGTGCCCGCCCTTATCGTCCGCGACCAAGGCTACCAGCCGTGCGCCCCCCCTTTTTTTTTTGCCCTTCACCGGCCGCCTCGCTGACTTCTCTCCTAGCGTCCTCCACGCTCCTTGGCCTCTGGCGGCCAGTTCCCGTCTACGCCTCCTGTTGTCTCCTTCCATGGCGTCATCGCCGGGCCTGGCCTTGACCTCCTGCGTGGAGACTTCCTGCCAGGTCTCGGGCCCGACCAGCTCCGCTGCTGCGGCTTCGTCCGGCTCACTACCTACATCACCCCTGGCCTGCCGGACCGGATTCCCTTTAGGGCTACCACCCCTTCCAGGTCTTTGTTATCTTTCCCATCTATGCTAACCCTTGGGCCGTGCTATGCAAGAAAATTGCTGAAAGGCCTAACTCTTCCTTCCTGCCCGGCGTCCCTTTACCTGCACTGGAAAGGTCGTCGGCCTTCTCGACCACCGTCTTATGCTCTGCCCCGGGCTCAGAGCGCGATTTCGTCTTTATCGTCGTCCCGGACAGCTGGAACTTTGTCGACAGGCCCTCGGCGGCCGCCTCCGCCTCGGCTTCCCCTTGCTACGCCCCTTAAACGTCAGACCCTATCCGCCTCCTCTACCTTTGATTCCGTCTGCGCCGCCTTGTACTCCGTTGCTGCGCCGGCCTCGGCTGCGTCGGCTCCCCTTCCTTGGCCTCGGCCCCGACCGCCCTCGACCCCGTCACACCACCGCCTAAGCGCTCCCACCCGGCCCTTGCCGATACGCCCATGAAGAGGGCGCGCTTGCTGCAGCAGCAGAATTCGCCGCCTTCCTCGTCTTCGGACACCGTCAGCTCCGCCGCCCTCCTCCTCTCCCCGCCGGCCGCTTCTTCGTCTCGACCGAGCGGCGTCCCGCCCGTTCCGCTCCGGCAGCCAAGCCGGGTTCCCCTCTTGACTCTATTGTCGCGAGCACCTCCGACCCGCCCGCTCGACCTATCCGCTATCGCATGCAGAAATGAGCTGCCTACTATAAACCTATCGCTCTCTTACGCCTCTTGCCTTTACTAAAATAAACCGTTCTCCTCTCGAGATGCTATTCCTAACGAAACTTATCGCTGCAAAATTACCATTACTCTACACATTACAACGTTTATCTCTTTTTGAAACAACAACTTTAGCTTGCGACCTATTTCTTACGATAGTGCCTGCCTCTATTTGTTCTCCGTGACCTTGTTTATGTCCTGCGCGTTATGCCTTGTCCCTTTTACTTTCCTTTCTCCTCTCCCTAGCTCCTAGCTTGCCTTTGGCTTGCATCCCTTCTTGTGCACCTTCCAGTCCTCCTTTTGGTGTTGCCTGCTGCAGTACGCCACCGTCAGGCATCGGCTGCACCTCCTCGCCCCGCCATCTCTCCACAAACCCGGCAGACCCCTCTGTGCTCTGCGCATCCTGCCCTTGCATTTGCGTCGCGCCCTTGTTTCCGCCCGCCTGCCCCGCCTCTGCCATCGTGTCCTGCATTTCCTGCCTCGTCCTAATTTCGCATCCTTCTTTGCCGCAGAACGACGACACGACCACGAGCACAAACGGCCTCTCTGCGTGTAGGTACGATATCGGGCTCTGTAGAATCTCCTTTGCGAGTCCGCCGCAGCTCTCGCAGCGCACCCTGCTGCCTTCCGACACGCTGCCTCGTGCTCCCGTAGGATCGGCCTTATCCACTGTAGGAACAGTGCACTGGCTGCGTGGTTCGGCCTCGCCTGGCCTACCTGCGTCACGAGCGTCTTCGGGATGCTATGCTTGTACTTCAGCTCCGTGGCCCCGAATTCGCACCAGAACTCCACGGAAACGTTGCAAGTGGCCATGCTGTAGTTGTTTTCCTAACTGCTCGATCGGTAGCTAGGGTAGACGCTTCTGCTCTTGTTCTCCTATTCGTGCCTTGGCGCCCCTCTTATGCTCCCTTCCTCTCGCTTACCCGCAATCGTCATCACCGCTGTATTTGCCTTCTTGCTTTTTCTCCCTCTTCCCGCTGCGGGATGGTGCCCGAATGGCCACTTTCTTTACCTACCTTTTTTGCATGTTTTAGTTCCTAGCGCTACCGCCTGCTTGCGTTCTTTCTCTCACCCTGTCTTTGTCTTGTTTGTCTCTCAATCTTCGGCCTTCGTTCCTCAAAGCGCAACCCATGAAGGGTTGCCTTACCTGTTGGCCGCCAAAGAAAAGGTATGCCTTGAGGAACGTGCCTTGAGGAACGAAAGGACTTCATTAGCGCGCGGGGAAAAAAGGCCCCAGACTGCTTCACCCCCACATCCTCCGCCTCTGATTGGCTGATTTATTTCCTCTTTCGGAATAAAAGATCCCGTGTGATTGGTCGCCGACCCTTCCGTCCCTCCCTCATCATTGGTCGCAGCCGCCTTTTCTTGCCCCTCTCATGCCTTGCCCTGTTTCCCCGTTTATACTCCTGTTTACCCCTTGCCAATGCCAATGCCAATGCCAACCTTTTCCTTTCGTCCGCCGGTTTTCTTATTGTGTCTAAAACTTGCGTCTTTTGTCTTTGCCCTTTTCGTTCATGCCTTTCTAGCGGGTTCTTCCTTCAAGTCTAAAAGTCCCCTCGTTGATCGCTGCTGCCCAGTGCCCTTGTCTTCTTGCCCGCCGGCGCTCCTCCGTCTTCTCCCCTCGTCACCTCACCCTGACAACTCTCCTTGACTCTTCAGCGTCGCCATCCGACCGACGCAAAGCTTCCTCGACAGTCCTCTCGCTTAGCACCTCCAGCCTGGCCTGCGCGGCGGTCATCTCTTCGGGGACTCGGTTGCCCACCAAGTCTCTCCGCACCTTGGACACGAGCGTGATGCCGTCTAGCGTTCGACAGCGCGATAGCTGCACATATAAGCTGTACGGGTCGCATTGCGAGGGCACGGCCCTTCCATCGACTTTCGTCGTCCGTGTCCCCGCAGCTCCAGGGCCACGCGCTCTGGCGTTCTGCCCTGCACCTTGTAGTCCGTGCAGGCGAAGGCTGCTGCGCACGGCAATCCCTTCCGGCTGACGTCGTTCTGCTGCCACGGCCGCTTTCGTTGGCAGTGTATCCTGACGCTCATCGGCGTTAACAAGATCGTGCCCGGCGGCATCCCGACGAAGTGGAGGTCCTTTGTCGTCGCCGATTCCAGTAATATCCCCGCCGGCGGCCCGAAGTGGATCGTCATGTCGGACGAGATTCGATGCCCTGGGGACGCCTTGTCGACAATGACCTCCACCGCCGAGTAGCCGGCGCCGTTCACCAGCTTCAGCCCCTGATGGGTGTTGTGGTTCACGACGACCGGCATCCCGGCCACGAACATGAAGACGGCCGGCACGGGGATCGCGCTATCGTCGCCTTGATTGAGTACCATGATCGCTTCTTCCTCGGTCGGCAGGCCCTCCTTCCACTTGTGCTCGGAGATGAAGATGCGCATCGTCGACCGCTGCTGGACCCGGAACGCCAAGCTTGCCTCCATGTTTAGGTTCCACCGATTCCTGTTCAGCGGCGTCACCACGGTGATGCCAGTCTCCCAAGGGATCCGCCTGCCCTCGCGGTAGCACCTGAGTTGAGGAGGTCCAGATCCGTGCGGTCCTGCACACCCTGCCGGATCCGCTTCAGCAGCCCCTGCAATTCCGGATCACCGGCGGCGCGCATTTGCTCGTTCAACATGACGACCGTCGTGAATCTCTTCCACAGCGCGTGCGCTTTGTCGTGCTGGTGCCGCTGCTCGGCCTTGAACGAGTTGTCTACGTCCCACGAGATGGCCGCGCTCGGCAGGACGATCGACCTCTCTTGGACCGGCCGGAACTGCTGAAAGTCTCCGCAGAAGAGGACGATGGGGATCCCCGAAATCTTTCTGCGATCCGCGAAGCCGACAGAGTCGCTCGTTTATGGCGTGCAGCGTCCGCGCTCCGAGCATGCTCACCTCGTCGATGACAAGCACGTCCTTCTCCTGCCAGTCCATCCGAGACTGGCCGTGGATGAACCGCTCCGCCCGTTTTGTCAGCCGCACCCCGTCAAGGTCCTTGGCTGTGTTCGCGCCGCCCGCCCCTTGGTCTTTAGTGAACCCGCAGGCGGAGTGGATCGTGATGCCGTTGATCTGCGCCGCGGCAGTCCCTGACGTCGCCGTGATCAGCAGACGATTCGAAAGGCTCTTCCCACTGAACAGCTCGACGAGTGCCCCAATGATCCGCGACTTGCCGGTGCCCCCCTCGCCGCCGACGAACTGGCAGAGCTGGCCGGCATCGCCCCTATTCGTTTGTCGCATCAAATCGAGCTGGCGGCATATTATTAGGAAAGCGATCGACTGCCTCTTGTTCAGCGTTAGCCGTGTTGACAACTCCTTGCCCGCCGCGAAGAAGGAGGTCGATGGGCCAAGCTGGACGCGCATTCCCGCTTCTGCGTCGCTAGCCGTCTCGTCGGAGTCGGCTGTCGTCATTTCGACGTCGTCCTCCCGAAGCCGGTCATCACCTCCGCAACGCAGCTCGGCGATCGCTTTCCCGGACTGCGACTGTGGTTTGTACGCCTTGGATCATTCTCTCCCTTTCCTCGACGCACTTATCTGCTGCGACTTGATAGCCTTGACCTGATCCTGCGGCGGTAGTGCGGCCCCGGAAAATACCCGCCCTGGCATGCTTATGCACCTCAACCCTTGTTCGGGAATCGCGATGGCCTCGAGCTCGGCCGTTGAGCAGAGCGCCGATTGCTGGAATCGACAGAGCTGCCGCATCATTGCCATGAGCTCCGGCGACTTGGCCGTCACCTGATTCGTGCCCACTGCGCCTCGGACGACGTCGATCAGGCGCGTTGCGTCTCCGATGTTGTTGGACCGATACGTCGCTGCAAATTCTGCGCCCGCCTCGCCTGTCTCGCCCTCCTCGACGTGGGCGACCGTGGAATCGCCATCGCCGGATGAGGCCGCCCATTGCTTGGCGTCGCGCTTTGCGTCTTCGGCTGATCGTCGAAGCAGCTGCACGTTGTCGACGAGACATGATATTCTCGGGGCCAGCGCCTCTCGCGCCCGCTCCCAGATGCTATTGATCTCACCTGTTTCTTCGCACAGAAAGGACTCCCACGGCACAAATAGCGCAAGATGCTGCACGGCTGCCCTTTAAGGGGAGGGGAGGTTAGCCACTCTGATGATGCCTGCCGGCAGGGCGGTTGCTATACACACCTCCGGTGGCACGACTCCTCGTCGTCGTTGTGGCCGAAGTCCTTGCTCAGGTAGCCATCGAGGCAGACGGTAGCATGCTTGCCCGGCCGCCTGAGCACCTGGACCCAGCGTCTCCCTGGCGCCCATCCATCCTCGAAGGGCACCTCCCCCCAGGCCGCACAGCTCTCATCCTTACTGGTGCGTTTTAGTCTAACGAGCGATATGTAGTCGTATAAGCATAGCCCTCGCAGGAGCTCTCCCGGTGCTGGTACGCCTCAACGTGGGAGATCCTCAGGCCTGCTTCTTCGACAACGACCGACTCATCCAGAGTATCATCTATGGCCGCCGCGCCACTTGCTCGTCGGAGATACGGCCACCGTCGAAAGACTTCCCAGTACAGCAGAGATGTGTTCAGGTACGCCCAGGCGCTGCTGTTGGTGAACTCGGCCGGATATCCAAGAAGATGAGCGACGACCTCGACCTGAGATAGCGGACGCTCCGTGAACACACGATTCGCCACCCTCATCAAGAACTGTCGCGTCCTGTTCCCTTGGCGGCGTCATCGCCAACAGCACCTCCACCGTCGTCCTGTCCTCCGTTGGCCGTGCCGTCACCCGTTGAGGCGGCCAGGAGATCGGCCGCGGCCGCCACACGCTTCCACACCGGGTCCTCCACCTTCGTCGCGTAGTTCGTGACATAATACATAAGGGCCATGGTCTTGCGCTGCGTCGCAATGAAGGAAATGTCGTGGTTGTGCCGGAGCCCAACAGCGATAGCCTTGTTCCATCGATTGACCATGCTGTGAGTCCTCCGGATCTGCAACACCCCGTCTGCCGTGATGGCGGTCTTGTCGACCAACCTCCATGGAGACTTAAACCGGCATGGATTCCCTTTCCGCGCTCCTTTGCCCAAGGAATACTTGACACAGGTCGGGCTATGCGTGTGAACCTGTGTAGCGCCGGCACAGAAGTTGGCCTCCTCGTCAAATGCGGCCGAAAACTGCTCGGTGTTGTCCAGCAGGGAGGAAATATCGGACGTCACAGATCGCTCCGCTTGCACGGCGCAGAACCCTTCCTGATCCAGATCCTATCTTGCACGTCAGCCTGGCCCCGTTTGTCCATCGGACGAGCAATTCAGGTTCTCAGTGACACGTCTTAGCTATTCTTACCTCGGAGAAGACACTATCGACGTATCGTATGATTCGCTCGCGATACGCCGCCTGATCCTCCCCGTGGATGTCGGCAAGCATCGAGCTGAGATGCGCGTTTCCGTGCAACCAGAGCAAGCCGTGAACATGAAGCGCCCTCGTTCGTTGGTCTCCACAGCGCCATAGTACTTGCCGATGCGCCCGAATACCGACTCTTCTCCGACCTTCACGTAATGATCGAAGAACAGCTTCATCTCCCGGTGGAAGAATACGGCGGCGCTCATCGGATCGGACATGGCCAGCCTTGTCCGCTTGTACGCACTCCCAAGGCCTTCTAGGAACTCCTCGGCCGCGCCGGGATCGCGTGTCCGATATGCCGCCAGTCGCAGCTTCACCGGGTTCGTAATGTCGTTTGGGTTGATGGTGAACCAGATGGCCGGAACGCCGTAGCCAACGATGAGCGACTGGATTTTCCGCCGCATATTGAGCCGAACCTCTCTCGACATGGGTTGCCGGTGGCCGTACAGCGAGAGGCTCCTGAGAAGCTCCTTCACGCCCTCATCGGTCGTCTTGCCCGAGCTCTCCAACTCGACCCTCGCCGCCGCTAACCTTTGCGCGGTCATCGAGCGGGCAACGCGCTCGACCTTGCCGAAGTCCTTCCTCGCCACACTCAGCATGCTGACGCGGCGGTTCCTCGACCGCACCCCCATGTTGAAGACGAGAAATGCAAATATGTGGTGCAACGCAAACCGGCCACCATGGCGCCGGAGCACGATGTCGGCCCAAATCCGGAGGTTCAAGCTTCGGGAGGATACGATGTCTCCCGCTGCCGCCCCTGCCTCAGCAGCTCTACCGGTGCCTCGCAAGTTGGTAGGGCCTTCCCGCCTCGGCTATGGCCTCTTCGGCCAGCCTTGGTCCCCAACGCCAAATGGGAACAGGGTCGGGAACGTTCTGGCGAAGAAGGACGTCTCAAAGGAGTCGGCAAACTCATCCCCGCGAGACTCGAATGTATGGCTCACTGCCATCGTCGCCACGCCCTCGACCCCACCGAGGATCCGACCCGTTCTCGGGCCCGCGCGGCCGTCGTCGGCACCTGCGCCAACAGCGTCACAGGCAAACCGCAGCTTCTCGACATCCGCCACGTCTGGCGGTCCGTCCAGCCCAAACATGCCGGAAGACGTCACCTCGTTGATTGGTCGAACGTTCTGATCGGGGCTAGCACCAACTCCATCACGACCCGCGCCTTCTTCGTTGGGCCCGTGCCCTTCAGCCTCGCCTCCCGTTTCCTGCCTTTGGTTGAGCAGAGCGAAGAGTTCCTCGATCTCCACCGACCCCTCGTCGTCCATGGCGCGCTCCGTGGGCGGCACAACGTGCGCCGTCCGCGTTTTCTCCCATGCGGACGGCTCGTTCCGCTCCATGCGATCATACACCAAGGCCGGCACCCCGTCTATCGGGTCTCCCAACTCTCCATCTCCGCCACGTCGATCTCGATCTCGGCGTAGTGGGGGTTGCTCCTCTTCAGCCAAACAAGAGCCCTCTCGACGACCCGCCGCCTCACCGACAAGAGACTCGACAGGTCGCTCGGTGCCGGCTTCTCCACGCCCTGCCACGAAACGTGGATCTCGTCCAGTGCTTGCAAAAGGGGGTGCGGGAGCACCTTGGTCGCCAGCTCCTGCACGTTGTTGGGAAACACTGTGATGTGGCCCTTGACGTGCCTCGATACCTCACGGCCTGCCTCTGCCCGCCCGGAATGCTATATCTCGTGACAAACCCATAGCAGGAGTTGAGCGAGACGAGCTTCTCTTCGACCAGCGTGAGTCCCTTGAGCTCGTCAGGGAACATGTGCTCACAGCCAAGGCGAGTGTGAAGATGGACCGCCGGCGACAGACTCCCGCGCGCCAGGCATCGGGCACACTCCGCACACACCGACACGGGCTCGCCTTCGGGAAAGCAGCTCCGGCATGAAAATGGTGAGCGGCCGCCCTCTGGCACGCAGCTTGACAGCCATTGATCCCATCTGATCTCCCTCAGCTCTTTTCTCGTACGCTTGCGGTAGCACATCATGCAGGTCCGTATCGGCAACGTGCTCGCATCGTGGAACGCCTGATAAAAATCCGCACCGTCGACACCTTCCTGTCGTGCGGTATTGGCGTACACCACGTCTGATCGTTAGACAGCCTCTCCTTCATGGCGAAGTCTTCCTCCAAAAAACGCAGCACACTCGCCAGGTCTTCGGCCCGCAGCTCCCGACTCCTCTGCCTTCCGATTCCACTCCGAATCTGTTTTCTCGGGCGCTCGTCCGGACCAGGAAGACGTTTTCTCTTCTCCCGCCTCCGGGCCGCCTCCGGGGCCGCCTCCGATCCATGATTTCTTCTCTCCGTGGCTGATTCGCTTCTTCGCAAGCCGTCGGATGCGGCAGCTTTGGCGACGACTGCCCGACTACGTGCGCATCCCCTGACACGCCATCCGGCCCTTTGCACTGGACAGGCACCGGGCCGTGCTGGCGAACGTTTTCCACGCCGAACCTTGACCTCAGTCCTTGCCCTTTCCAGCACTCTCCTCGTTCTTGCTGCCGATCAAACTGCACGGGCTCCCCAGCCGCCACCCGCGATGAGCCGCCCACCTCCCTTTGCTGCAGCCTCCGCCCGCTCAGCGAAGCGTCCGCTGGCTCTGCCGCGGCGTCGCCCACCCCCACAGGAGACGGCCCCGGATGCTGCGCCGTACCTGCTGCGTTGGAGACACCCCTGCGGCCTGGTACTCCTTTACCCGCCAACTCCGTCCCCGACGGCGCTTGGGCAAACCAGACGCAATCGCTGCTGCTAATTGCCCGTTTTCTCTTGTTGTCGAATACCGGTTCCCTAGGCTGGATGGATCGAAGCTTCGGTACCTCCTTCGAATGAACACTCGGGACATCGCCCGCCGCCGCCGTAACACGTTGCTCCTCATCTTCAGGATCTCCTCCTGAGGCAGAAAGTGCCGATGAGGAGCGGACGATCAGAGTCCGCTACCCCATATCTCCACGTTCCCTAGGCAACAGGGGCCTCGGAAGCTGACCCGGTGACTGATGTTGCGCGGAACTTCCGCTGCTAACCATATTATGGAACTTCCGTGCTCTGTTTGACCGCAAACCGCCTCGCGGCGGTCTTCTCGGCAACGACCTCGCAATTGCTTCTGCGTGCTGTCTCCATGCGGTGTCTTCAACCACAGGTTTCCTAGGCTGAATCGGCCGGAACGTTGATGCCGCATTCGCCCGTGATTCGTATCTTCGTAACCGTCCCAGGCTCTCCCCCCGTGCTCTGCGGCCCCTCTCAGAAGCTGCCACCACATCTACACCGGCTCCTGTCGCACCATCTCCGAGCCCCGAACCCGACCCGCTCACGTTCTCACCTCTTCCCCATCCCCGACTGACAACGAACAGGCTTCAGGGTGAGCAACCGCCTCGCTTAACTTCACTGCAGGACTGTCCGCCATGCTGCTGCCTCCTCGACGTCGACTGCCGTAAATTGGCAACAGGCTATAAAGCTTTGGCTCCGGAGCACCTCCACTTGGACAGTCTCGCTTGTTGACGACGCTACTTCTCCCGAATGGGAAGCTCCTAACCATCACTTCCTCATGGCCGTGGCGTTTCTTCCTTATAGCTTCCCTATAAAATGCTTCCTATGGTACCGAGGCGATGCAATACTACCCTCTATATTCCCCGTTACCATGCCTATCTATGTGCGTCCACCGTCCCGGCCTCGCCTGGTCTCCACGTGCGACCTGCTACCCCAGCTTTGCCAAAGCGACCCTTCCATCGCCGTGCTCTCTTTGCGCACTCCAGCGAATCCTGGCCACTGCCGACCTCCGGCACATGGAGATGGCCGCGACAACCGCCTGCCGCACACTTCAAACCATACTCTTCAGCCCTTCCAACACCATCCTACCAACCTTGCGCATCAGTTCACCATCAATATCCGCCAATCCGCCTCGTCGAGCAACAGCCACAAGGCTGCCGGCGATAACATGTCCATGACGTCCCTCATGCAGCCGGACTACCCTTCTAGATTTGCTCCCTCGCCAGCACCAATGTCGCATCAACGGCCTTAATGCTAAAGCGATAGCCAGGACCCCTGCCTGTCCTCTTGTAGTCGCTAGCCACCGGAGTCTCGACTTGCAAACCCTCTTGAAAGTTCTCGTGACCAACTCGCATCCTCCTCCTCAGGTCGACCCATATATCCGACTTCACCGTGTCCCAATAGTAGACTCGACACGGTCGGCACCCGCCTCGCTCAGCCGCACGCAATGCCCATCCAACTACCGACGACCGTCAAAGGGAGTCCTGCAATACTACCATAACCTCTTTCTTTCCTTCACTCTCATTCGTTATTGCCCCTTTGCTATCTACTCCATGCAACGATGACACTGAAGGGGACTACTGGACTTTCTTTCTCCGCAGTCTTACCCACACTAACCTTACCGTTCGCCGACCTCCAACTTCTCGCAACATAGCCATCACCCCTACTCAACTTCCAACCCCCGGCTCCCTACTTCACTCACGACCACAGAACCAGATGGTCGAGACTGCTCGAGAACCTCGCCAGCTCATTCCCGCATACCCCCGCTTCTGATCTATCACCTAGGTAGCATTCACTGACTCTCAAGTCTCCCCGACCCGAGCCACGAGCCCTCTTTCGAGCAGCAAGAAAACCTGCTTTATAGGATGCCTACCTCTACTCTGCCTAACCCTCCTTTACACTTCCACGGTGACCACATCTGCCATGTTCTCACGATGTCGGCCTCCCAGCTCAACGTCGATACCTCGTCCTCCCGCGGCAACCTCTTGACAGCCAGGAAAATGCTGGCGCCGACATGTCCATGATGGCCTTTGTCCAGCCCGGCTGCCCGTCTAGGTTCGCCTACCAGAATGAGCATCGTGTCAAAGGGCTCAACGCAGAAACCCTAGCGAGGGTCTTCCTTCCAACGCCCTCATGGCTGTCGACTCCAGAGTATGCAGCAATCCGGTCAGATCCTGACAATCCATCGACCTGCATCTTCTTGAGCCTTAATATTTCCATATACAACCAACAGATAATCCCCTCGGAATGGACCGAGCAGTGGTTCTTTATGGTCGGCCGTGTTCATCCCTTTGCCCTGACGTGGAAATCGAGCGACGTGATAGCTTCGAGTCGGAGGATGACAACATTACAGAATACACCATCCCGGCTCTCATCGTCCGCGACCACAGCTACCAGCCGTAGGTGTATGCTCCAGACCTCCGTCACCACTACCATCTCTGACGATGGCCACAGAGTCATCCCTCGCACCCTCGGCTCGGCGGATGCCTTCCCAGCGATACAACCCATTGTCTCCTTCACGGGACCTGTCATCGGTTCCGGCCGCGACCTTCTGCATGGAAACTCGGCTGCGGCCCTTGACGACACCCAGCTGAGCTGTTGCGGCTTTGTCCAGCTCTCGACCTTTATCTGTCCTGGGATTCCGGGCAAAACACCCTTCAAGGGCTTTCATCCCTTTCAACTTTTCGTCATCTTCCCATTCACGCCAATCCTTGACCTCCTATGCAAGAAGATGACCGAGAGGCGCGATAGCCAGTTCCAGCCGAACGCTCTCCTCACCTGCACGGGCAAAATCGCCGGCTTACTCGATCACCAGATCATGACACATGCCCCGGCCTTCGAGCAAGACTATATCTTCATCGTCGTCCCCGATACATGGACTTTCCTTGACAGGGCCATGTCCAACCAGGCTTCTGCGACACAGCTACTGCCGACGACACCCAAGGGCTCAGTCGGCAACCCTCGGACTATAGCGATGCGTTGGCCAGGTTTACCTCTACCAAAAACGCAATGCCGCCCCAAGCGGCGCCTCCCACGCCGCCTGCATCTAGGTCAGTCGATCCTTATGATGACATCAAAGCGGTCATTGCCCGATCCCGACCAAACCCCAACCAAGAGACCGCGACTTTCTCCAGAAATTTCCACCATAGTCGCCGCCTGTGATAGTCGAGGCCCCGCCAAATCCGACACTTCCTCCCTTCTGTCCCACGAAGACCCCGGAGACTCAGAGACGGACACCGAGCCAGTCAATCACCCAGCCACATCCGCCTCTGGCCCTATCAGACCTCCGGCGTCAATCTCTTCCCGACCGCACCGCGCCCGACATCCGCCCAAGAATATTCTGTAAAGCAACGAACGAAACAACACAACATGACAAGGAACATGTTTCATCATCCTCAAACTCAAGTGCGAAAGGCCCTAATGGGATATTTCCTTCTCCTCTTGCTCTCCTTTTCACAAAGACAATCCAGTCAAAACTTCTCCAATATACTCCTTATTCTGTTTATATCCACCACTTATAGCACCTGTAAATCCTCAGAGCCTTCCACTCCCACACATGCATTACCCACCCACAACTCTCTTCACCCCTGCCGCCTCTCCACGCCCTTTGCGCCTTTGCAAAGCAAAATCTCCCTTGCAGCGGCCTAGGCTGCCTCTCTGACGCTCTGTCTCGATTTCACTCACGATAATGCTCTACGTCTCTCGCCGGATCTCCATCTCATATCTCTTATCTCACTCTTCTTCCTGTCTTCCTCTCACTTCCCTGTCTCCTATCTCCTGTCGCCAACTCTCTCCTCTCGCCGACTTTCTCCTGTCGCCATCGCCAACTTTCGTTCCGAAAGGCCTCTTTGCGCGAGCCGCGGCTGGCGAGCCTTCCCCTCGTCTAATAACGTGCCCCGCAGACCCCGCCCTCTCCCCAAAAGTTCTCCGCCCTTGATTGGTCCCTTGTGATTGGTCCTCCTTGCCTCCCTCCTCGTTGGTCGCTGCCCTTCCCCCGGCTTCTGTTGCCTTTTCGCGTGCCTTATCCCACCACTAGGCGCCTCCCACCCTGTCTGCCGCCTGCCGACTCTTCCCGCCTGCCGAACTCTTCATCGCGTCACCTAGCGCGGCCGCCTTGACTCTTCAGCATCACCGTCCAGCCAGCGCAACGCCTCCTCAACGGTCCTCTCGCTCAGTACCTCGAGCCTGGCCTGTGCGGCAGTCATCTCCTCGGGGACCCGGTTGCCCACCAAGTCTCTGTCCCGCACCTTGACACGAGCATGATGCCGTCTAGAGTTCGGCAGCGCGATAGCTGCACGTACAGGCCGTACGGGTCGCACTGCGAGGGCACCACCGTTCCATCCATCTTCGTCGTCCGTGTCCTCGCAGCTCGAGGGCCACGCGCTCCAGCGTTTTGCCCTGCACCTTGTAGTCCGTGCACGCGAACGCTGCTGCGCACGGCAAACCCTTTCGGCTGACGTCGTTGCGTTGCCACGGCCTTTTTCGCTGGCACTGTATCTTAACGGTCATGGGTGTCAACAAGATCGTGCCCGGCGGCATCCCGACGAAGTGGAGATATCTCGTCGTCTCCGATTCGAGAATGATCCCCGCCGGCGGCCCGAAGTGGATCGTCATATCGGCCGAGATCCGATGCCCCGGGTACGCCTTGTCGACAATGACCTCCACCGCCGAGTAGCTCGCGCCGTTCACTAGCTTCAGCCCCTGGTGGGTGTTGTGGTTCACGACGATGGGCATCCCGGCCACGAACATGAAGACGGCCGGCACCGGGATCGCGCTATCGTCGCCCTGGTTGAGTATCATGATCGCCTCTTCCTCCGTCGGCAGCTCCTCCTTCCACTTGTGCTCGGAGATGAAAATGCGCATCGTCGACCGCTGCTGGACCCGGAACGCCAGGCTCGCCTCCATGTTCAGGTTCCACCGATTCCTATTGAGCGGCGTCACCACGGTGATGCCCGTCTCCCAAGGGATCCGCCTTCCTCCCGGTAGCACCTTGAGTTGAGGAGGTTTAGATCCGTCCGATCCTGCACGCCTAGACGGATCCGCTTCAGCAGCCTCTGCAGCTCCGGGTCGCCGGCGGCGCGCATCTGCTCGTCCAGCATGACGACCGTCGTGAACCTCTTCCACAGTGCGTGCGCTTTGTCGTGCTGGTGACGCTGCTCGGCCTTGAACGAGTTGTCTACGTCCCACGAGATGGCCGCGCTAGGCAGGACGATCGACCTCTCTTGACCGGCCGGAACTGCTGAAAATCTCCGCAGAAGAGGACGATGGGGATCCCCCCGAAATCTTGCCGCGATCCGCGAAGCCGGCGAAGCCGCTCGTTCACGGCGTGCAGCGTCCGCGCCCCGAGCATGCTCACCTCGTCGATGACGAGCACATCCTTCTCCTGCCAATCCATTCGAGACTGGCCGTGGATGAACCGCTCCGCCTGTTTCGGCAGCCGCACCCCGTCAAGGTCTTTGACCATGTTCGCGCCCCCGCCCTTGGTCTTTAGTGAACCCGCAGGCGGAGTGGATCGTGATGCCGTTGATCCGCGCCGCCGCAGTCCCCGACGTCGCCGTGATCAGCAGACGATTCGAAAGGCTCTTTTACTGAACAGCTCGACGAGTGCCTCGATGATTCGCGACTTGCCGGTACCGCCCTCGCCACCGACGAACTGGCGCAGCTGGCAGGCATCGCCCCGTCGGTCTGCTGCATCAAATCGAGCTGGCGGCATATTATCAGAAAAGCGATGGACTGCCTCTTGTTCAGCGTCAGCCGTGTTGCCAACACCTTGCCCGCCGCGAGGAGGAGGTTGATGGGCCAAACTGAACGTCCATTCCCGCCCCTGCGTCGATAGCGGTCTCGTCGGAGTCGGCCATCGTCATTTCGACCTCGTCCTCCCCGAAACCGGTCATCACCCTTCGCAACGCTGCGCGGCGATCGCTTTCCCAGGCGGCGGGCGTGCTTTGTATCCCTTGGATCATCCTCTCCCTCTCCTTCGAGGCACTTACCTGCTGCGACTTGATAGCCTTGACCTGATCCTGCGGCGGTAGTGCGGCCCCGGAAAATACCCGCCCTGGCATGCTTAACCGCCTCTCCTCGTTCGATCAGCGCCGTGGCCTCGAGCTCGGCCGTCGAGCGCAGCGCCGATTGCTGAAACCGACAGAGCTGCTGTATCATTGCCATGAGCTCCGGCGACTTGGCCGTCACCTGATTCGCTCCCACTGCACCTCGGACGACGTCGATGAGCCGCGTTGCGTCTCCGATGCTGTTGGGCTGATATGTCGCTGCAGACTCCGCGCCCGCCTCGCCTGCTCCACCCTCCTCGACGTGTGCGACCGTCGGGTCGCCATCGCCGGACGAGGCTGCCCATTGCTTGGCGTCGCGTTTTGCGTCTTCGGCGGATCGTCGAAGCAGCTGCACGTTGTCGACGAGACATGATATTCTCGGGGCCATAGCGTCTCGAGCCCGCGCCCAGATGCTGTTGATCTCACCTGTTCCTTCGCCCAGGAAGGACTCCCACGGCACGAACAGCGCAAGATGCTGCACGGCTGCCCTTCAGGGGGTGGGTTAGCCTCTCCGATAATGCCCGCTGACAGAGCAGTTGCCATACACACCTCCGGTAGCACGACTCGTCATCGTAGGTGAAGTCCTTGCTCAGGTAGCCGTCGAGGCAGACGGTAGCGTGCTTGCCCGGCCGCCTGAGCACCTGAACCCAGCGTCGTCCCGGCGCCCATCCATCCTCGAAAGACATCTCCCTGCCGCCCAGCTCTCGTCGTTGCCGATGCGTTTCAGTCTGACGATCGATATGTAGTCATACAGGCATAGGCCTTTCAGCAGCTCTCCCGGTGCTGGTACGCCTCGACGTGGGAGATTCTCAGGCCTTCTTCTTCGACGACGACCGACTCATCCAAGGTGTCATCCGTAGCCGCAGCGCCACTGGCTTCTCGGAGATGCCGCCATCGCCGAAAGACTTCCCAGTACAGCAGAGAACAGTTCAGGTACGCCCACGCGCTGCTGTCGGTGAACTCGGCCGGATATCCGAGAAGGTGAGCGACGACCTCGACCTGTGATAGCGGACGCTCCGTGAACACGCGGTTCGCCACTCTCATCAGGAACTGTCGCGTCCTGTTCCCTTGACAGGGTCATCGGTGGCAGCGTCTCCGCCACCGTCCCGCCCTCCGTTGGCCGTGCCATCACCTGTTGAGGCGGCCAGGAGCTCGGCCGCGGCCGCCACACGCTTCCACACCGGGTCCTCCACCTTGGTCGCGTAGTTCGTGACATAATAGATGAGGGCCATTGTCTTGCGCTGCGTCGCAATGAAGGAAATATCATGGTTGTGCCGGAGCCCGACAGCAATAGCCTCGTTCCATCGATTGACCATGCTGTGTGTCCTCCGGATCTGCAGCACCCCGTCTGCCGTGAGGGCGGTCTTGTCGACTAACCTCCATGGCGCCTTGAACCGGCAGAGGTCCCCTTCCGCCCTCCTTTGCCCAAGGAGTACTTCACACAGGTCGGGCTATGCGTGTGCACCTGCGTCGCGCCGGCACAGAAGTTGGCCTCCTCGATAAACGCGGCCGAGAACTGCGCGGCGTTGTCCAGCAGGGAACCAATACCGCCCGTCACAGATCGCTCCGCTTGCACGGCGCAAAACTTTCCTGGTCCAGATCCTGCCTTGCACGTCAACCCGGCCCCACTTGGCCATCAGAAGAGTACTTCAGGCTCCCGGTGGCACATCTTAGGTAGGCATTCTTACCTCTGAGAAGACGCTATCGATGTATCGGACGATTCGCTCGCGATACGCCGCCTGATCCTCCCCGTGGATGTCGGCAAGCATCGAGCTGAGATGCGCGTTCCCGTGCAGCCAGAGCAAGCCGTGAACATGAAGCGCCCTCGTTCGTTCGTCTCCACGGCGCCATAGTACTTGCCGATGCGCCCGAATACCGACTCTTCACCGACCTTCACGTAATGATCGAAGAACAGCTTCATCTCGCGGTGGAAGAACACGGCCGAGCTCATGGGATCCGATATCGCCAGCCGTGCCCGCTTATACGCATCCCCAAGGCCTTCTAAGAACTCCTCGGCCGCGTCGGGATCGCGTGTGCGGTATGCCGCCAGTCGCAGCTTCACCGGGTTCGTAATGTCGTTCGGGTTGATGGTGAACCAGATGGCCGGCACGCCATATCCGACGATGAGCGACTGGATTTTCCGCCGCATATTGAGACGGACTCTCTCGACATGGGCTGCCGGTGGCCGTAAAGCGAGAGGCTCCTGAGAAGCTCCTTCACGTCACCATCGGTCGTCTTACCCGAGCTCTCCAACTCGACCCTCGCCGCCGCTAGCCTTTCTGTGGTCATCGAACGCACGATGCGCTCTACCTTGCGGAAGTTCTTCCTCCCACACTCAACATGCTGACCCGGCGGTTCCTCGACCGCACCCCATGTTGAAGACGAGAAATGCGAAGATGTGGTGCAGTGCAAATCGACCACCATGGCGCCGGAGCACGATCTCGGCCCACGCCTGAAGGTTCAAGCTTCGAGACGATACGGGTCTCCGCGGCCGCCTCTGCCTCGACAGCCCTGCCTCGCAAGTTGGCCGTGACCTTCCCGCGTCGACCATGGTCTCTTCAACCAGCCTTGGTCCCCAACGCCAAATGGGAACAGGGTCGGGAACGTCCTGGCAAAGAAGGACGCCTCAAAGGAATCGGTAAACTCACCCCCCCGCGAAACCCGGATGTATGGCTCACAACCACCGTCGCCACGCCCCCGAACCCCCCCGGCTAGGGACCCGACCCACGCTCTCGGGCCCGCACGGCCGTCGTCGGCACCTTCACCAACAGCGTCACAGGCAAACTGCAGCTTCTCCACGTCCGCGACGTCTGGCGGTCCGTCGAGCGCGAACATGCCAGAAGACGTCACCTCGTTGATCGCTGGAACGTTCTGGTCGGGGCAGGCGTCACTTCCATCGCGAACCGCGCCTTCTCCGTTGGGCCCGTGACCTTCACCCTGGCCGCCGGCTTCTTGTCCTTGGTTGAGCAGGGCGAAGAGCTCCTCGATCTCCACCGGCCCTCCTCGTCCATGGCGCGTTCCGTGGGCGGCACAACGTGCGCCGTCCGCGCTTTCTCCCCCAGACGGCTCGTTCCGCTCCATACGATCGCACACCGACGACGGTACCCCGTGTATCGAGTCCCCAGCTCTCCATCTCCGCCGCGTCGATCTCGATCTCGGCGTAGTGGGGTTGTTCCGCTTCAGCCAGACAAGGGCCCTCTCGACCACCCGCCGCCTCACCGACAAGAGACTCGACAGGTCGCTCGGTGCCGGCTTCTCCGCGCCCTGCCACGAGATGTGGATCTCGTCCAGTGCTTGCAAAGGGGTGCGGGAGCACTTTGTGGCCAGCTCCTGCACATTGTTCGGAAACACCGTGATGTGGCCCTGACATGCCTCGGATACTTCACGCTCTGCCTCTGCCCGCCCGGAATGCTATATCTCGTGACAAACCCGTAACATGAGTTCAGCGAGATGAGCTTCTCTTCGACCGGCGTCAGTCCTTGAGCTCATCGGGAACATGTGCTCGCAGCCAAGGCGACTGTGAAGGTGGATCGCCGGCGACAGGCTCCTGCGCGCCAGGCATCGGCCACACTCGGCGCACACCGACACGGACTCGCCCTCAGGAAAGCAACTCCGGCATGAAAATGGTGAGCGGCCGCCCTTTGGTACGCAACTTGACAGTCAATGATCCCATGTAATCTCCCTCAACTCTCCTCTCGTACACTTGCGGTAGCACACCATGCAGGTCCGTATCGGCAACGTGCTCGCATCGTGGAACGCCTGATAGAAGTCTCGCACCGTCGACACCTTCCTCTCGAGCGGTATTGGCGTGCACCACGTCTGATCGTTAGACAATCTCTCCTTCAAGGCAAAGTCTTCCTCCAAAAAGCGCAGCACACTCGCCAGGTCTTCGGCCTGCAGCTCCCGTCTCCTATGCCTTCCGATTCCACTTCGGACCTGTTTTATCGGGCGCCCATCCCGGCTAGGAAGACGGGCTCTCTTCTCAGCCTCCGGACTGCCTCTGTCCGCGCAGCGAGCCGTCCGCTGCCTCTGCTGCGCCATCGTCCACACCCACCTGTGCCCTTGGCCGCCGAACCGGTCCCCGACGGAGCTTGGGCAAACCCCATGCAATCGATGCTGCAAATTGCGCCGTTCGTCTTAGGTCTTGGAAAGTCGTATCCTTGGGCTGGATAGGTCGGAGCGTCGGTCCCTTTCGAACGAACACCCGGGACACCGCCGGTCGCCGCCTTATCTCCCTGCCCGTCACCTTCAGGACCCTCTCCTGGGGCAAAACGGCCGATGAAGGGGTGGACTGTTAGAGCCCACTGCCCCTGGTCTCCACGTTCTGTAGGCAACACGAACCTCGGAAGCGGACTCGGTGACTGACGTTGCGCGGAATTTCCGCTGCTGACCAAATTACGGACTTCCGTGCTCTGCTTGACCGCAAACCGCCTCGCGGCGGTCTTCTCGGCAGTGACTTTGCGATCGCCTCTGCATGCTTTCTCCATGCGGTTTCTTCGACCGCAGACTGCTTAGGCTGAATCAGCCGGAACGTTAATGCTTCATTCGCCACTGATCTGTATCTCCCGAACCGCCCCAACCTTGTCTCCCGTGCTCCGTGCCCTTCTCGGAGTTGCCCTGTATCATCTCCGCACCCCGAAACAGGCACTCCCCCGTTCCTACCCTCTTCTCCATCCTCGACTGACAACGAACAGGCTCCACGGTGAGCGGCCGCCTCGCCTAGCTTCCCTGCAGGACTGTCCGCCATGCTACTGCCTCCTCGACGTCGACTAGCGTGGATTGGCAACAAGCTAGAAAGTTTTGGCTCCGGAGCACTTCCACTTGGATAATCTCGCTTCTTGGCGTACACTATTTCTTTCCGAGTGGGAAGCTTCCTAACGATCACTACTCTCATGGCCGTGGCGTTTCTTCCCTTATAATGCTTGCCTATGGTACCGAGGCGATGCAATACTACTAGGCCGACCGCCCGCCGCACACTTCCAACCATACTCTCCGGCCCTTCCAACGCCGTCCCACCCACCTTGCGCATCAGTTGCTCCATCAATATCTGCCACTCCACCTCGTCGAGCAACAGCCAAAAGGCTGCCGGCGATAACATGTCCACGGTGTCCTCGTGCAACCGGACTACCCGGCTAGGTTTGCTCCTCGCCACCACCAACGTCGCATCAACGGCCTTCATGCTAAAGCGACAGCCAGGATCCCCTGCCTGTCCTCTTGTAGTCGCTAGCCACCGGAGTTTCGACTTGCAAACCCTCCTGAGAGTTCTCGTGACCAACTCGCATCCTCCTCCTCAGGTCGTCCCCTATATCCGACTTCACCGTGTCCCAATAGTGGACTCGACACGGTCGGCACCCGCCTCGCTCAGCCGCACGCAATGCCCATCCAACTACCGACGACCGTCAAAGGACCCTGCAATACTACCATAACCTCTTTCTTTCCTTCACTCTCATTCGTTATTGTCGCCTTTGCTATCTACTCCATGCAACGATGACACCGAAGGGTACTGCTGGACTTTCTTTCTCCGCAGACTTACCCACACTAACCTTACTGTTCGCCGACCTCCAACTTCTCGCGACATAGTCATCACCCCTACTCAACTTCCAACCCCCGGCTCCCTACTTCACTCACGACCATAGAACCAGATGGTCGAGACTGTTCAAGAACCTCGCCAGCTCATTCCCGCATACCCCCGCTTCTGATCTATCACCTAGGTAGCATTCTCTGACTCTTAAGTCTCCCGACCCTAGCCGCGAGCCCTCTTTCGAGCAGCAAGAAAACCTGCTTTATAGGATGCCCACCTCCACTCTGCGTAACCCCTCATTTACACTTCCACGGTGACTACATCTGCCATGTTCTCACGATGTCGGCCTCCCAGCTCAACGTCGATACCTCGTCCTCCCGCGGCAACCTCTTGACAGCGAGAAAATGCTGGCGCCGACATGTCCATGATGGCCTTTGTCCAGCCCGGCTGCCCGGCTAGGTTCGCCTACCAGAATGAGCATCGTGTCAAAGGGCTCAACGCAGAAACCCTAGCGAGGGTCTTCCTTCCCACGCCCTCATGGCTGTCGACTCCGGAGTATGCAGCAATCCGGTCAGATACTGGCAATCCATCGACCTGCATCTTCTTCAGCCTTAATATTTCCATATACAACCAACAGATAATCTCCTCGGAATGGACCGAACAATGGTTCTTCATGGTCGGCCGTGTTCATCCCTTTGCCCTGACGTGGGAAATCGAGCGACGTGATGGCTTGAGTCGGACGATGATAACATCACAGAATACACCGTCCCCGCGCTTATAGTCCGCGATCACAGCTACCAACCGTGAGTCTATGCTCCAAATCTCTCTGTCGCCACTGCCCTCCTGACGATATCCATAGAATTGTCACTCGCACCTCAGCTCGGTGGATACTTTCCCAACGATACAACCCATTGTCTCCTTCACGGGACCTGTCATCGGCTCCGGCCGCGACCTCCTGCATGGAAACTCGGCTGCGGCCCTGACGACACCCAGCTGAGCTGCTGCGGCTTTGTCCAGCTCTCCACCTTTATTTGTCCTGGGATTCCCGGCAAACCCCTTCAAGGGCTTTCACCCTTCCAAGTTTTCGTCATCTTCCCATTCACGCTAATCCTTGACCTCCTATGCAAGAAGATGACCGAGAGGCGCGACAGCCAGTTCCAGTCGAACACTCTCTTCACCTGTACGGGCAAAATCGCCGGCTTACTGGATCACCAGATCATGAAACATGCCCCGGCTTTCGACCAAGACTATATCTTCATCGTCGTCCCCGACACGTGGACTTTCCACGACAAGGCCATGTCCGACCAGGCTTCTGCAACACAACTACTGCCGACGACACCCAAGAGCGCGGTCGGCAATCCCTCGGACTATAGCGTTGCGTTGGCCAGGTTTACCTCTACGAAGAAACCCAAGGCCGCCCAAAGCCCCGCCTCCCCCACGCCGCATGCTTCTGGCCCAGTCGATCCCCTTATGCTGGCATCAAGTCGGTCATTGCCCGATCCCTACCAAACCCCAACCAAGAGACCGCGACTTTCTCCCGAAACTTCCACCATAATCACCGACTGTGACGGTCAAGACTCCCAAATCCGATACCTCCTCCTTTCTGTCCCCGGAAGACCCGCAGAGTCAGAGACGGACACCGAACAGGTCAATCACCAAGACACATCCGCCTCTGGCTCTATCAGACCTCCCGCGTCGATATCTTCCCGACCACTGCGCGCCCGACGTCCGCCCAAGAATATTCTCTAAACTTTAAAGCATCAAACGAAACAATACAACATGACAACATGTCTCATCATCCTCAAAATCAACTGCCAAAGGCTCGAATAGCACATTCTCTTCTCTTCTTGTTCTCCTTTTCATGAAGACGATCAAGTCAAAACTTCCCCAATATACTCCTTATTCTGTTTATACCTACGACTTATACCGGTAGCACATGTAAATTTTCCGAGCCTTCCACTCGCCCAGACATGCATTACCCACTCACATCTCTCTTCAACCCTGCCGTCTCTCCACGCCCTTTGAGTTTGCGCCTTTTTAAACAAAATCTCCCTCCAGCGGCCTAGCCTGCCTCCCCGACGCTCTGTCTCGGTTTCACTCACGATAATGCTCTACGTCTCTCGCCGTGTCTCGTATCTCGACCTCACTCTTCTTCCTGTCTCCAATCTACTGTCGCCAACTCTCTCTCTCTCTTCTGTAGCCAACTCTTCTCCGGTTCTCTTGTCGCCAAATTTCGTTCCGAAAGGCTTCTTTGCGCGAGCCGCGGCTGGCGAGCCTTCCTCTCGTTTCCCAATATGAGGATTTGGTGCAGACAGGGATTATAAGTTTTTCCAGATCTAATTGGCCGATATTTTGTATGGCAGGGCTCTAAAGTAGGCTGGATTGGCCGGTGTCAGTAGATAAGTGGGTATCGGGAAGCCACTAATTTCTCAGCTGCTCCTTAGCCATGGAAAAATTCTCTCACAACCAAGCCCACGCTCTCTTTGCACAGGCATGGATCACGAGAGTTCATTAGTGGTCTAAATATCCTCCTGCTTGGCGACTTCTTTCAGTTCCCCTGTGCTGCAGAAGCGTCTTTATTACGACAAGGAGGTGCAAGGAGGTGCAAGGAGTAGAGATCAAGGGCAGGAATGCACATCGGCGCTTCGACAAGACGGTTTTCTTGACGGTTGCCCAGCGTCAGCGCGGCAAAGAACAGAAGGGCACATTTCGCACGGCCTCGATCAATTGCGACTGCACCGTCTATTCCAGGAGTCCTGAAGCTCCTCTCCAGCCGCGTGCAGACGAAGCTGGACAATCAGGAGGCGGCCATGTTCGTCAATCCCCTACGAGTATACGCCACGAAAGACAGGGTTAACGAGTATAACAACTACCACCTCGACCGCCTAGGCCGGCCTGTCATCCAGGTCATGGCTATGAGCGTTGGTGCCGGTGCTGCTGCTGCTCCTGACGACAAGGCAGGCAACCTGCGAAGCAGAGTCCGTATGCGTTGGCGCCCGTCTGATGCTGACGTCCAACCTTTGGCAGCCAGTTGGCCTCTGCAACGGCGCACGTGGTACAGTGTACGATATCGCCTGGGCGCCTGGAGCTGACCCCATGCAAGACCCTTCCTGCGTGATCATGATGGAGTTTGATAAGTACATAGGGCCGGTTTCCCCGACCACCGCCGATGGCAGGAAGGTTGTGCCGATTCTACTAGTGGAGAGGACTTTCTCTTGGGCCAACACTCTGCACTCGTACGCAGTTTGCCCTGATCGTATGCTACGCCATTTATGCTACGCCATTACAGTTCACAAGTCGCAGAGCATCACCGAAGACATGATCGTGACGGATCTGTCCTGCCGTGACTTTTAGACCGGTTTGAGCTACGTCGCCATCTCGCGTGTGAAAACGCTGCAGGGTCTGATGCTGGATGCCCCGTTTGACCGCAATCACCTGACTTATGCGTCGCCGCTGGAAGGAATTAAGATGAAAATGAGGATCAGCAACTTCGCAAACGACAGGTTCTCACCCAGAATCCATACAAGATAGGCCACGGGTCTACGTAACTCTACTTGATGCTACCCGCAACAAGAACGACGCTTTCCAAGGCACAAATGAAGTGTATGATTGTAGATACTGTACTGATTGTTCGGTGACTGGTTGACTGTTGGCCAGACTCGCAGCCTTCGGCTGATTGTACGCCTTGCACCACATCCCTGAAGTGCAAGGTGTGACGCAGTATTTTCGATAGTACCGCTGGCCTCTACTCGATGGCAAGTATCGGATATAGCGACTCGAAAAGCAAGCCCAGCAGGAGGAAGATTCTCCTTGCCATCGCCGTAAGAGGAAGAGTGATCACCCCCTTCAAGATCGCTAGGTGCGAACACAGGCTGTGTCTTTGCCGTAGGTGACGCTGCAATCTCGTCTTGCGTATTTTTGTCTCGATAGCTTGCGTCGTTGTATTGACTTTCGGGATCCGAAGATTCCGAAGGCGAGGCAGGACGAAGAAGCATGTCGAGAGCATGAAGATGACCAGTTTGTCCACAGGCAATCGATTCGGTGGAACTCATATTCCCTTGTATTGTCGAGAGAGAGTTAGTCGACATGGCGGGCAAGAGGGGCTCGTTAGATCGTTTGGTGTTCGCTGGTCTTCAAAAGCGTGGGACGAAAGGGAGAAATATGGGAAGCGAGACAAAGGAGGAGGGGGCACCTGAGCTCCTTCACTATCTACACGAGTATGGGACGGGCTGCCTTGGTCGGGACGAGAGCTCCAGCAAGCATCCTGAGAATTCCCAAGGCGCAGCTTTGGCCATCTCATTGCACATATCGTCGGGTGGGATCATGCGCCTTCCTCCTCTTTGGGGCTGTTGTCCGCTGTTGCTTCGCTGATACCCGCCGGCCACCCTTGAGATGGCTTATGCATCTTTTACCAGGAAATCTTCAGCTTCAACATTTACGTGCCGATCACATTCGCTAGTTCTGCAAAGTGACGAGTAGCCAACTTCCCCTGTAGGCGCAGGGGGGCGAACCGAATCGTGCAGACTAATCCGCAACCGCCCCTGCAGCAGGGGTCTGGAAGCGGACGTGAGGCAAGACTTTGTCCGTTAAATTTCTCATCCCTCGTCTTGGCATAAAGTACTAGGGGGGACTAAAATTCGTCCCTCATCCCCCTCCTTCCAGGAGGGGGGGGAACGCGACCAGGAAAAGGCCAAGCGACCGGGAAAAAAAAGAGTAGTACACAGATTTAGTATGATGCAGCCACGTAAAATGGGGTATCCCCCCTTTCCTTCAAGTCCCGCATACTAGACATTTTAGCTCCGCCAATACCGGATATGGTGATTCTCTTACTGTAGCACTAACGCGACATTTTGTCCTCGCCATCTCTCGCGAAGAAAGTAGGCAAATGGACATGGAAAGGGGTCTTTTGTTTGTGCGAGTGGCGTATTCTGTGTCGGCTGTCTGTTGCTCCTCTTATCATCTCCCAAGGGGCATGCCAGCCCTATTATATCCATCCTTCCTTCCTTATTAATATCCTGGCTGTCTTCTGGAATGATCTATAGGAAGCTGGCTGCTTCTTTGCCACTTGCCGTGCGCCATGTCAGACTCTTCAGCTCAATCTTCCTATCTTTCAGCCATTCCGTTGTCATCCAACTCATTCCAGTTGTCATCCAACTAGAGGCTCAACTTTTCTATGCAGTCGGCAGACCTCCCAACCGAGCTTGCAGCTATTTTGACCCTGAGGCTGCTCCTAGTCACCGGATCGTTCGGACCTTCTTCTCGACACCATCCTGCCACCGCAAAGTCAAGTATTTGCTAGAAATGCTTTAATTGAGCTCAAATTAAAGCCATGATTCGACCCAGGCTCAACTTAACCTAGCAGGCAGCTGGCGCCCAATCTCCCTCCTCAGCACGGTGGGCAAGATAATAGAGGCGACGATCGCACGGCGGCTCGCCGATACTGCGGAGACGCATCTACTGCTCCCCGAGGGACAGATGGGCAATCGGCCTAGACGCTCTACGGAAGTAGCAGTCCATATTGTCGCAGAACTGGCGCGCACGGCGTGGGATCGAGGCGGTGTCGCGTCCCTTCTTCAACTCGATCTCAAGGGTGCTTTTGACAGTGTAGACCACACCTGCCTCCTCCAGGCTTTAAAAGGGAGAGGAATCCCGGAATGGCTCCTAGCTTGGATCCGGAGTTTCGTAAGCAACAGAACAGCTCGCCTACTCTTCGACGGCGACGCGTCGGACCCCCTCAGCATACACGCAGGCGTCCCCCAAGGATCCCCGCTTTCCCCGATCCTCTTCCTCTTCTATATCGCCCCCCTTTACGACGCTCTCGAAGCAACGGCGGGAACAATACTAGTCGGCTTCGCGGACGACTCGAACATTCTCGCCTTCGGCAGAACCACAGACGAAACCGCCGAAAGGCTCGAAGGAGCATGGTCTGCATGCGAAGGCTGGGCGCGCTGTAGGGGCAGCGTTCGAACCGGCGAAAAGCGAATTACTGCACTTCACACGCGCCCACGCCCCGCCCGAGACGTGCGTTCGCCTCGGCAACACCACGATAGCGCCGTCAGAGTCCTCCCGCTTCCTCGGAGTTTGGCTTCACCGCAAGCTCCAATGGGGCCTCACCTTAAGCAAATCCAGACCAAGTTTCAGCGCCAACGGGTGGCACTTACCGCGCTCGCTGCGTCTGCGTGGGGATGTCGACTCGCGCGCACGGGAGATCTACACCAAGGTTATCCGCAGCGCCATCGTCTATGGAGGCCCAGCCTTCCATACGCCTACGCCATCGAACGGACGCCCAAGGAGTGGCTCGTGCGCTCTGCAGCCTACAAACGACGTGCCTTCGCACCGTCGCCGGCGCGTATAAAGCCACACCAACCCGCAGCCTAGAAACAGAGACCGAAGTCCCGCCGCTTGACCTCTACCTCAACGAACGGCTAGCGAGATTTCAGAGTCGACTCGAGACCTCGGGGATGGCGGCGCGCCTGCGTCTGGCCTGCGCAAAAGTCAGCAGCGTGCTTCGAAAACGCAAGGGTCCATGGCGCAAACCCGGAAATGACGGCGAGGAGTGGCAACAGCGCTGGTGCATAGGCTCGACGGAGCCTCGTGAAGCTCTATGGCGTGAATGGACGAGAAGGTGGGAAAGAGAGCTGCGAGACGCGAAGGCACGCCATCCTCGTCGCGCCCTCCAACCATCAGACACGGAAACGCCCCCTCCGAAGCCCGGGAGAAGGCTGAAGGCCCACGCCGACCTCTACAAGCACGAGGGCTCCACGCTTATCCAGCTCCGCACGGGGAAGATAGGTCTTAACAGCTTTCTATCACAAGAACGTTCCCAGCGCGACGACCCCTCTGCCGGTGCGGTGGCGGGAGGAAACAGTGTTTCACGTCTTCCTCCGCTGCCCCTACAAGCTGACAACCGCAGGCTCCTCCCAGGCGCCCTCCGCACTGACGCCGACCTCCGCGCGCTTCTTATGCGACCCGACACAGCCCCATACCTCGTCCGATGGTTTCTCAACTTTCGGCCGATACCCCACTACAAGGTAGCAGCAGATCTCGCAAGAAGCTGGACCGCCAGCGCCGCGACAACGACACGATCACGAGCGGACGGAGAGTAGAAAGAGAGAACAAGGTAGCAGTGAAGGTCTTTACTCTTGTCGGCTCCCAATCCCAAACAGCCGCGAAGGGCCTGCACGCACTGCCGGGCCTCGACCCCACAATGGTGTCAATGGCCCCCGCCCTTAGTACGGCTCACACTGGAGCTTGGCGGGCCGTGGACGACCGACTGAACACCAGCAAGAAATTCCTGAGAAAGGAGGTATAAGCGGGATAGAGTTCTCCGTCAGCTGCGCGCGCGTTGACGGCTATTCGGGTACAACGCGCCTACGGACCTGACGCCCCGGCCCAGTTTGGGACGGAGGTCCCCACCTGCACCAGGCTGGCGGCTGCGACCCAACATGCTCAACATCGCGACGACGGCGGCCCGCGGCCGAGGCAGATGAGAAGGTTGTATATAGGTTTTCCTCCTGGGCCACCGGGTTTTTCCTATATAGGTAACGCGTAGAGGCTCTAGAGCCTGCAGGCTAGCTAGTGTAATAAACTACTACTACTACTAAAGCCATGATTCCTTCAACGTCCCATTTATCTGCGGTCCAGAAATGGATCGATTCTAAAACCAACCTGCCTATATTTCAACGCAACATACCTCAGAACCTCGAGGAGCGCACTGTCGCTGGTGCGGAGCTATACAAAGAGGGATTTTACCGGACAATCAGAGCGGCGGCACAGGCGCTAGACGTGCCGTACAAACGACTATGGTCTCGTGTCCAGGGCATCAGCCAGTGCAGCAGAATGGGGGCTTGAATAAGCTCTTCTCGCCGTCAGAGGAGCGAGAGATTCTCTGCTGGTCTCATCGCCGCATCACACAAGGGCATCATATCACAAGTCGCACCCTACGACAGCACGCCAACGCCATTCTTCAAGCTAAAGGGGAAAAGCCGACTATATCAACAACCTGGGTAAAGAACTTTATCAAGAGGAACAAAAAGCTCTTTCACGCTAAAAAGGCAGCATCGCGAGATGCTAAGCGTAAGGCAATGCAAGACCGGGTTCGTGTGGAAGCCTTCTTCCGTGACTGGCGAGTTTCTTATAAGGCGCCGTATCGACTATCGAGCCTCGCAACGTCTGGAATTTTGATGAGACCGGCTTTATGATTGGATACCTTAATAAGGGGACTTTGTGTGGACTTTCAACGAGATTGAGACCCCAATCCTTACAGATTCTCACGATACAGTCTCTATTACGGCCATTGAGGCTATTTCCGCATCAGGGAACTTCATTCCTTCATTTTTAATCCTCCCAGGCGTTCATATCCCTCTTCAATGGACCCAAAACGCACTTGACGGCGAGACAACCTCACAACAAGCCTAAAGGGTACATGAATGATATTATAGCGATTGAGTGGATTGAGCACTTTGAGCGGCATACACGACCCCGGAATCCGAAGGAAATTAGAGTTCTACTTATGGACGGATGCGAGAGCCATTTTACTAGCGACATCGTCCACTTTTGCAAGCAACATTTGATCGAGCTTTTCCCCTTGCCGCCGCACCTTACACATCTACTTCAGCCTCTCGATGTAGGTGTATTCCGCTCATATAAGTACTGGCACCAGCAAGTCTTATATCGGGAGGTTGCCGATGGAGCCACTGACTTTAAGAAGACTGATTTCTTATTCCATCTTCAAGAGGTGCGGAATCGAACGTTCAAGAAGTCTACAATCCTCTCTGCCTGGCAGAAATGTGGCCTCTTTCCCCATAACCCGAGCATTGTTCTTGATGAGCTTCAAGATGCGTTATCTTCTCTCACACAGGTTGTACGGGAACAGGATCTTCCAGGCTATATAAGTGATGGGAGCAGCCAAAGTAGCGAGGCTGACGGCGAGGCTAGAGACGATATTGTATTTGCAACGCCCCAAAGACCACCAAAATACCGCCTGCAAGAGGACGATTTGACTGAAGACTGCACAGACCCCAAGCTCAACCTGGCTGTCATTCAAAACTATCACCAATACGTCAACCTACGGATCCAGGTTTCCTCACTATCCGGGTGCCACTAACGCCGTCAGTGCAGCATGTACGAGAAAGTGCGGAAGGCATCGCATACACTTGTCCTCAACGGCATCACAGCCACGGCTGAGATGAGACGAATCAAGGAAAAGCAACTTGCCCGTTCAAAGCTACACGAAAAGACGTCCATCGTCGCTAAATTTGGACCGTTGACACTTAGCGACGCACGAATTCGAGCAGCCAGAGATGAACACCACAGGCGGGCTGCTCAAGAAGATGAGGCTCGACGAATCAGGAAAAAAGGGGTTCGAGACGAGGCGGCATATCTTCGCCGCTGGCTTCGCGATGTCAGGAGCATTGTGAGGCATAGCATCACAAAAACAACACCAAGCCAGCATCGATGTCAGGGTAGGTGGCTTAAGGCGGATAAAAGGGCGTACCTTAACACCATCAACTGGGTCTGTCAACGCTATCGCATTCATCGCGATCTTATATCTAATGGCCACACTTGTGGCCTTAGAAGGCAGCAAGTCTTTAGCAGCAGCAGCAAACGTGGCCGGAGTATTATGATCACGAGCTTGTGCGAGATGCAGTTGAATTTGTGGTCCTGGAGACAATGGATAGAGACTCAAGCCGGCAGCTAATGACTCTCGAGGCTGACGGGTTTGAGATCACGACGGAACAGGAAGCTGATAACCCGGCAGGCGAATTTTAAGTCATTAAGCTAGAAAACACCAATAGATAGACCCATGATGCGATGCTTCAATTGACTTTTCTGCCTCAATCACGATACATCATTTGTTAAGGGGCTGTTAGGGGAATGTGCATTTAAAAGAAAATCGGGGTACTTGGTCCCCCTAAGAAAATAGCTCGTGGTATAAGTACCGTGTTTTCCCGGTCGCTTGGCCTTTTCCTGGTCGCGTTCCCCCCCCTCCTGGAAGGAGGGGGATGAGGGACGAATTTTAGTCCCCCCTAGTACTGGATGGAGAATGGCCCGGTAGCCGACATGAGGGATGAAACCGCTCGCGACCTTTTTGCACGCACGTGGGGATTCCACATCACTGCCATTAACCCGGAGCCGAACAGGACAATGCCCCAGGGTGAAGGGAATCCCGCCCGCAACGACAGCCTCATGAACCACTTCAATCCTGCCATCATTCTGGGCTGGCTGGCCAATATCGACATATCGCCCTGCACCAGCTTACAGGCAGTCATTACGTATGCTGCCAATTGCAGCAAATCGGAGAAGAAGACGGAGCCTTACTGCAAGCTCGCAGATCAGGTTTTGCCGCATACAGCACACCACCAGCCCCTGTTGTCCTTCTCTCTCGCCTTATGAATAAGTTGATTGCCGAGAGAGATTATTCAGCGCAGGAAATTTCCCACTTGCTGCTCAACATCCCTCTGCAGGAAGGCACTCGGATGGTTGTGTACGTCGACTGCCGTCCGTTGGAGCAGCATGTGCGGTCGTTCCGCGTCGACGAGGATGTCAGTGAGGCTGTCGGCAGCTACCGGAAATATCTGCAGAGAAATGACCAACATGAGAGTATAACCTATCTCGAGTACCTGCAGTCCTACAATCTCAAGACGTGGAGGAGACTCGGTGCGAACGCGAAGAAGAGGGTCCTGTCCTACTTCCTCGGTACAGGTCAGCGGAGGCATCACCCCAGTTTCATGACTTCTGCCGTGTCAAGTTGATGATGGCCCATCCGCATCGCTCTCCGGAGGAGCTGCTTGCTGTGGACGGGCAGCCGTTTGAGTCCTTTGCGGCGGCGTACCAGTGCTGCCGGCAGCGACACCATTTCCATGAGGACGACCATTACGGCGAGGTGGGAGCAAATGAGCTGCAGGCAGAGGACGATGAGTTTCAGCGGGAGGAGCACGAAGAGCCTGTCGTGGAGGAAGATTGGCATGAACTCGCCCGTATGCTGCCAGACCATCCGCTGGAGGAGGAGGATATCGACGTGCTGGGCCGGCGAGATGTCGACGTGAATTATGACTGGACTCCCACGTTGGACGGTATACCGATGACGGCATTCTCCAGGGCGACTTCTGGAAGCAACGCAAAGCCGAAAATCCCTTCACCTTGATGTGGATCATCAGCCGCTGGAGGCTCGCGATTCCCTGAATCCGGAGCAGCGCCTAGTGTACGATACGGTGATGGGCCACTTTCTGACCCAGGCCTGTTCCCAGTTGTTACTCCATGTGGACGGCGGCGGTGGCACGGGCAAATCATACCTCATCAATCTGCTTTCGGCGCACCTCCAAGCCGCCTCGGGCGGAAGAGGGACGCCTGTTTGGCGTGCCGCGCCCACGGGCGTTGCGGGAAATCAGATATCGGGCACTACCTTGCACTCCCTGCTGCACCTCCCCATCAACAAGGACTTCAAGCCCCTGTCAGCGATCGACAAAGCTCAGCTCCAGAAGAAGCTAAAGGATGTCAAGTACCTGATCGTCGATGAGAAGAGCATGCTGGTCTGCGACAGCTGTCATGGATTGATGACCGTCTCCGTGAGGCGTTCCCGAATAGAAATGAGGAGTTCTTTGGTGGTCTTAATATCCTCCTGGTTGGCGACTTCTTTCAGCTTCCCCCTGTACTGCAGAAGCCTCTTTATTACGACAAGGAGGTGCAGGGGGTAGAGATCAAGGGCAGGAACGCATATCGGCGCTTCGACAAGACGGTTTTCTTGAAGGTTGCCCAGCGTCAGCGCGGCGACGATCAGGCAGCGTTTCGCTCAGCTCTTGAGGAATTGCGGCTGCTCCAACTCTCTATGGAGTCCTGGGCTCCTCTCCAGCCGTGTTCAGGCGAAGCTGGACGATCAGGAGGTTGCCAAGTTCGTCAATTCCCTACGAGTATACGCCACGAAAGACAGGGTGAACGAATATAACCACTACCACCTCGACCGCCCAGGCCGGCCTGTCATCCAGGTCATGGCTAAGAACGTTGGCCCCGGTGCTGCTGCTGCTCCTGACGACAAGGCAGGCAACCTTGCGAAGCAGATTCCCATGCATTGGCGCCCGTCTGATGCTGACGTCCAACCTTTGGCAGCCGGTTGGCCTCTGCAACGGTGCACGTGGTACAGTATACGATATCGCGTGGGCGCCTGGAGCTGACCCCATGCGAGACCCTCCTGCGTGATCATGATGGAGTTTGACAAGTACCGGTACACGGGGCCGGTATTCCTGACCACCACAGATGGCAGGAAGATTGTCCCGATTCTGCCAGTAGACAGGGACTTCCTCGTCGGAGCCACACTCTGCACTCGTACGCAGTTTCTGATCGTGTGCTACGCCATTACAGTTCACAAGTCGCAGAGCATCACCGAAGACATGATCGTGACGGATCTGTCGTGCCGTGACTTTCAGACCGGTTTGAGCTACGTGGCCGTCTCGCGTGTGAAAACGCTGCAGGGTCTGATGCTGGATGCCCCGTTTGACCGCAATCACCTGACTTATGCGTCGCCGCCGGAAGGAATTAAGATGAAAATGAAGGATCAACAACTTCGCAAACGACAGGTTCTTACCCAGAATCCGTATAAGATAGGCGACGGGTCTACGTAACTCCACTTGATGCTACCGGCGACAAGATCGACATTTTCCAAGGCACAGATGAATGTATGATTGTAGATACTGTACTGATTGTTCAGTGACTGACTGCTTGACTGGTAGCCAGACTCGCAGCCTTCGGCTGATTGTACGCCTTGCACCACAGCCCTAAAGACTAAAGTGCAAGGCGTGGCGCAGTATTTTATCTACCATAGTTATAATTCGACCCCGCATATAACCCCCTATGGCAATAATTCAGAACCCATTTCACGATGGCGTCATAACACTACATTTTTATCGCCACGTCACTATCTCAATAGTCATCGAGGAAGGCCAATTCTTTGACTATGGCTTCTTCAAAAGCTAAAGAGTCTGCTGTCCAAAAATGGATCGATTCTGCCACCGGCTTACCCAGCTTTTCGCGCCATACAACCGCAAACCTCGAGACGCGAACTATTGCAGGAGCAGAGCTCTACTACGAGGGCTTCTACGGCTCAATTGTGGCCGCGGCGAAGGCGCTTGGCGTGCCCTACAAGCGCCTCTATTATCGAGTCAATGGGCATCACTCAACGGCCGAGAATGGAGGCAACCGTGCCCTGCTTGATCCCTCGGATGAAGAGGAGGTATTTTGCTGGGCACATCGCCGCATCACACAGGGGCACCACATCCAGGGTCGTGCGCTCCAACAACACGCCAACGCCATTCTCAAGGCAAAGGGCGTGGGAGCTACAGCATCGCGAGCCTGGGCCAAGCGCTTTATACAGCGGCATAGAGAACTCTTCCACCGTCGAAGAGCAGCAGCGCGAGACATCAAACGGAAGGCTATGCAAGATCGCATCCACGTTGAGGCTTTTTTTCGCGGCTGGTCTCAAACGATCGAGAAAGACGAGATTCTCCTAAGAACACCTGGAATTTCGACGAGACAGGCTTCATGGTGGGATATCTACATAAAGGCACATTTATTTGGACCTTCCGCGAGATTGATACCCCTATTTTATCTGACGCTCACGATACGGTGTCGGTCACAGCGATTGAGGCTATTTCTGCAGCTGGGAGTTGCATTCCTTCGTTTGTGATTCTCCCTGGGGTCCAAATTCCTGCCCGTTGGGTTACCAACAGCCTTGACGACGATACCATCATTTCAACCAGCCAAAAGGGGTATATTAACGATGTCATCGCGATTGAATGGATCAAACACTTCGAGAAACACACGAGACCGGTTGATCCACTTCAGAAGCGGCTTACTTATGGATAGCTGTGATAATCACTATACAGAAGAGATGGTTCACTTCTGCTTCGATCACAACATTAAGGTCTTCCCAATGCCTCCCCATCTTACACATCAGCTTCAACCTCTTGATGTCGGCGTTTTTAGGTCATACAAACACTGGCATCAACAAGTTCTACATCGTGAGATTGCTGACGGGGCATATGACTCTAACAAGTCCGATTTTCTATATCATCTCCAAGAGGTCCGCACTCGCACCTTCAAAAGCACACAATTCTCTCATCTTGGCAGAAATGTGGCCTCTTCCCATTCAATCCCGGATCGTGCTCTCCCAGCTTCAAGACACGCTCTCGTCGCTCACAGAAGAAGTGGCCATTAAGGACCTGCCGGGCTCGATCGAAAGCGAGCCTCAGGGCGGGCCTCAGGCAGCAAGACCATCAACACCATCGCCACACACGCCGCCTCGATTCAACGATTCAACTAGAACAATGTTTCAACGCCGAGACTCAACCTCTCTACGATTCAGAGGTATCACGCCTACGTACAGCTTCGTCTAGCCACATCAGTTGACTCCCACATGCCGTTGACTCTCCGTCACATACGTCTATGAGAAGGCGCGGAAAGCCGACAAAACCCTCGCTCTCAACGGCATCACCGCAACGGCCGAGATGACAAAGATAAAAGAGAAACAAGCCAAGCGCTCCAGTCTCCAGCAACAGACAACTATTGTAGCGAGATACGGCCCATTAAGCGTCGGTGACGCTAGAATTCGAGTCGCCCGAGACGAATACAATAGACAAGCGGCACAAGAAGAGGAGGCACAGAGAGTCAGGAATAAGGAGGTTCGCGACGAAGCTGGCTATATACGCCGCTGGCTGCAAGGTACGCTTCAACGTCAGGATTAGCATCACAGAGGCGAAGATTCGAGACATCAGAGGTCTCTGGGCCAGGGCGACAAGCGCGCACACCTCAATTGCAATGAGTGGATGTGCGCAAGCAGGATTCTCCGCGAGCTACACAACCGCGGCGTAGGGCAGCAAGGCGATCATGTGGCCGGAGTACTATGATCGCGAGATTGTAAAGGAAGCAGTCGAATTAGTGGTGATGGAGGCAATAAGCGTGCAATTTGCCGTCAGACGCTTCCTTGAAGCTGACGGCATCGAGATGCGATGAAGAGGAATCATAAGACGCGCTCGAGGCTGGGAAGGAAGAAGAAATCGAATAGAGCTTAATTCGATGCCAAAACACCAAAAACACCTCAAAGGCAGTATGGTGATGCATTTGCATTGCTATGACTAGCTTGCAATAAAGCGAACATGTGTTGCACTTATCGCGGGAAGAGAGGTACTTTTAAGTTCTAGCAAAATGGCGGGGTTCTTATGTACTTTCTTTTTTCCAGGTCAACGAGCTTTTTCTAGGTCAACCGCCCCCCCGTGACTGTGGAGCTGTCACGGGGATTGGCCGACTTTGAGGCCCCCCTACCCGTGCCACGCCCCACTTATTTCGCGTTCGTTCCTCACCAGCTCCATATTCTGGATAAGAGGATGTGACTTGGGAGGAAGATATGCCGCGGAAAAGCAAGAACAGCACCAAGCGCAACTCGAACCAATTCGAGTTGCTCGATGACGAGGATGACGGTACGAACGACAATGTGGCCTGTAGCATCATTGTGGCCAATTCGACAAGCGCGGCCGACGCGACAAGGACCAGCGCTCGCGGTCGCCCTCTGAAACCGACACTGCAATTCGACCCAGAACCGCGCCCATCACGAAAGAAATCCGCCGTCCCGAAAGCGAAATCGACGAATGCCGACCCCGGTGCCAACGAGGATTCATTGGCACGAATCGAAACTCTCCTGAAACGCGTCGAGGAGCGGGCCGAAAGGGCGGAGAAACGCGTCGAGTCCTTGGAAGAGTTCATTCGAAACGAGCTCTTCCCACGCGTCGCTAGCCCTCCGGAGTCCGCCACTCCAAATGCGCCTCATCAGCAACAGCAACAGCACCTGCCACCTTCGCCACCCTCTCCAGTCCCAGGACCACTGCCAGGCATTGGGTTGGACGTGAGTCGGGTCCTAGATAGCGACATAAGGGAAGGAAATGCCGGCACTATTCGTCGGCGCGCGAACGCTGCCCTTGAGAATTTGGGTGTGACCTGTCTTGGCGTCAATTCTAAAGGAAACGGGCGTTTTCGGCTTCTCTTTCGAGAGACGGACGTCGATAAAGTACGGCAGAACGACACCTGGATGAGGACACATTTCGACAAGGGAACGCTATATGGGGAGCAGTGGTACCCTCTACGGGTTGATAGAGCCCATCGTGGGGTTGCGACGGATGATATCGGATGCGCCGTGTTTGGGCGGATGAACGGGGTGGAAGTGCACAAGATGCGATGGCTCGGGACAGCGTCTGTCGACAAGGAATACCGCTCTCTGGTGGTACACCTGGATAAGAAAGAGGAGGTGGACAGGTTGCTTGCAAAACGAACGGTTGAGATGGCGAATGGCGAGTGTGCATACACGCGACCATTCGTTCAGGGACTTCAACCAGCGAGATGCTACCGTTGCCACCTCTACGGACACTTGCATTATCGCTGCAAGGCCCCAGCTCCGATCTGTGGACAGTGCGCCCAACCGGGCCATTCTGCGTCGACTTGCACCTCGAACGTTTTTAAGTGTGCAGCGTGCGGTGGAAAAGGAGCACACAAGGCTACAGATCCTGGGTGCCCGGTATATCGCCGGAACTCGCCAAGTTACGACCGTCGCCCTACTAACATACATCCTCTGTCTTAACCTTTCTTTTCAGCACAAACCCTCTACCTATACCTGTGGTTGCCCCACAGCTGGTAGGTTAGCTACACCGGACGGCTAAAGGCAGGTGGACTCTTCGTCAAATGCGGCGGAGGAGAGTGGTCTGTACCTCATCAGACAGGCTCCAGAATTGGAAAGGCACAGGTCAAATGAGCAAGAGACGGATTGAAGGATGTAAGAGAAATTTAGGCATTCGATCGGGACGAATTCCTTGGGCTCGGAACCGAGTATTGGACAACTCTAGAATAGGCTTAGCGAGTCTGACGCAGTGCCTCTGACTATCGTCAATGGCGAAATAAACATCATCATCATCACCTTCGGACTTAGATCGTTAACCCGTTTTCACGACACACCTCCTTAGCTATAGCCTATCCCGATCGGGTGTAGCTAAAAAGCCTTTAAGGGCAACGATCGAAGGGCCGATCGACCGGTGTGAATAGGAGATACGAATGCTTTACCTTCCCGGCGGCATAGGCTTCCTATGGTCTTTGATCTGGTCTCGGAGGTCTTCTAACCGGGCCTCTAGGCGTAGCCGCTCCCTGAGATCTTCGAGCCCAATCATCCTTTGGAACTCGAAGAGTTTCTGCTTTGGCAGAGCTTTGGTCAAGCCATCGGCTTTCATATGTGCCGTGGGGACCCAACGAACCCGGATTCGGCCTTCCTGGCATTCCTGACGTAGCCAGTGTTGATGAATTATGAATATCGACATGCCTTAGCCGTGTAGATAGCTTCGCGCTTCCTTCTTCGAGGAGCCTGATTGTCTGCGAGTTATCACACTCTACTAGCAACGGCAAGGGGATCTGAATCCGTAAAGACGCCAACAACCGGCTTAAGAAGATTGCTTCCTTTGAGGCTTCCGAAAGAGCTAGGAGCTCTGCCTCTGTGCTCGACGTTGTGACTGTGGCTTGCTTCGAGTCTTTCCACGCAATGGTTCCCCCGAATAGGGTCATAACGTAGCCTTGAGAGCTTTTTCTATGGAGAGAATTGTCTGCAAATGATGCATCACTCGTACAAAGAAACAGTTCGACGTTCTTTGAGCCCCCAAGCCTTATGCCGTACGAACGCGTGCCGTAAAGATAAAGGATGACTCTGTCTACGGCTCGTTGGTGTGATTCGTCCGGGTTCTGGTTGTGACGGGCTAGCCGGGAGACTGCAAATGCAATATCCGGCCTCGTGGAAATGGCTGAGAAGAGCACAGATCCGACCTTCTGGAGATATTGATGTATCTCCCTTTGGGTTGCTTCGCCAGAGGCCGGAAGGAGCTCTTCGTTTGTGACCATCGGAGTGTCTGGGAGCTTTGAAGAGCCTAGGATTTCGAGAACGTACTTATGAGCTATCTCGTCAATATACGAATCTTGGGTCAGCCAGATCGTTCGATGGGGCCGATCCCGGAGGATGTGTATCCCTAGAAACCATTTAGGTTCCCCTAGGAAGCTCATTTTATAGCGTTCTTCGAGCCTTTGTATGGCTTCCTTAGCTAAGCTTTCATCTTCCTTTCGGTAGGCCCAGATAATGTTGTCCACGTAGAAAAAGACGGTCACTGCACCCTTCATCATCACACAGGGTTCCTGAGGGGCTTTCTTGAACCCCAGCTCTTCGAGGGAGCCTGTGAGATGCTGTTGCCAAAGAAGAGGGGATCGGCGTAGACCGTAGAGAGCTTTCCGAAGCCGTAGCACTTTTCCGGGTTTCTGGAAGCCCGGTGGCATCCTCATAAAGACGATTTCTTCCTCTTCAAGGGGGCAATTGACAAATGCATTGACAGCATCCATCTGATCAAGCTCGAGGTCATACTCGGCGGCAATGGCCATGAGGGTCCGAAAAGACATCCCGGCCAAGGTTGTGGCACGGGTCGGGAGGTCCCCCTTTTTCTGTTGATTGCCGCAAACGACGAGCCGTGCTTTGCACTTCTGAAGAAGTCCGTGCTTGTCTGTCTTATAGATGAATACCCATTTGCATCCGAGAACCTGGTGGCCGGCAACCCTTTTCCAAGAAATCTCTTCAAAGGAGCCCATTTCCTCATGTGAGGTAAGATGATCTTGTTGGGCTTGGACGAATTCCTCCCTATAAAGGTGATTCTCGAGTTGTTTCTGGGTTTCTGGGGGATCCGGGAGATCTCTCTTATGGACCTTGGTGGGCCTCTTTCGTGGCCTGAAGAGCCTCCCTGCTGTAAATGCTCCGCGGCATCCGTCTTGGATGGGCGTAGGATTAAAGTCCGAAAATCGGTCCGATCGGTCGAAAAACGGGTCTTCCTGTCCTATCCCTGTCTGATCAGACGCTTCCTTGGCTTTGCAGAGCAGGGCCGAAAAAACAGCCGCTGTAGGATTGGCCGGAAAGTGAGGTTTTTCCACCCCCTCACGGAGGGCGGCTTTCCCCCCCACCCCCTCAGGGGTAGCGACAGGAAGATGAACTGAAAAGACTGCCCCTGGTTCGTCTTCTGGATCCGCTGTGGTGGGAGGCGTAAGAAGGCCAGCTCCTTCGAGAACTCTAGCCTTCCCGTAGTCTTCCTTTTCCTGTTCCTCGCTTTGGTCTTCTTCTTCTTGGGTTCTTACGACGATCGTACTTCCTGCAGTGCTTTCTGCGTCGAGGTCTTCGATATCGGTTTCTTCATCGGTTTCTTCATCGGTTTCTTCATCGAGAGCTTCTTGGTTGACTCTCTGATCCTCCGGGATCTCTATCTTCTGGACAAGCTCTTCGATGCCTGATAGCAGCGATTGTTGCTCGAGCTTTCCGTCGAAGAAGGTATGTTCGTCGAAAACAACGTCTCTTGTCGAGATAACCTTCTTAAGATATGGAATCCAGATCCGGAAGATATTCGTAGAATTATAACCGACAAGATACCCAATGTGAGCCCTCGGATCAAGCTTCCGCAGTTTGTCCCTTTTCAATTGGGCGTTTGCAGTCATCGCGTAGGCCCTGCAACCGTAAGCCCGAAGATGTGACAGTTGGGCATTCTTGCCTGTGAACAGCTCGATCGGGGACTTCCATTCAAGTTCTTCTTCGGCCCCTGGCTTCGCGTCGGGCTCCGGAGCGTCGGACCCGGCGTTGATTTGGACCTCGGCTCTCTTGGAGTTCGATTTCGAAGATAACATGCGGCTTCCACGATCTCTTTCCAGAGGTTATGCGGGAGCCTTGAAGCGATTCTCATCACCCTGCCTCTTTCTATAGAAAGGCCTCCCGATCTTTCGGCCCCTCCATTCTGGGATTGGGTGTTTGAAGCCGATCTTTCCGCTGAAATGCCCTTCTTTCGTAACCATGCTGTGATCTTCTTCGTAAAGAGCTCCCCATCTGAGCGTACGATCTTCACTTCGAAGCCGTATCGGTCTTTCATCCAATGGACAAAATCCCTCAACACAGCCCAATTATGCTTCTCTTGGTAGGTCCGCATAAAATAGGGGAAAACCATTCCTGTAAAGGCGTCTGTGATAAACATCACACGGACGAAGTCTTCGTGGTCTGCGGAAAGGTCGGTCCAGTCGATCCAAATCTCGTGACAAGGGCGATTTCTTTCCCGGTCGGGGGGTCTGCGGGAAATTTGTTTCCTGGCCTTCCCCTGAGCACAGAATTCGCACTCCACAGTCTTTGGCCCCTTGATTCGAACCCCGTTCCGAAGGCCTAGCTTGTGGAGGGCCAGTGGGCCCGGGTGACCGAGGCGGGCGTGCCAGAGGTTGCCGTCTCCTTGGCTGGCCGGGCGAGGGTCCTTGGTCCCGGCCCTTCGAGGTTTTGTTGCTTGGAAGACTGTGTCGAAATTGACGGTCTCCGCTTCTGCTGATGGCCTGAACTCCAGGACGAATTGTTGGTATCTCCTTTGAAGAATCCCAATCGTTTGATTCCGCCGTACTAGCCTCGTAGGCTCCGAGAAGGTGTCCCAATAGATTCCTTCATCTCGTAGGGCTTGAAGGAAATCAGGCTCGTTGAAAAGCTTGGGCAGTAAGCTACCTTTTAAGCCGAAGTATTTGGAATGATCCGTCCGGTAAGGTCATCGTGAAATTAACCCTGCCGTACCCTCAATCCGGACTTCTGATTCCCTGTGATTAGGTAGTCTTTCTGGGCCTTTCTGAATGACCGGAATCGGCTGAGTGTGTTACACACGTGAAGGGAAGCTCCTGAGTCAAGGATCGCGGATAGGCGGAGCGGGTATTCCGACACTGCCACCGATGACCCGGCTGGGTAGACGAAAGCCGGATTGGCCGTTCCAACCATCCTTCCTCGAACCCGGGTCGCTGGTTGCTATTTCCCATCTTTCTGGATTTCGCGGATCTCCTCGACCTTCTTCCGTAGGTCGGGGTTATCCTTGATAGCCTTCTGGGCTTTCTTGCACAGCCTTTCAGATCGATTGAAATGGCCTGGCCGTAATTCCTCGAAGACTTGCCAGCAACCCTCAAGTTCATGGCTGTCAAGACCACAAGCTGGCGAGCTGCTTCCTGGTAGGTCCATCTTTCTTCTAGGTATTGTTTTGGTCGCTTTGGGGATTCTCGATGCAGTCCTGGTCTATGTGCTTGGTAGATCTTGAACTGGATGGCGGCGGCTTCTTCGTCTAGCCTTTTGCTTCCGCGGATAAATATAGCCGAGAAGTCGTCGGAAAGGGGCTTAACCAGGCTAGCTATGTCTCGTAGCCATTGGCCGGTCACAGCCTCCACGAGAAAGTACTGTTCAGCTTCTCCCATGATTTCCTCCCATCTAGCGAGCCAGGTAGAGATATTCTTCGTTGGAAAAGCTCGAAGATGGATCGTATACTGGGCTCGGATACGTTCCATCATATAGCCCCTCGTTGGGGCTGTCGAGGCCTCGAGCTTTACAAACCACTCCCGAAGAGTCTCATCGTCGTGAAGGGAGGTCAACTTCGCTTTGCTAATCGTCTCCGTAATCGTCGTACGGGCTGCCGTGGCGAGCCTCGTCTCGTAGAGGTATTCCTTTCGGCGACCTTCGTAGTCCCTCGATGCTTCAGTATAAGCTTTCTGCTGGCCTGCATTCAGATCAGCAAATCTCTCAGCCTCAGCGTTGAAATCGCTGAATTCGGGGCGTTCTGGTAGTTCAAGGGGGGTCTTGTCATGTTCGAAGATGAGCTTGTGGATGGTCTTGTCCACACGGGCCCGAAGCTCCTTCAGCCACTTATCCCAATCCTGAGGCTCCGAAAGAATCGTGCGCTGTATGGTGTCCTTCGACATCTTGGTTGAAGCAGAAAGGATGATTAAGGAGAGAGAAATGGGGCGTAAAGGTGTCTTAATCGACGATAAGTTCAATCGAGAGCGGCTGTGGAAGAATGCAGCAGCCGGAAGTTACAGAAACACTGTTTCTCCCGGGCTCATAACTCTCGCGAAGAGAGGATGCAAGTGATGAATTGATTAAGTTGCTTGTTCTTCTGTTATTCCTCCTCTCTAACAAAAAGTGACTTCTTATAGTTCTGTCACTTGTCTGTGGTGGCGATGTCGCCACCCAGGCCGCCTAGATGACGTTGTCATCTAGAAGGTTCGATACCACCGCTTACCAACGACATTATTCATCCTTCTCAGTCACCTTTGCTAGAGTCAGCCCGACTAGGTAACCCTCGGACTTAGATCGTTAACCCGTTTTCACGACATTGTCGGAAAACGCGGTTGTCAGTCATATGTGTTAATTGCAGCGCACCTGTCGGAGCGCGTTCCACTTTTGCCTGCGTGGCGCAGTGGTCTTCGCGACAGACTGAGGCATTTCTTCAGAGAGCAAGTCGAAAAGAACCGAAGTGAGCATGCGCGACCGAGACCGAGACAATATCCCAGAAATTTTCGTACAGGACGATCGACACGGTGACACAGATAGTGCAGGGTAACGTCCCATATGTTCGAAAGTACCTTGGGACCCATTCCGATGCGAAAATCTTTCTGCATGGAGTTGACTCATGGGACGGGCTGCTTAGCGAGGCGTCCGATGATGAGGACGAGAAGACAAGCTTGAGGGAAGCCGCGGTGGAGATATCTGGGACGACTGCTCTGCACATGGCTGCGTGCGAGCAGTACCCTAAGACGGTTGACCTTCTTCTCTCCAAGGGTGCCGATGCGAACGCCGCAGACATCAACGGCCGCACTCCTCTCATGGAGGCAGCTTTGTGGGGCCGCCTGCAAACGTAGAGATCCTATTGAGGCACGGGGCCGACAAGTTTTTGGCATGCATCGAGCGGGACCGTCTTATGCTCCCTGTCGACTTTGCGAGACCGCTGAGGGAGAAAGCACAGTCCCGACGGTCATGTGAAGGTGGCTCTTCGAGCGCTGAGTACATGGAAAAGGAAGAAAGGAGTCCGCTAAATGAGTGAAGGTGACTTAATGGATATCATGTGATCCAGAGTGCAACACGCGGCGAAATCAGAAACCAGTATGGCTCAAGGGCAACAAGTGCGGAGACTGCTGTCGTGATTGCTGGTGTTTACGCCGTGCCTTACGAGGTCCAGTGCGTGATATGAAATGGCTGATTTCGGCTGTGTTAATTAATAGAAGCCTCAGGCTTTTCCAGAGCCAACATTGTCATAAAGCAGCTTAATGCACTTGGCTGATACTTGCTGTTTTCCCCAGAAGAGCTCTGTGTATATATAATGGGTATGAACACCACATGACTGAAGAGTTATGTGCACACAGCTCTCCTATAAGTCCTTGAAAAATGGTTGCTTCGGCTCTGACCAGGGTGGCGATCAATTCAATTCCATCAATTTGGCCTCATTATTGAGTTGCGTTGACAGCTTATTCATCATTGGTCCCGTTGAGTTGAACCACCTGCCTTCAGATGGGGGCGATGGAGTTGAATTGAAGACGTTGAACCTGGAGCCAATCGCGAAATTTCTTCGCCGTCTCATTTTTCGATGCACTCTGCAGAGGCGCAGTCTGCTCTTCGACAAATCCGCGCTGCAGCAAGGCAGGCCTTGGGCAGCTTGGTAGCAATTCGTCGGAGCGCCGCAGCTTAGTCCGGAAGGGTTTTGGCTGCTTTTGGTACTTCAGCTTGATCATTTCATTCACTAACTATAGGGGCTTTTGGCCTCGACGTGCGCTTCACGAGCGGATGAGCTTCGTCCAGGGATTTGAGACGCGCAGCAAATGCAGTCCGGCGCGCCTCGAGCAGCAGAGGGACCGGCGGTATCCCTGCCTCCCGGTGCAGAACATTCGTTGGTGTAGTTCTCCACACTGGCAGGATAGCCCGAAGAGATGTGTAGAGTGCCTTGCTCATCTTCTTTACGAGGTGTCCGATCCTGGACGGTCCTTCCTTGCCCGGCTTGGTCCAGCGCGGGCGCGTAGAACCAGGATACCAGACCTCCGCCGCGTAGAGCAGCACTGGAATGACGCAAGCGCAGACCGCTCGTCGCACAGCGCTCGGTAGAGGACCATGCCTGGTGTTTGTCAGTCTCCTGAGATGGGTCGATGAAGTGGGCATCTATAGGTTGGCCCGGAGTTTATTTAACAAGCAGGTGCCTATGTGTCGTCTATCTAGAACTAAAGAACTTTCATCCTCTCGACCAGCCGCTCTTTGCACACTCCGTTGTATGCCCCCCTAGACGTCAAAGATGAGACTTAGCACTCTGCCCGTTCTCCAGGCTTTATAAATCCTCGCCTGCAGGAGCACGAGTGCTTGGTCTGCTGATCTGCGTTTTCTTGCGCCAAAGTGGTTTGCAGGCAGAAGCCCGTGAGCCTCGACTGCGTAGCTGATGCGCTCCGCGACAACCGCCTCAAGAATCTTGCCAAGGGTCGATAGCAGAGAGATTGGTCGCCATGCTTTGGCCAGCGTGGAGAGAATGCTTCCTCCGACCTGTAGTTTGTTGCAGTTTAGATCTCGGGTCTATTTAATGCTTCCCGCACTGGTATGCTTCCTCAAGTAAGCAGCAGCGGCGGAACCATCGCCGCTACTTGGCATGTTATCACTGCATGTCAAAAAACGCGGCCCTACAAACCATATGTGTAGCTGAAGCCTGACTGCTTTCAGGACGGAGCCGGGTCTGTCGAGGCCTTGGTTGATTGTTCCGACACTGGCCAGTTTTCTCAGGGAACCAAGGACGATGGCCCGATGTCGTGACGCAGGTACAGTAGTGTTAAAGGGAAGGATGCGAGACCAAAAAACAAGAGGTCAGCCGAGTTAAGGCATGACTGCATTTACCTTCTGATGTGTCAAACACCCTTTTCTACCAAGTACAAGATAGCCCACCAGGCTGCAGCACGCCTTGCCGCCCTATTACATGTATTCCTTGGCCCAGGCTATTAGAGCAAAGATGTGAGCAACAATGTCCTCTCTATGCCGGTTGTTCTTTATGTCGAACCACACCGTAGAGTGCACATGCAAATAGCCATTCGAATTAGCGAACAAGTCCTCATAGCTGCTATGGAAGTCGTCAGAAATATGAAAGTGGAAAATTTTTATAAAGTGGCTGGCCGTAAGAATCGTGACGAAGCTTTAAAATCCAGATAGTTAGTATTCGGCTGGCCTGATTAGAGGGAAGAACGTACTCGGTAGAAGAGACTGCGGGAACTTCTGCGCATCGTATAGCCAACGCCTCTCCCACCATTTGGGCTAGCAGCTCGTCGGAGACAATTGGAATCCCGTCGATGACTTTCGCGAACGTCCGTTTGCCTTCTAGCATCGCTACATGTTGGTGATCGCCATCCAAGTCAATGAACTGGATGCCCCCATCATCGATTGCGTGGACCATGTGCATTTTGCCCCGCGAGAAAGAGTACGTCTGACGCTCGTCACGGAAGTAAAGAAATGGACCCGCCTGGTCCTGGTGCTGGCCGTAATTCAGCACGCAGCGGATAAAGCAGCTGGCGAGACGGACAGTAGCATCCTCGACGAGCGGTGCCACAAGGCCCTCGATGTAACCCACGCTCGAATGAGTCTCATGCGAGTCCGACGTTGCGGGCCTATGCTTATAGTCGGGGGAGCTCCCGAAGGTGACCTGGTCGGACGGAACGAAGTCTTGAAGTTCCACAGGTCTCTTTGACGCCCGTTTGGATGCTTCCCGGATTGCTGTCTCCGAGAGGGCGTCCTGAATAGAGCCGGCGCCAGCTCGCACAAATGGAGCCAAAGCTGCCCAGACGTAGCCGAGGCTGTCCGGTTTATAGTGCTGCACGAGCTGAGGCTCCACCCTGTATTTGAGGGCGTCGATGCTTTCCGGGCCTTGGACCAGAGCGTTGATGCAGGTGTTGGTGTTTCTTGGGTTGCCAGGCAAAAGCCTGCGGGACTCAAAGAGAGGTAGCCTCTTTCTAGGCTCCTTGCAGAGGACGCGGTGCGCAAACAGGTGTTCGCGACCCCATTGACTGGCGGCGCTCTTCCAGCGCTCGGACCGAACTAGGGCAGAGAGGCTATCGTTGCCCTTGACTCTTTGCGCAAAGGTGGACGGGTCTCTGACTGTGTCGTAGTAAGACATGATTGTGGCGTGTAGTGAAGGGCAAAAGATGTGACGCGTGTGTGTGTGTTTGTGACAGCTGCCCAGACTACAGGTGGTAGCTCAGAAAAGTAGTGCGTTGGAGAGACAAGTGTATCCCTAGCCGGGCATCCTCGACGGTTTTTAAGAATGATGGGCTGGGGAGCGTGACGAGTGTTTGCCGCTTCCAATTTGGGGGCCGTGTTTCATCAAGCGCTGTGTGCTGGGTCAGCCGTGGCGAACATGAGAATGATAAAGGCAGGCTGCAGCATGTAGCATGCAGCAACTGCAACCTTTTCAGGGGGTTAGCGCTTACATCTAGGTATACACGATCAACTTTTCCGGCTTGTCCACGTCCTCAGGGCTTGTCGCCGAGAGGAGAAGCGCCAAGAGACGACCACGAAGCGTTTCAACAGGCTTATAGGGAACAGAGGAGATTTGAACGGTAAGGGAACCGGGCGCCGACGGCTTCATGGCGGGGTTGTCGAACATGCTGATGAGGGACGAGGGTATATTTGCTGAATATATGTATATATAATTGCGGTCTTCGGTGCTGAACATGAGCTTGGGCTATAAACGCATTAGCAGGTCAGCTGACATAGATCAGGGTGTGCATACCTACCGTCACGCCAGCCGCCTGCTGAGTTTTTGGCCGGCCCAACGCCCTCCATTGTAGCTGGCCGAGGGCAATCAAGAGCGCCACCAGATACGGATCGTGTAACGACTCGGTAGGAGTAACCATCTTCAGTTGGAGCTTGCCTAAGTTGATTGCAGGGGGATTGTATCGACGTATCGGCGGTCCGACCCTTTTCTCGCGTTGAGAGATAATGCGGCTGCGGTCGACATGTGCAGCCACGGGGATATGATCGCCGAGGCAGTAGTAGTGGCATGGAAGAATGACACTGCGATGGCCACCAAGATGCAGGTAGAGATCGCAACTACGGGTGTCAAGGTTAGGTTGCGCCACTTGGCCGTGTGCATCGACTCACCGCCAATACAATGGTGAAGGTTCGAGGCCAAGAAGCCCACGTATTGATCCCTCCTTTACCATCCACAAGTGTCGATTGCCAAAGAAGTAGCGCTCAAATTTCCGTACTCGATAGGCATCGTCGGTCGGCGAGATGCATCATGGCCGGGGGGGCAGGACTGCATTGGCTGAATGTGCACGACAAGATCTCAAGATGCAGTCTCGTCCACAGTAGAGGCTCGATGAGAATGCGCTTCCTCGGTTGGCGGCGAGCCGACTCGTAGATGGAAAGGGCCTCTGCATTGACGCGTTGATTCGAGCTCGGCGGCTGTTCCATCTTGACGGAACTTGTGTCGAGCGAGCCATGGGGAACGGATGGCAAAGGAGAGAGAGGAGGGGCATAATACATAAGCCGCTCCCGTCACTTGGTCCGATGGCGGATCAACTGGCGGGCCGAAAAGAGGTGGGAAATGCAACACATTAACGTACCCCACTGCGTCATGCAACGCACTAGGTCATGCAACAATTTTCAACACCTGACGCGTCTTCTTCAAATTGACGCGATATGGACCACAACACTCGTATTGCAGAGGCAATTATAGAAATGCAATCCCAAGATCGCCCTAAATATGCAGAGACCGCGAGGAGATACAATATCGACAAATCCACGCTGTGGCGCCGCTTCAAAGGCAAAACAGCCTCAAATCACGACGCGAACTCTTACTCGCGACAGAAACTCACCAGCGCGCAGGAGGAGATTCTTATTGGGCACGTCAATAAGCTGACCGACCGTGGTATCCCGCCTACCCTCAGATGTTGAAGAATATCGCCGAGGAAATCGCAGGGACAGAGCTTGGTGTCAACTGGGTGAGCCGCTTCCGCAAGCGACACCATGACCGTCTTTCGAGCTTGTATTTGCGCACCATAGATCATCAGCGGAAGGCTGCTGATAATTCCAGGCATTTCCAAAACTTCTTCAATCTAGTAAGACTGCTTTTTATCGTCATTTCAAGGGGTATACTGCCGACAATACTCGGTCAAATGCCGTAAAGTCGCCATTTCTGACCGAATCCAACTAGCTCCGCGAAAAGATCGAAAAGTACAACATCAGTCCCTCAAATGTTTATAATTTTGACGAGAAGGATTCCAAATTGGTCTCTCTCGCTCCACCAAGCGAGTTGTCCCCGAGAAGCCCTCAGGCGCGGAAAACTGGTCGGGCAAGCCAAGACAGGAACCGGGAGTTCATCACGCTGATCGCTGCCATATGTGCAGATTATTCGTACCTGCCACCGGCCCTCATTTACAAAGGGGAGTCAAAAGACTTCCAAGATACTTGGCTTGAGGATTTTGACCATTCCAGCGAAGTAGCCTTCTTCGCCAGTACGGAAAACGGCTGGAGCTGTGATGCACTGGGTTTACACTGGCTTCAGCGCATATTTGACTGCCATACGAAGCAAAAGGCTGGTCGTGCCTACCGTCTCTTAATTTTAGACGGTCACAATAGTCACATTAACCTGAAATTCATTGACTATGCCGATCGAAATCGAATTCTCATTGCTGTGTTGCCATCGCACTCAACTCATCGGCTTCAACCACTCGATGTTGGCCTGTTTTCCGCACTCTCCACCTATTATGCTCAAGGTTCCGACCAGCTGATGTCCATTGGATGGGGGTTAATTCGCCTTACCAAACGGAATTTTTGGCCACTCTTTCGTGATGCGTGGAACCAGGCATTTACGGCCAAAAATATCGAGGCTGGTTGGCGGGCCACAGTACTAGGGGGGCCTCAAAGTCGGCCAATCCCCGTGACAGCTCCACAGTCACGGGGGGGCGGTTGACCTAGAAAAAGCTCGTTGACCTGGAAAAAAGAAAGTACATAAGAACCCCGCCATTTTGCTAGAACTTAAAAGTACCTCTCTTCCCGCGATAAGTGCAACACATGTTCGCTTTATTGCAAGCTAGTCATAGCAATGCAAATGCATCACCATACTGCCTTTGAGGTGTTTTTGGTGTTTTGGCATCGAATTAAGCTCTATTCGATTTCTTCTTCCTTCCCAGCCTCGAGCGCGTCTTATGATTCCTCTTCATCGCATCTCGATGCCGTCAGCTTCCAAGGGAAGCGTCTGACGGCAAATTGCACGCTTATTTGCCTCCATCACCACTAATTCGACTGCTTCCTTTACAATCTCGCGATCATAGTACTCCGGCCACATGATCGCCTTGCTTTGCCCTACGCCGCGGTTGTGTAGCTCGCGGAGAATCCTGTAGCTTGCGCACGTCCACTCATTGCAATTGAGGTGTGCGCGCTTGTCGCCCTTGGCCCAGAGACCTCTGATGCAGTGTGGCTAACAAACCGACCGTCTGTCAGACGGTCTGAAGGTGGTCTGAGAAATTGCAGACCGACCGCCCGAAAACCTCAGACGGTCTGGGTCTGATCAGACGGTCTGACCCACCCTTAATGTGGGCCCATTACTATGGAGCGGAGAACTTTTTTGTTCTGCCGACTCAAGCTGTCGCGTTCTCGTTTTCGTGACATTGCCACGCGCTCTTTGGCTTTCAACGGTTATGGCTTGTAGTAGGGGCGGCAGTCCAGCGCTGTCTATCCCATCAGCCTCATACCTCACCGGAGAGAATCCAGATGCCACTCCAGCCACCTCGGAAGCAACAGTCGATGAGCTGGATTCGTCGAGGTGTGACTTCGCAATCGACTGGGATAATATCTGGCACCATGGTAAAAGGCTCGTTGGCGCAAAGCGGCGATTTCGTCATAGGAGGGTGGTCGGCACCAAGATCAAAGAATCATGGATCTACAGATATGGTGCGAATCTTGAGCATGCCGGCGTTCGTTATTGGCTCTGCAGGATCTGTCATTTGAGAAGAAGCTATGCGACAGCTCTGTACGTCTCATCTGGGACATCTCATGCAGCGCGGCATTTGCTTCGTCATCATCGAATTACGGAATTAGGCGAGGGAGAGGATGATTTCGGCTTGAGAAATCCGTTCGCTTTGGCTGCAGCATCCGCTTTCTCGAGGTCGTATTCTGTACCTGGTCCGTTAGGTCCGGGTCTACATCTTGCACGCTGCTTTGACGAAGCGACATGGAAAGCACGTTTTGTAGATTGGGTCATAGCCGAAGACGTGACCTTCCGTCAAGCGTCGAGCGAGAGGCTCAGATGGCTGTTGGCGAATGGTGGGGAACAAGTCAGCAAGCTACTGCCAGAGCATCACAGCACAATTCGTTCATGGATTCGCGATTCGTACGAAGGGCGTCGACAGGCTATATGCAATCTTATACGAGGATCGAAGAGCTCCGTTCACTTGAGCTTTGATCTATGGACAGCTTCAAATGGATTTCATTACGTCGGGTCGTTGGTCATTTCGTCGACGGACACGGGAAGAAGCGCGATGTTCTTCTGGGACTGCCGCGCCTGATAGGGCCGCATTCCGGTGAGAACATTGGTCCACACATCAAGAAGGTGATAGACCGATACGAGTTAGGATCAAAGCTTGGGTATTTCATGCTTGACAATGCGGAGAGCAACGATACATGCCTTCAAACTCTGGCGCAATGGTACCCGATGGACGTGCAGCGACGGCGACTGCGTTGCGTTGGCCACATCATCAACCTGGTCGTCCGGGCTGTCATATTTGGCTCCAATGCTGGAAGTTTGAGTCACAACTTCGAGCTGCGACCGACGAGTTCAAATTTGATGTCTGGGCCAAGGTCGGAGCAGTGGAAAACTTCACAACCTCGCCACGTACATCCGTCGAACGGACCAGCGGCGACAAGCACTTCGACAGTTGCAATCGGAGCTTGCCGGGACGATCCCATCTTTACGCTGGAGATCCTGGTTGATGGTAAAACGAGATGGAGCTCCATTTACATGATGATTAGAAGAGGTAGGCTTCCGTGGTGTCTGAAGCTGCAACCATCTGAACATCGTTGACCGTCAGCAGCGCTCGAGCTTCGGAGTGCTATTGAGCTCTATCAGTCGCGTTGGCAGAAGCTCAGGAATGATGTGGATCGACGTGACATCACCAAGGACTTCCTGAACGCTACCGACTGGGTCGAGCTGCAACGGTTTTTTGACTTTCTGAAGCCCTTTCACATCTTGACCCAGACGATGGAAGGCAACGCCAGTAAGGACGGAGCAGAGGGCGGCCATGGAGCCGTGTGGGAGACGCTGAAGACGATGGACTATCTCTTCATCAAGTTCAAGCAAGCCGCGGAGTTGACCCGACACGAGGATGCCTCTCACTTCAAATCAGGAATCGACTGTGGTTGGGCGGAACTGGAGGACTACTACCTCAAGACAGATCGGTCCCCTGTGTATCGTGCGGCGCTTGCGCTTCACCCTTCCTACGGGTACGATTACTTTGAGCGGCACTGGTCGGAGGGAATGGACAAACCGGAATGGTACAGCGAAATGAAAAGGGCGGTTAGTGACCTTTTCGAGGAATATCGGCAGCAGGCAGAGGTCGAGATACAGGCGCAGACAGGGCTTTTGGACGACGAATCCGACAATGACTACAGCTCTTTCGGCAAGAGATCAGTCACTTCTCTCAATGTGCGGCGGAGAAGAGCCAGAACCGTGACCGAGCTCGATCTATTCCAAACTCGGCCAATTTATGTACAGGATCTCGACGTCGCCGACCCGCTCGAATGGTGGCATCAACATCAACTTGAATACCCAGTGCTGTATCGAATGGCGCTCGACCTGTTCTCGATTCCCGGCATGAGCGCTGAATGCGAGAGTCTTCAGCCAGACCAAGAGACTGATCACAGACGAGCGCAACAATCTGTCAGAGGACACTGTGGAGGCAGATCAGCTTCAAAAGCAATGGTTATCCAGAGGCCTCGTAGAGTAGAACGAAGTAGCAACATATCTGACGCGTAACTTGGGCAGAGAATACTTTGCAAAATGCACACAAAATGCACAACAAAGTATGACTTCTTGTAGCAAATTAAGTAATCAGACCACCTTCAGACCACCTTCAGACCCAGACCGACCGGTGCTCAAAACCCAGACCGACCGACCAAGACTCAGGATTGACCTAGACCGACCGACCGGAGGGGCCGGTCTGAGTCGGTCGGTTTGTTAGCCACACTGTCGCTGTCTTCGCTACAGCTTGAAAAAGCCGTCGCTGCTCGGGTTAGTCCCAATCAATTTTGCTTCTGAGAGAACTTACAAATGCGTTCTCCGTCCCCTCGCGATCAAAACGGCCGTGTTTGTAGAGGGCATTCCGACGAAAAATCTTCATGTTCTCGGCCACAGGATATGGTGGGTCTCCTCCGAGTGTGTCTGGGGATCCGAGCTGTCCCTGGAATCGTGCAATCACCTGGAGATCCTGTCGTGATAGTGTTGATGAGCACTCTTTCGCAAATACGTGTGCTCCCTCAAAACTCCCCTCAATCTCCTTGAAAAGTCCCCCGCATGATTCCAAAGATAATTGTTTGGAAAGCGACGGTAGGGATCTCCACACCTTCGCCGGGTAAACGACTGGATGTCAGACGGAGGCCCTCGGATTGAGGCATGGCCTCTTCGATTGTGCCATCACTCGCATTGTTCGACTCGCCCTCAGTGTTACCTGAGTTCCCTATAGCGTCCACGTCAGTCAAAGGTTCGCTGCCGTCATGACAGGTCACGATGGCGTTCTTACTATCGTCCTGGCGCTCAGGCTTTGGAGCAGCTGTCGTGGCTTCGGAGTGTAGCTTGGGTGGTTGCTGGAGGGCCGAAGAGCCTCTCGCACATGCGTAGGAGTCGAAAAGAGGATGCTGAGCTTGCGTGTTGAAGGCTGTGTAGCGGATGAAGTGTTCATTGAAGGTTGAAGAAATCTGTGAGTAAATACAGAGAAATGCCACCTTAATATATCACTTCCAAGCTAGTGTCAGAGGCTCCTCAGAGAGCCTTTCAGGGGTTCAGGGTTTCTGATGACCCACTTCAACATTGCGACATTGCCTCGACTAGATTTGCTATCACAAGCGCTCGCATGTGCCCGCGGCTAGCGTGTAAGTGCCGCAAGATACTCACGACCCAGGAGTCGAGTGTTGATTCAAGGTATGAATGGAAGACGGAGTTGGTAGCAGAGCTGGGAAACACAATATGGAAGCCGGAAAGGTGATCATACAAACCAGCAGTTTATGGTGGCGTCTGAGCATCGCGATGTCTCGTTTTCCCACTTTAAGGGGGGTGTCCCTGAAGGCTCTCTGGAGCCGCTCCTTTGGAGCTCCTGCTGATTTTCATAACCATTGTATTCAGCCAACATTTCAAAGCGTTGCTCTCTCGTTAGCCCCAAAATCAGGTTTCGTAAAGGTCGCCGTCTTCCCGAAGTTGATGCCGACGTGGGCGGCCCTCCCCCTTGTCAAGAGGCTCCCTCTGCTCAGTCTGCTGCAAGCTTCGCCACCCCCAATACTCCCCAGGCATATGCATGGACGTTGCCGTACTAGGGGGGACTAAAATTCGTCCCTCATCCCCCTCCTTCCAGGAGGGGGGGGAACGCGACCAGGAAAAGGCCAAGCGACCGGGAAAACACGGTACTTATACCACGAGCTATTTTCTTAGGGGGACCAAGTACCCCGATTTTCTTTTAAATGCACATTCCCCTAACAGCCCCTTAACAAATGATGTATCGTGATTGAGGCAGAAAAGTCAATTGAAGCATCGCATCATGGGTCTATCTATTGGTGTTTTCTAGCTTAATGACTTAAAATTCGCCTGCCGGGTTATCAGCTTCCTGTTCCGTCGTGATCTCAAACCCGTCAGCCTCGAGAGTCATTAGCTGCCGGCTTGAGTCTCTATCCATTGTCTCCAGGACCACAAATTCAACTGCATCTCGCACAAGCTCGTGATCATAATACTCCGGCCACGTTTGCGTGCTGCTGCTGCTAAAGACTTGCTGCCTTCTAAGGCCACAAGTGTGGCCATTAGATATAAGATCGCGATGAATGCGATAGCGTTGACAGACCCAGTTGATGGTGTTAAGGTACGCCCTTTTATCCGCCTTAAGCCACCTACCCTGACATCGATGCTGGCTTGGTGTTGTTTTTGTGATGCTATGCCTCACAATGCTCCTGACATCGCGAAGCCAGCGGCGAAGATATGCCGCCTCGTCTCGAACCCTTTTTCCTGATTCGTCGAGCCTCATCTTCTTGAGCAGCCCGCCTGTGGTGTTCATCTCTGGCTGCTCGAATTCGTGCGTCGCTAAGTGTCAACGGTCCAAATTTAGCGACGATGGACGTCTTTCGTGTAGCTTTGAACGGGCAAGTTGCTTTTCCTTGATTCGTCTCATCTCAGCCGTGGCTGTGATGCCGTTGAGGACAAGTGTATGCGATGCCTTCCGCACTTTCTCGTACACATGCTGCACTGACGGCGTTAGTGGCACCCGGGATAGTGAGGAAACCTGGATCCGTAGGTTGACGTATTGGTGATAGTTTTGAATGACAGCCAGGTTGAGCTTGGGGGTCTGTGCAGTCTTCCAGTCAAATCGTCCTCTTGCAGGCGGTATTTTTGGTGGTCTTTGGGGCGTTGCAAATACAATATCGTCTCTAGCCTCGCCGTCAGCCTCGCTACTTTGGCTGCTCCCATCACTTATATAGCCTGGAAGATCCTGTTCCCGTACAACCTGTGTGAGAGAAGATAACGCATCTTGAAGCTCATCAAGAACAATGCTCAGGTTATGGGAAAGAGGCCACATTTCTGCCAGGCAGAGAGGATTGTAGACTTCTTGAACGTTCGATTCCGCACCTCTTGAAGATGGAATAAGAAATCAGTCTTCTTAAAGTCAGTGGCTCCATCGGCAACCTCCCGATATAAGACTTGCTGGTGCCAGTACTTATATGAGCGGAATACACCTACATCGAGAGGCTGAAGTAGATGTGTAAGGTGCGGCGGCAAGGGGAAAAGCTCGATCAAATGTTGCTTGCAAAAGTGGACGATGTCGCTAGTAAAATGGCTCTCGCATCCGTCCATAAGTAGAACTCTAATTTCCTTCGGATTCCGGGGTCGTGTATGCCGCTCAAAGTGCTCAATCCACTCAATCGCTATAATATCATTCATGTACCCCTTTAGGCTTGTTGTGAGGGTTGTCTCGCCGTCAAGTGCGTTTTGGGTCCATTGAAGAGGGATATGAACGCCTGGGAGGATTAAAAATGAAGGAATGAAGTTCCCTGATGCGGAAATAGCCTCAATGGCCGTAATAGAGACTGTATCGTGAGAATCTGTAAGGATTGGGGTCTCAATCTCGTTGAAAGTCCACACAAAAGTCCCCTTATTAAGGTATCCAATCATAAAGCCGGTCTCATCAAAATTCCAGACGTTGCGAGGCTCGATAGTCGATACGGCGCCTTATAAGAAACTCTCGCCAGTCACGGAAGAAGGCTTCCACACGAACCCGGTCTTGCATTGCCTTACGCTTAGCATCTCGCGATGCTGCCTTTTTAGCGTGAAAGAGCTTTTTGTTCCTCTTGATAAAGTTCTTTACCCAGGTTGTTGATATAGTCGGCTTTTCCCCTTTAGCTTGAAGAATGGCGTTGGCGTGCTGTCGTAGGGTGCGACTTGTGATATGATGCCCTTGTGTGATGCGGCGATGAGACCAGCAGAGAATCTCGCTCCTCTGACGGCGAGAAGAGCTTATTCAAGCCCCCATTCTGCTGCACTGGCTGATGCCCTTGGACACGAGACCATAGTCGTTTGTACGGCACGTCTAGCGCCTGTGCCGCCGCTCTGATTGTCCGGTAAAATCCCTCTTTGTATAGCTCCGCACCAGCGACAGTGCGCTCCTCGAGGTTCTGAGGTATGTTGCGTTGAAATATAGGCAGGTTGGTTTTAGAATCGATCCATTTCTGGACCGCAGATAAATGGGACGTTGAAGGAATCATGGCTTTAGTAGTAGTAGTAGTTTATTACACTAGCTAGCCTGCAGGCTCTAGAGCCTCTACGCGTTACCTATATAGGAAAAACCCGGTGGCCCAGGAGGAAAACCTATATACAACCTTCTCATCTGCCTCGGCCCGCGGGCCGCCGTCGTCGCGATGTTGAGCATGTTGGGTCGCAGCCGCCAGCCTGGTGCAGGTGGGGGACCTCCGTCCCAAACTGGGCCGGGGCGTCAGGTCCCGTAGGCGCGTTGTACCCGAATAGCCGTCAACGCGCGCGCAGCGCGACGGAGAACTCTATCCCGCTTATACCTCCTTTCTCAGGAATTTCTTGCTGGTGTTCAGTCGGTCGTCCACGGCCCGCCAAGCTCCCGAGTGTGAGCCGTACTAAGGGCGGGGGCCATTGACACCATTGTGGGGTCGAGGCCCGGCAGTGCGTGCAGGCCCTTCGCGGCTGTTTGGGATTGGGAGCCGACAAGAGTAAAGACCTTCACTGCTACCTTGTTCTCTTTCTACTCTCCGTCCGCTCGTGATCGTGTCGTTGTCGCGGCGCTGGCGGTCCAGCTTCTTGCGAGATCTGCTGCTACCTTGTAGTGGGGTATCGGCCGAAAGTTGAGAAACCATCGGACGAGGTATGGGGCTGTGTCGGGTCGCATAAGAAGCGCGCGGAGGTCGGCGTCAGTGCGGAGGGCGGCTGGGAGGAGCCTGCGGTTGTCAGCTTGTAGGGGGCAGCGGAGGAAGACGTGAAACACTGTTTCCTCCCCGCCACCGCACCGGCAGAGGGGGGTCGTCGCGCTGGGAACGTTCTTGTGATAGAGAAAGCTGTTAAGACCTATCTTCCCCGTGCGGAGCTGGATAAGCGTGGAGCTCTCGTGCTTGTAGAGGTCGGCGTGGGCCTTCAGCCTTCTCCCGGGCTTCGGAGGGGGCGTTTCCGTGTCTGATGGTTGGAGGGCGCGACGAGGATGGCGTGCCTTCGCGTCTCGCAGCTCTCTTTCCCACCTTCTCGTCCATTCACGCCATAGAGCTTCACGAGGCTCCGTCGAGCCTATGCACCAGCGCTGTTGCCACTCCTCGCCGTCATTTCCGGGTTTGCGCCATGGACCCTTGCGTTTTCGAAGCACGCTGCTGACTTTTGCGCAGGCCAGACGCAGGCGCGCCGCCATCCCCGAGGTCTCGAGTCGACTCTGAAATCTCGCTAGCCGTTCGTTGAGGTAGAGGTCAAGCGGCGGGACTTCGGTCTCTGTTTCTAGGCTGCGGGTTGGTGTGGCTTTATACGCGCCGGCGACGGTGCGAAGGCACGTCGTTTGTAGGCTGCAGAGCGCACGAGCCACTCCCCTTGGGCGTCCGTTCGATGGCGTAGGCGTATGGAAGGCTGGGCCTCCATAGACGATGGCGCTGCGGATAACCTTGGTGTAGATCTCCCGTGCGCGCGAGAGTCGACATCCCCACGCAGACGCAGCGAGCGCGGTAAGTGCCACCCGTTGGCGCTGAAACTTGGTCTGATTTGCTTAAGGTGAGGGCCCCATTGGAGCTTGCGGTGAAGCCAAACTCCGAGGAAGCGGGAGGACTCTGACGGCGCTATCGTGGTGTTGCCGAGGCGAACGCACGTCTCGGGCGGGGCGTGGGCGCGTGTGAAGTGCAGTAATTCGCTTTTCGCCGGTTCGAACGCTGCCCCTACAGCGCGCGCCCAGCCTTCGCATGCAGACCATGCTCCTTCGAGCCTTTCGGCGGTTTCGTCTGTGGTTCTGCCGAAGGCGAGAATGTTCGAGTCGTCCGCGAAGCCGACTAGTATTGTTCCCGCCGTTGCTTCGAGAGCGTCGTAAGGGGGCGATATAGAAGAGGAAGAGGATCGGGGAAAGCGGGGATCCTTGGGGGACGCCTGCGTGTATGCTGAGGGGTCCGACGCGTCGCCGTCGAAGAGTAGGCGAGCTGTTCTGTTGCTTACGAAACTCCGGATCCAAGCTAGAGCCATTCCGGGATTCCTCTCCTTTAAAGCCTGGAGGAGGCAGGTGTGGTCTACACTGTCAAAAGCACCCTTGAGATCGAGTTGAAGAAGGGACGCGACACCGCCTCGATCCCACGCCGTGCGCGCCAGTTCTGCGACAATATGGACTGCTACTTCCGTAGAGCGTCTAGGCCGATTGCCCATCTGTCCCTCGGGGAGCAGTAGATGCGTCTCCGCAGTATCGGCGAGCCGCCGTGCGATCGTCGCCTCTATTATCTTGCCCACCGTGCTGAGGAGGAGATTGGGCGCCAGCTGCCTGCTAGGTTAAGTTGAGCCTGGGTCGAATCATGGCTTTAATTTGAGCTCAATTAAAGCATTTCTAGCAAATACTTGACTTTGCGGTGGCAGGATGGTGTCGAGAAGAAGGTCCGAACGATCCGGTGACTAGGAGCAGCCTCAGGGTCAAAATAGCTGCAAGCTCGGTTGGGAGGTCTGCTGACTGCATAGAAAAGTTGAGCCTCTAGTTGGATGACAACTGGAATGAGTTGGATGACAACGGGAATGGCTGAAAGATAGGAAGATTGAGCTGAAGAGTCTGACATGGCGCACGGCAAGTGGCAAAGAAGCAGCCAGCTTCCTATAGATCATTCCAGAAGACAGCCAGGATATTAATAAGGAAGGAAGGATGGATATAATAGGGCTGGCATGCCCCTTGGGAGATGATAAGAGGAGCAACAGACAGCCGACACAGAATACGCCACTCAAACAAAAGACCCCTTTCCATGTCCATTTGCCTACTTTCTTCGCGAGAGATGGCGAGGACAAAATGTCGCGTTAGTGCTACAGTAAGAGAATCACCATATCCGGTATTGGCGGAGCTAAAATGTCTAGTATGCGGGACTTGAAGGAAAGGGGGGATACCCCATTTTACGTGGCTGCATCATACTAAATCTGTGTACTACTCTTTTTTCCCGGTCGCTTGGCCTTTTCCTGGTCGTGTTCCCCCTCCTGGAAGGAGGGGATGAGGACGAATTTTAGTCCCCCCTAGTACTGTATCGATACCTGACTCAAGTCCTTGTGTCTGACCTGCCTCTTTCACCGGAGTTTATACGTGTGCTGATTAGACCGTCAGTCTGCTCCCTCTGACAGAAGCAAACTTCTTACCATCGTTTAGTCAGATATTGCACCAAAAGTAGAACGCGCGCTCCAACAAGTGGTGCGCAATTAACAGTTATGGCATGTGGTCTGTGTGTGATAACAGACAATCAATCATCCTTTTTCATCCACTGTAACCTGTCAGTTTTAACTGACACCAAACTGGCCCCATACGTGAGGTCTTTGTGGGGTCCCCGATACATTGCCTCATAATGATCCTTCAGGTGGCCCTCTCTTGATCCTTCAGGTGACCTACTAACAGCGGTGCCTATACTAGCCGACAGACACAATACCATCTAAAACGAGTAGCACTGGTCGAAGAAGGGGTCAAAGTTCTTATGGAAAATTGACTTCTCCCACTGGAGGATAAATGCGTAGATGTCGAGCTGGACCTCGCTCTTGAGGTGCACGCCGTTGGAGCAGCTCTTTGCCACGTCGTTGGACTGCTGTCGAAGCTCCTTGGCCTTCTTCTCGGCCGCCTTCTGCTCCGGAGTCTTGGACGGCTTGTTGTCTTCTTGGAGCTCCTGCTTGTCGGCGTCATTCTTGGCCTGCTTTTGGCTCTTCCGGGGCTTAGTGGTGCGGCTGATCAAGCCTCTGACCGTGTTCGCGGCAACGGTCCGGCCAAACTTGTTCTTGTTCTTCTTGCCCTTGTCCGGCTTGTCGTCGTCCCCGAAGATGGAGTTGGGGCCCTTGCCGCCGAGTGACTTTCCGGCTCTCCCGCTGGCGTCCTCCTTGCCTCCTGGGAGTTCCTGAGGGGGTGCCTCGGCCGGTTTCTGCTCGCCGCCCTCTGGGTTGGTGTTAAAGACCTCCTTGCTGGCGTCGACGGTAACCGTGTTGGCAATCTTGGGCTTGATACCCACGCCGCCGTTAATGTTGGCCAGGCCCATAAAGAGCTGCGCGTTGAGCATGAACCGAAAGTCAATAAAGGGGTCCATGAGGAGTGAGGCCCTTCCGCCCAGCTTGACGTTGGCTTCGGTGTTTGGCGTGAAGCCTTCCGACTTGGACTTTTCGCCGTCGACGAGGTCGACGTGCCACTGGGCATTGGGGAAGTCGAGTTTGACATTGGCCTCGGCGGTCAGGGCAGCGATGGCTGCAATGTCCATGCCGACGCCAAACTGGACGGCCGGACCGACCGTGATGATGCCCGGGACCGCCAGAAGAGGAAAAGTGAGCGGGCTCGTTGACTTGCTAATGGTTTCCTGAAACTGCGCCATGAGCTGGAGCTGGAGGCCAAGGTCCAGGGCCGCGTGGCCGCTCATGTCGAACCAGCACTCGGTGACGGAGAACCACTTCATCTTGATCTTGCCCGAGAATGTTACGCCCGCCTCTATGTGGAGATGATCAGCGACCAGGGACACGTTCTTGTAGTTAAAGAGCTCCTTGCTGTGCTCCATGTCGTACGACGTCTCGAACTTCTTGGAGAACTCGGCTCGCCTCGAGAGCCCCGGCATTGTGATACTATCAACTGTAATATCCGTGTCCTCTGCTTCCTAGTCAGCGCATGTATTCAATGAGAGCAAAGGCCATGACGGACCGGTCGTCTCCTTGAAATCCGTCTTTTGCACCGCAATCTCAAACGTCTTGGATTCTTGATTGGCCGTGACGCCGTCGGCGCGGTAGATGCCCTCTCTCGGTCTCCTGGTCACAGTTTCCCTGAGCATTCGTCACGAACAGGAATTGTCCTTGGCCGGGCCACTTGTCTTGGGCCGTCTCGAACGCCGTGTTGTCCTTGAATATGACCTTGATCGAGTTGGCATCGCAGACGACACTCTCGATGGTCCCGATGTCCTCGAGTAGGACTGTCGGAAGTGACATCTGACTGGCGACGTTGACAGAACCAGTCTCATCCTGCTTCCATAGCATGGCAATGTCGTGCTTTGGCTCAATGTTCTTGAGGTCCATGAGATTCTTATCAGGTTGAGGAATCGGCTTCAGGGGTGTCTCATCGTCGAGATCGTTAGAGACCTCGAGGTCCAGAGAAGGTTCCAAGGCTGCGACTAGCGCAAATGGCAAAGCCAGAAGTGCGATACAGGGGCTGCGCATGGTGACGATGTTGTTGTAAGCTGGTGTAAAGGAATGTGATGGTGTCGAGATGAGAGTGAATGTGAGGAGCGAGTGAATATCAGAGACCGAGAGTGAGTGTGCAGAGTGACAGTGAATGTAGAGAGTTGGCTGAGGAGCGGATGCTTGAGATGAACAAGATGTCATGACTGTGCATCGTTTATATAGAAGTCCCAAGAGCACCATCGTGGAGGGCGCAGGAACAGGAACCAAGAGTCCATAACAGCCATAAAGATCCAAGGCCTGAAAAATCCACCCAACGAGAGCTGAGGCAGTGAGGCCTGTATAGCCTACCCGAAGAGCTGAAGTTGAACAAGTTGCAACTCCGCAAGGCCCAAAAACGTCGCTAGCGGCTGCGCCATAAATTTTATCAAGTGCTTGTGCTTGACTCGATGTGCGGAAGGGGAATTGGTAGGGCACGATACCATCACCCTGAGTCAAGATGCCGCTTAACACATGTCAGCTTCTTGCAGCTGGCTGAACGCATTTCCACTTTTGCCTGCGTAGCGCGCTCCTGTTAGGTGGGGTAAATAAAAGGCAGCCGGTCTAGGAAGACCGGCGGAGCTTTTCTCACCCCGCCAACCTCTTTGGGTTTTACAATCCCAACTATGGGCTGAAGTTTTAGCTAGGCGACATTGTCAAACATATACCGAGTAACTCGGTAGTACTGCTCCTTCTTTAGTGCGACTAGTCCATTCGACTTGTGCTGCACCGGTTCTAAAAATTGGGACCTGGTTGAAGAGGCGCGCTGCAAACCAACCCCTAGTTAATTATCGTGGTTTAGACACCAGACGAGACTCGGCACAATCACTAGAGTTATAACGGTTTACAATACAGCCGACACATCCTTAGGAGATTATAACCTAAATGTGACGGCCCAGCACCGTCACACCCCCTTGCATACATGACCCACATGTTGTTGAGCCAACGGCCCACACGTACGGAAGGCATATTTAGGGAGAGGACACCCAGTTGTGCTGTTCTGTTCTCCTTTCTCTTCTTCAGAGCAGAATCTTCGTAATAGAGTCCACAGCCTTCTGGCTCAGTGCATGACCGTCACACTAGACACTCCTCTGCTAAATACATTTAAACGCTATAAGAGCTATAATGGTTATTGCGGAAGGCTTTTAATGTTATACGCCAGGCCGCCTTTATATCTATATAGCCAGGTAGTATAAGTTGTGCTAAGATCCCTTCGGCAGTTTAATTACATTTTATGGTAGAACGGACTTCTATTAAGTTGCAACAAACGGATGACTCTATAGCAGAGGGACTGAAGGAATCAAAGCCTGTTGTAAATGCTTTTAATTAAACCACCATCCGCTCTTGAGGCCTCCTAAAAGCATGACACGCAATATAGATAGCATGGAGTGGCTTTTAACCGTAGAGTCATGAGTCTAATCAACAGGGATTACATGTGTTAGATGTCTTATAACATAAGATGAGTCGGGACGATTAGCCGTAATGTCAGTTTAACGCTAGCCAGTAAAAGCATAGCTCGTGCCTTCTTCAGCTGAAGATTTATACACTAAGGCACGAAAAGTACTCGAATAATGTATATGTATTCATTGATTCCCCGTTCCGTTGAGCAATCGATCATCACTTATCGACATGATTTATTGGCACTCATTTGTAGATTCACATTCACTCTTTTTCTCACTCAGTCTTTTGCATCCACCCTTTTCTTGCCGCATCTTCTAACAAACTACGTTCAAAATGAAGGCATCTGCTATTGTTTTCTCTGTCATCCTCCCTGCTGCTCAGGCCAGAGTTAGGAGTTCTGGCAAGGGCAACAGCATGATAGAGCCGGACGCCAAAGCACCCAAACCAAACACGGATCGCGATGAGCAGGCTCCGGAGCCCAACGCAAATACAATCAAAACAATCACAGATCAATATGTCTTTGAGCTCGCCATGCCTGACTTCCTAAAGAAGCGAGACGCAAAAGATCCAGAATCCTTAGACTGGGAAAGTGATGGCTGCACCTACGTCTTCGATAATCCCTTAGGCTTCTCCTTTGTGAATGGATGCTACCGTCATGACTTCGCCTACCGCAACTATAAGGCTCAGGACCGTTTTACTGAGACTGCAAAAGACATCATCGATCAGAAATTCCTCTTTGAGTACGTATCTCTATAATATCACCATTACTAAAACCTATTCCCTAAGCAGGTCTCTGATGCACCTGATTTCTTTTTACCTTTCGGGTTACTAACCAAGTAAAAGTCTATTAGGTGTATGCCAGGAGGAAGGATCTAACTGGTTTGGCTTCAGCCGCCGGGTGTGTTGGCTTGGCGCAAATGCTTATTTCCGGGGTGTCAATCTTTTTAAGCTTGGGGCAAAGCCAGGGAAGAGAGATATAGACCTAGCTATGCAAGATCAAGAACAGGCCGAGGCCGGTTACCAACGAGCCTTGGCTGACTACCAGGCAGCTTTAGAGGAACTTCGAAAGGCCGGCATGATCCCAGGAGCAAACGCCACCAGCACTGAGTCGCCTGGGAAGCTATCAGGAGCCAGCGCCGAGTCACCTGTAAAGACAGCTTGATGAGGTTATTCAGCCGAAGGCTGACTATGCCTTGAGGAACGAGGAACGAGTGCCTTGAGGAACGAGGAACGAGTGACGAAAGGTTCTTAGGGTTCCTCCCCGGGGAGAAAAAAAATTCGCCATCGATTTCCCCCCCGCAAATGCCGCCCTCTGATTCGCTGGCGTTCTCGCTTTTGATTCGTCGGTTGTTCTTTTCTCGCTTTTGATTCGTCGATGTTCTCGCTTTTCATTCGTTAATAAATAAAAATGCATAATGCCCTGCCCCTTGCTGCCCCTTTTAGTTCCAGCTGCGCAGTTCGCTTCCAACGCCTCCGTAGACCATACGCCGCCGCAGACCACATAGAGGAAGGTGCCCAAGCCGGCCCGGCTTCTAACTCCGCCATAGACCACACGCCTCCACAGACCACCCCCTTCGCCCGTCCTCCTGGCCCTTAACCTACACTCCTTTTACGTCAGAAGTGTGGAAAATGCAGGGCGCCTGCGTTACCTGCGGAGCCAGTCGGCCGCCTCCTGTGTTGTCTGCCTGCTAAGCTCCTCTAGCCGGGCCTGCGCTGCCGTCATCTCCTCAGGCACCCGGTTCCCCACTAGGTCCCGCTCCGCACCTCTGATACGAGCATGATGCCGTCGAGCGTCGGGCACCGCGACAGCTGCACGTATAGGCTATACGGGTCGCACGACGACGGCACCGCCCTCCCTCGACCGTCGTCATCCTCGCCCCCCGCAGCTCCAGCGCCACGCGCTCTAGCGTCCCGCCCTGCACCTTATAGTCGGTGCAGGCGAAGGCCGCGGCGCACGGCAGGCCCCTCCGGCTGACGTCGTTGCGCTGCCATGGCCGCTTCCGCTGCGCTGTGATCTTGACGCTGATGGGCGTTAGCAGGATCGTCCCGGCAGGCATCCCGACGAAGTGGAAGTCCTTGGTCGTCTCCGAGGCCAGCACGATGCCCGCCGGCGGCCGAAGTGCATGATGAGCTCCGCCGAGACGCGGTGGCCGGGAAGGCGCGGTCGGGGATGACGTCCACCGCCGTGTACCCGGCCCCGTTCACAAGCTTTAGCCCCTGGTGCGTGTTCTGGTTCACGACGACCGGCATGCCTGGCACGAAGAGGAAGACGGCCGGCACCGGCGTCGCGCTGTCGTCGCCCTGGCCTAGCATTAGCACCGCCTCCTCTTCCGTCGGCACGCCGTCCCTCCACTTATGCTCGGAGAGGAAGACGCGCGCCGCCGTCCGCCGCCTCTCCCGGAACGCGAGCGCCGCCTCTAGGTTGAGGTTCCAGCGGTTCCGGTTGAGCGGCGTCACCACCGTCAGGCCCGTCTCCCACGGGATCCGCCTGCCCGGCCGGTAGCATCTCGAGTTGAGCAGCTCTAGGTCCGACCGGTCCTGCTCGCCCCGGCGGATCCGCCCGAGCAGCCGCCGCAGCTCCGGGTCGCCGGCGGCCCGCATCTGCTCGTCTAGCATGACGACCGTCGTGAAGCGCCGCCACAGCGCGTGCGCCTTGTCGTGCTGCCGCCGCTGCTCGGCCGCGAACGCCCCGTCCTCGTCCCACGCCACCGCCGCGCTCGGCAGCAGGATCGACCGTTCCTGCACCGGCCGGAACTGGTGGAAGTCGCCGCAGAGGATCACTACCGGGATGCCGCCGAAGTCCCGCGCCGACCCCCGCAGCCGGCAGAGCTGCTCGTTGGCGGCGTGCAGCGTCCGCGCCCCGAGCATGCTGACCTCGTCGATCACCAGCACCTCCTTCTCCTGCCAGTCCATCCGCGACCGGCCGTCGACGAAGCGCTCGCCCTGGCCCGCCAGCCGTACGCCGTCAATGTCCTCGTCGCCCTCCCGCCCGGCCGCCCTGGCCGACCGTAAGGCCGCAGGCCGAGTGCAGCGTGATGCCGTTGATCCGCGCTGCCGCCGTCCCCGACGTCGCCGTAACCAGTACCCGGCTCGATAGGTCCCTCCGGGCGAGCAGCTCGACGAGCGCCTCGATGACGCGCGACTTGCCGGTGCCGCCCTCGCCGCCGATGAATAGGCAGAGCTGGCCACCACCGTCGCCGCCTGCGTCGTCGCCCTGCCGGATTCGGTCGAGTTGCCGGCACACGATTAGGAGGGCGATGGCCTGCTTCTCGTTGAGCGTGAGCTGGCCCGCCAGCTCCTGCCGGCGGCGACGAACGAGCTCGACGGGCCGAGCCGCACGCGCATCCCCGCCGCCGTGCCTGCGTCTGCGTCGCCGTCGGCCGCCGTTACGTCGATGTCGTCCTCGCCGAAGCCCCCCATCACCCCGCGAAGGGCCGCGCCGCGGTCGGCCCCGACGCCCGCCGCCGCCCCGCCGCCCTGGATGCCCTGGATCGCCCGCTCCCGCTCCCGCGCCGCGCTCCTCTGCTGCGACTTGATGGCCCGCACCTCTTCTTGCCGCGGCAGTGCCGCCCCGACAGCGCCGAGCCCGGTAGGTTCACCCGCCTGCCTGCCCTCTCGTCCGCCACCACCGTCGCCGCGAGCTCGGCCGCCGACCCGAGCGCCGACTGCTGGAACCGGCAGAGCTGCTGCGTCATCGCTAGCAGCTCTGTTGACTGCGCCGTGACTTGTCCCGCGCTGGCGGCGTTCGGACGACGTCGATGAGCCGAGCCGCGTCGCCCGCCCCGCCGGCGCGGTATGCCTCCTCGCCCCTTCGGCCGCCCCTGCCTTCGTCGTCGGCCTGCGGCGCCGTCATACCGCCCTCCTCGGCCGTGGCGGCCCACTGCTTGGCGTCGCGCTTCGCGTCCTCCGCCGACCGCCGGAGGAGCTGCACGTTGTCTGCGAGCCGCGCGACCCTCGGCGCCAGCGACTCCCGCGCCCGTGCCCAGATGTTGTTAATGTCGCCTGCCTCCTCGCCGAGGAAGGACTCCCACGGCACGAATAGGGCCAGGTGCTGCACCGCCGCCCTAGATGCTGTTAGCCGATGCCCCTAGCTGCTCTGCCTTCCTCTTAGGCGCCCCCCGTCTTATAGTACGCACCTCCGGTGGCACGACTCGTCGTCTTCCTCGCTGAACTCCTTGCTGAGGTATCCGTCGACGCATACAGTCGCCCCGCAACCCGGCCGCCTAAGCGCCTGCACCCAGCCCTTCCCCGACGCCCAGCTCTCCGCGAAGGGTACCTCACCCCAGCCCGCCATACCGTCGGCGCCGCTGCCGTTTTGCTTTAACCTTACAAGCGATGCGTAGTCATAAAGGCAGAGGCCCCGCAGGAGCTCGCCCCGGTGCCGGTAGGCCTCGACGAGAGGGATCCTCAGGCCAGCCTCCTCGACGACGACCGTCTCGTCCGGCGCGTCGCCCGTCGCCTCGGCGCCGCTCGCCCGTCGGAGGTGCCGCCACCGGCGGAAGACGGCCCAGTAGAGCTGGTTTGCGTTTATATACGCCCACGCTGAGCCGCTGCTAAACTCCGCCGGGTACCCTAGGAGGTGCGCGATCACCTCGACCTGCGACAGCGGCCGCTCCGTAAAGACTCGATTCGCCGCCTTAAGCAGGAACGTTCTCGTCTTATTCCCCTACGGGGTCCGCCGCCGTCGCTACCCCTTCGGCCCCGCCCTCCCGGCCGGCGTCGCGGTCGGCGCCACTTCTGTTGCCCTCTCCCGTCGGCTCTAGCACAGGAAGGAACTCGGCCGCGGCGGCCACACGCTTCCACACCGGGTCCTCTACCTTCGTCGCATAGTTAGTAATATAGTAGATTAGGGCCATGGTCTTGCGCTGCGTCGCGATGAACGAGATGTCGTGGTTGTGTCGTAGCCCCACTGCCATCGCCCTGTTCCACCGGTTCACCATGCTATGCGTCCGCCGGATCTCGAGCACCCCGTCCGCCGTCAGCGCCGTCCTCTCCACCAACCTCCACGGCGCCTTAAACCGGCAGAGGTCCCCTTCCGCGCCCCACGCCGAGCGAGTATTTTACGCAGGTCGCGCTATGCGTATGGATCTGCGTCGCGCCCGCGCAGAAGTTGGCCTCCTCGTCGAAGGTGTCCGTGAAGCGCGCGACGTCGTCGAGCCGCGACGATATGTCCGCCGTGGCCGACCGCTCTGCCTGCATGGCACAGTAACCTTCTGCGTCTAGCTCCTGCGGCCTCGGTTCAGCTTAGGCCCCTCAGCCTGCCCCAGATAGGGGGCATGGGGGGGGGGGGGGTTGTGTTAAGGCGGCCGCCTTACCTCAGAGAAGACGCTATCTACGTAGCGGACGATGCGCTCCCGGTACGCCGCCTGCTCCTCCGCGTCCGGGCCGGCGAGCGCGTCGCCAATGCCCGCGTTGCCCCTTAGCCAGAGGAGCCCGTGGATGTGGAGGGCGCCTCGCTCGTTGGTCTCTACCGCCCCGTAGTATGCGCCGACGTGGCCGAACACCGACTCCTCCCCGACGTTGACGTAGTGCTCGAAGAAGAGCGTCATCTCCCGGTGGAAGAAGACGGCCGAGCTCATCGGGTCCGATATGGCCAGCCGCGTCCGCTTATACGCGGTCCCTAGGTCTTAGGAAGGCCTCGGCCTCGTCGGGGTCGCGGCCGCGGTGCGCCGCTAGCCGTAACTTTACTAGGTTCGTAATGTCGTTCGGGTTCAGCGTGAACCAGATAGCCGGCACCCCGTACCTAACGATGAGGATAGTATCTTCTTCCGCATACTAAGGCGGCTCTCCTCGACATTGGCTGCCGGTAGCCGAACACGGAGAGGGACCGGAGGAGCTCTTTACCCCGTCGTCGCTAGTCTTACCTGTGGCCTCGAGCTCGGCCTGGCCGCCTCGAGCCTCTGCGCCGTTAACGACTTTAGTAGGCCCTCGACCCTTGCGAAGTTCTTCCTCGCTACGCCTAGCATGCTGGCCTGGCGGTTCTTAGACCGCACGCCCATGTTAAAGACAAGGAAGGCGAAGATAGGTGCGTCGCGAACCGGCCGCCGTGACGCCGCAGCACGACGTCGGCCCATGCCTGGAGCTTCATGTTCCGCGTCGACATAAGGCCCTCTGCAACCCGCTCCGCCTGGGCGCCCTGGTTCCCGACGCTAGGCCCGCGCTCTCTCCGCGGCGTCCTCGTCGGCGAGCCTCGGCCCGCCTAAGCCAAAGGGAACAGGGTCGGAAAGGCCTTTGCAAAGAAGGAGGCGTCCGCCGAGTCGGCGAAATCCTCGCCGCGTCGCACCTGTATGTACGGCTCGCCGTCGCCGCCGTCGCCCGCCGCCCTCTGGCCGCCGTCCCTACCCACGTCCTCGGGCTGGCGCGCGCTCCTCGGGCCCGACCGCGTCGCGGGCGAAGCGAATCTTCTCGGCGTCGGCCACATCTGGCGCCCCATCTAACGGGAACATGCCGGAAGACGTTACCTCATTGATTACGTCCCCGTCCTCTTCGGGCCTAGCGCCGTCCCTGTCGTCGTCCTCGCACGTGAGCCCGACGTCGCGGCTCCCCTCGGCGGGGTCCTGGCCCTGCCTTAGCATCGCGAGGATTTCCTCGATCTCGGCCGCGCCTCCGTCGTCCATGGCCCGCTCCGACGGCGGCACCACCTGCGCCGTCTGCGTCCTCTCCCGCGCCGACGGCTCGTTTCGCTCCAGCCGCTCGCACACCACCGGCGGCACCGTGCGGCGGCGCCCCAGCTGGCTATCTCCGCCGCGTCGATCTCGACCTCGCCGTAGAGCGGGTTGTTCTCCTTGAGCCAGGCCAGCGCCCTCTCGACCGCCGACCGCCTTACCGACAGCAGGCCTGATAGGTCCCGCGGCCCGGGCCTCTCAGCGCCCTGCCACGAGACGTGGATCTCGTCCATGACCCGGACCAGCGGGTGCGGGAGCACCTGGCAGCCAGGCCCTGCACGTCGTTCGGGAACACCGTGATATGGCCCTTGACGTGCCTCGGGTACCTCACGCTCTGCCTCTGGCCGCCGGGGATGCTATACTTCGTCACGAAGCCGTAGCACGAGTTGAGCGAGATGAGCTTCTCCTCGAGCGGCGTGAGGTCCTTTAGCTCGTCGGGGTACGCGTGCTCGCAGCCGAGCCGCCCATGGAGGTGCATGGCCGGCGACGCCCCCTCACGCCCGGCCCATCGCGCGCACTCTGCGCAGACCGCCACCGGCCTGCCCTCCGGGAAGCAGGCTTGGCACCCGAACGGGGACCGCCCGCCCCGCAACACCGCTCCGCGACCCCCTCCCACCCTCCCACGCCATCTCCTCAGCTCCCCTTGGCCCGCTTCCGGTAGCATAGCGTGCAGGTCGCGATCGGCAGCGTGCCAGCGTCGTGGAACGCCCGGTAGAACTTCCGCACCGTCCTCACCTGCCTCTCGCGCGGCACCGGCGCACACCACGTCTGCTCGTTGGCCAGCCTCTCGCCCGCCTCGAACTCCTCGTCGAGGTGCCGCAGCGCGCTGGCTAGGTCCTCGGCCTGCAGCTCCCTTGGTCTCGGCACCCTTTCACCGACCCGGGCGCGTTTCCGCTCGGCCTGCCCACTACTAAGATGGCGTTTCCTCTTCTGCTTCCCTCGCCTGCCGTCTTATCGCCGATCTACCTGCGTCCGGTTAGCTATCACCGCTACACGCCTTTACCTCGCTCTACGACCGTACCTGCCGAGGCGCTATCTCTGCCGCCAACAAGCAGCCCGGCTGCGGCCGGAGTTGTGGCGGGGATCTCGGCCCTGCTGGCCGGCCGGGACTGGATGGCTCGCGGCGAGTGCTGGCTTCCGATCGAGACTACGGCCGAGCTAGTCCCGCTTGACGGCGGCGAAGGGCCGGCGGCCCTCCAAGTCGGTTGTGGCCGAATATCCCGCGGAACGTCCGAACTTCTCGTCGGCGGCGGCGAGGCCCGGCGGCCTCCACCGTCGGCAGAGGCCGGATTTCCCTCGGTGCGCGCTGGCTTTTCCTGAGGCCGAGACGGCGCTAGGCCCGCCTTGCGGCAGCCGGCGCCCTGCCGCCGTCGGTGTCGACAGAGCCTGGATATCCCGCGGCGCGTCCGAACTTCTCGTCGGCGGCGAAGGGCCGGCGGCCCTCCATGTCGGCTGTGGCCGAATGTCCCGCGGAACGTCCGAACTTCTCGTCGGCGGCGGCGAAGGACCGGCGGCCTCTACTGTCGGCAGAGGCCGGATTTCTCTTGGTGCGCGCTGGCTTTTCCTGAGGCCGAGACGGCGCTGGGCACGCCTTGCGGCAGCCAGTGCCCTGCCGCCCTCGGTGTCGGCGGCAGCCAAGTTGCCGCCGCGCTTGGTGTCGGCCGAGGCTGGATATCCCGCGGCATGACTCGGCCTGCGCTGATCCTCCATCTCCTAGTCCTGGCGGTCTTCCCCGCCCTCGCCTCGGAGGCGCCTCCCTTGACGCCTCTTCTTGCTCTCTCCGAGGGGCGCCGCTAGCAAGTGCCGGCGCTGCTGTGGTCGGCTGGAACTCTGGTCCTGTGTACGGCGCTGCGCAGGCTTCTGGCGCCGGGCTTGCCCCGTCCCCCGCTCCGGACTGGTCCCTTCCGTTGGCTGGCTTCATTGCGACACCGGTCTACCAAAGCCCCCACGGACGTCTTGTCTTCCTCTTTTGCACCTGCCCTCTTTGGCCCTGCCTACTTATGGTGCCACTAGGCCCCTGGCGTAAATCCTCGTAAGTGTAATAACAGCGTATAAATCCTTGCCTCGATTATTCGCCCTGCACTTATCTTGCTGACTGGCACCCTCTTGCGCATATAGGATCCTCTACAAAAGTCTATATATCTTACTCGTAGCTCTCTACTATATCTATATGCGTGCTGCTGCTCTTTGCATTATACCGGCGCCGCCTTTCTATTAAGCCCGCCCGCCATTGCCTGCTGCTATATGCGATAGGCTAGACGGCCTCGGCCGATCCTTATATGTACGTCGCCGCGACGGCTTCTTCTTGCCTATGCTTTGCATGCTACGCTTTTCCTTCTTGTCATCCAGCTCTTATCAGTCAAAGCTTCCGTATGCCCCTAGACACTTGCCCGCTGAAGTTTAAAACCATGTCTTACACGTGTTGCGAATAGGGCTGCCTGCTTCTCCTCAAATATAGCTTCGCGCGTCCTGCTTGTCTTAAAAACTCTCAACATCTTACTAGACCGCCTTTTAAAGTTCTCCCTTCTCTTATTGCACTCTCCTCTATACGCATCTTATAACCCTCTTTTACAAAGGCTCCTTATATAACCTACCACTAACGCCATGTTGCGTCTTTGTTTAGAATCCTTTGACTTCTCTTACACACCATCGCCACTGGCCCTTCTCTTTTACACTAAACTCGTAAGACGGTATATAGGTAGGAGCACTCCTGCCTATCTTTCTCGCCTTTTTTAGCTTTGCCCCAGCAACGTTGTCCTTTTCCTACACGGCCGAGCCATGTCTTCGTCTCCGTCGGCGGACAGCTCTGCCCCGCACCTCCGCAAGCCCCTTGGCTCTAGCAAGGGCGCGGGCAGCGATATGTCCATGATGTTCTTCGCCCAGCCCGACTGCCCCGAGGTTCGCCCACCACGACGAGCACCGCATTAGGGGCCTCAACGCTGAGGCTATCGCCCGCGTCCTCCTGCCGGTGCCCTCGTGGCTGCTCGAGGCCGACTACGCACCCCTCCGGGCCGAGGGCGACGACCTGGGCCCCTCTCTCTTCTTTAGCCTAAACCTCTCTATCTACGGCCAGCCAATCGTCGACACGGACTGGTCCGAGCAATGGTTCTTTATGAGCGGCCGCGTTCACCCCTACGCCCTCGCCTGGGAGGTGGAGCGCCGCGACGGTCTTGAGGCCGGCCCAGACGATACCGTCCTCTACACAGTGCCCGCCCTTATCGTCCGCGACCAAGGCTACCAGCCGTGCGCCCCCCCTTCTTTTTTTTTTTTTGCCCCTTCACCGGCCGCCTCGCTGACTTCTCTCCTAGCGTCCTCCACGCTCCTTGGCCTCTGGCGGCCAGTTCCCGTCTACGCCTCCTGTTGTCTCCTTCCATGGCGTCATCGCCGGGCCTGGCCTTGACCTCCTGCGTGGAGACTTCCTGCCAGGTCTCGGGCCCGACCAGCTCCGCTGCTGCGGCTTCGTCCGGCTCACTACCTACATCACCCCTGGCCTGCCGGACCGGATTCCCTTTAAGGGCTACCACCCCTTCCAGGTCTTTGTTATCTTTCCCATCTATGCTAACCCTTGGGCCGTGCTATGCAAGAAAATTGCTGAAAGGCCTAACTCTTCCTTCCTGCCCGGCGTCCCCTTTACCTGCACTGGAAAGGTCGTCGGCCTTCTCGACCACCGTCTTATGCTCTGCCCCCCGGGCTCAGAGCGCGATTACGTCTTTATCGTCGTCCCGGACAGCTGGAACTTTGTCGACAGGCCCTCGGCGGCCGCCTCCGCCTCGGCTTCCCCCCTTGCTACGCCCCTTAAACGTCAGACCCTATCCGCCTCCTCTACCTTTGATTCCGTCCGCGCCGCCTTGTACTCCGTTGCTGCGCCGGCCTCGGCTGCGTCGGCTCCCCTTCCTTGGCCTCGGCCCCGACCGCCCTCGACCCCGTCACACCACCGCCTAAGCGCTCCCACCCGGCCCTTGCCGATACGCCCATGAAGAGGGCGCGCTTGCTGCAGCAGAATTCGCCGCCTTCCTCGTCTTCGGACACCGTCAGCTCCGCCGCCCCTCCTCCTCTCCCCGCCGGCCGCTTCTTCGTCTCGACCGAGCGGCGTCCCGCCGTTCCCGCTCCGGCAGCCAGCCGGGTTCCCCTCTTGACTCTATTGTCGCGAGCACCTCCGACCCGCCCGCTCGACCTATCCGCTATCGCATGCAGAAATGAGCTGCCTACTATAAACCTATCGCTCTCTTACGCCTCTTGCCTTTACTAAAATAAACCGTTCTCCCTCTCGAGATGCTATTCCTAACGAAACTTATCGCTGCAAAATTACCATTACTCTACACATTACAACGTTTATCTCTTTTTGAAACAACAACTTTAGCTTGCGACCTATTTCTTACGATAGTGCCTGCCTCTATTTGTTCTCCGTGACCTTGTTTATGTCCTGCGCGTTATGCCTTGTCCCTACTTTCCTTCCCTCCTCTCCCTAGCTCCTAGCTTGCCTTTGGCTTGCATCCTTCTTGTGCACCTCCAGTCCTCCTCTTTGGTGTTGCCTGCTGCAGTACGCCACCGTCAGGCATCGGCTGCACCTCCTCGCCCCGCCATCTCTCCACAAACCCGCAGACCTTCCTCTGTGCTCTGCGCATCCTGCCCTTGCATTTGCGTCGCGCCCTTGTTTCCGCCCGCCTGCCTGCCTCTGCCATCGTGTCCTGCCCTCCTGGGTGTTGTGGTTCACGACGACCGGCATCCCGGCCACGAACATGAAGACGGCCGGCACGGGGATCGCGCTATCGTCGCCTTGATTGAGTACCATGATCGCTTCTTCCTCGGTCGGCAGGCCCTCCTTCCACTTGTGCTCGGAGATGAAGATGCGCATCGTCGACCGCTGCTGGACCCGGAACGCCAAGCTTGCCTCCATGTTTAGGTTCCACCGATTCCTGTTCAGCGGCGTCACCACGGTGATGCCAGTCTCCCAGGATCCGCCTGCCCTCGCGGTAGCACCTTGAGTTGAGGTCCAGATCCGTGCGGTCCTGCACCCTGCCGGATCCGCTTCAGCAGCCTGCAATTCCGGATCACCGGCGGCGCGCATTTGCTCGTTCAACATGACGACCGTCGTGAATCTCTTCCACAGCGCGTGCGCTTTGTCGTGCTGGTGCCGCTGCTCGGCCTTGAACGAGTTGTCTACGTCCCACGAGATGGCCGCGCTCGGCAGGACGATCGACCTCTCTTGGACCGGCCGGAACTGCTGAAAGTCTCCGCAGAAGAGGACGATGGGGATCCCCGAAATCTTTCTGCGATCCGCGAAGCCGACAGAGTCGCTCGTTTATGGCGTGCAGCGTCCGCGCTCCGAGCATGCTCACCTCGTCGATGACAAGCACGTCCTTCTCCTGCCAGTCCATCCGAGACTGGCCGTGGATGAACCGCTCCGCCCGTTTTGTCAGCCGCACCCCGTCAAGGTCCTTGGCTGTGTTCGCGCCGCCCGCCCCTTGGTCTTTAGTGAACCCGCAGGCGGGTGGATCGTGATGCCGTTGATCTGCGCCGCGGCAGTCCCTGACGTCGCCGTGATCAGCAGACGATTCGAAAGGCTCTTCCCACTGAACAGCTCGACGAGTGCCCCAATGATCCGCGACTTGCCGGTGCCCCCCTCGCCGCCGACGAACTGGCAGAGCTGGCCGGCATCGCCCCTATTCGTTTGTCGCATCAAATCGAGCTGGCGGCATATTATTAGGAAAGCGATCGACTGCCTCTTGTTCAGCGTTAGCCGTGTTGACAACTCCTTGCCCGCCGCGAAGAAGGAGGTCGATGGGCCAAGCTGGACGCGCATTCCCGCTTCTGCGTCGCTAGCCGTCTCGTCGGAGTCGGCTGTCGTCATTTCGACGTCGTCCTCCCCGAAGCCGGTCATCACCCTCCGCAACGCAGCTCGGCGATCGCTTTCCCGGACTGCGACTGTGGTTTGTACGCCTTGGATCATTCTCTCCCTTTCCTCGACGCACTTATCTGCTGCGACTTGATAGCCTTGACCTGATCCTGCGGCGGTAGTGCGGCCCCGGAAAATACCCGCCCTGGCATGCTTATGCACCTCAACCCTTGTTCGGGAATCGCGATGGCCTCGAGCTCGGCCGTTGAGCAGAGCGCCGATTGCTGGAATCGACAGAGCTGCCGCATCATTGCCATGAGCTCCGGCGACTTGGCCGTCACCTGATTCGTGCCCACTGCGCCTCGGACGACGTCGATCAGGCGCGTTGCGTCTCCGATGTTGTTGGACCGATACGTCGCTGCAAATTCTGCGCCCGCCTCGCCTGTCTCGCCCTCCTCGACGTGGGCGACCGTGGAATCGCCATCGCCGGATGAGGCCGCCCATTGCTTGGCGTCGCGCTTTGCGTCTTCGGCTGATCGTCGAAGCAGCTGCACGTTGTCGACGAGACATGATATTCTCGGGGCCAGCGCCTCGCGCCCGCTCCCAGATGCTATTGATCTCACCTGTTTCTTCGCACAGAAAGGACTCCCACGGCACAAATAGCGCAAGATGCTGCACGGCTGCCCTTTAAGGGAGGGGGAGGTTAGCCACTCTGATGATGCCTGCCGGCAGGGCGGTTGCTATACACACCTCCGGTGGCACGACTCCTCGTCGTCGTTGTGGCCGAAGTCCTTGCTCAGGTAGCCATCGAGGCAGACGGTAGCATGCTTGCCCGGCCGCCTGAGCACCTGGACCCAGCGTCTCCTGGCGCCCATCCATCCTCGAAGGGCACCTCCCCAGGCCGCACAGCTCTCATCCTTACTGGTGCGTTTTAGTCTAACGAGCGATATGTAGTCGTATAAGCATAGCCCTCGCAGGAGCTCTCCCGGTGCTGGTACGCCTCAACGTGGGAGATCCTCAGGCCTGCTTCTTCGACAACGACCGACTCATCCAGAGTATCATCTATGGCCGCCGCGCCACTTGCTCGTCGGAGATACGGCCACCGTCGAAAGACTTCCCAGTACAGCAGAGATGTGTTCAGGTACGCCCAGGCGCTGCTGTTGGTGAACTCGGCCGGATATCCAAGAAGATGAGCGACGACCTCGACCTGAGATAGCGGACGCTCCGTGAACACACGATTCGCCACCCTCATCAAGAACTGTCGCGTCCTGTTCCCTTGGCGGCGTCATCGCCAACAGCACCTCCACCGTCGTCCTGTCCTCCGTTGGCCGTGCCGTCACCCGTTGAGGCGGCCAGGAGATCGGCCGCGGCCGCCACACGCTTCCACACCGGGTCCTCCACCTTCGTCGCGTAGTTCGTGACATAATACATAAGGGCCATGGTCTTGCGCTGCGTCGCAATGAAGGAAATGTCGTGGTTGTGCCGGAGCCCAACAGCGATAGCCTTGTTCCATCGATTGACCATGCTGTGAGTCCTCCGGATCTGCAACACCCCGTCTGCCGTGATGGCGGTCTTGTCGACCAACCTCCATGGAGACTTAAACCGGCATGGATTCCTTTCCGCGCTCCTTTGCCCAAGGAATACTTGACACAGGTCGGGCTATGCGTGTGAACCTGTGTAGCGCCGGCACAGAAGTTGGCCTCCTCGTCAAATGCGGCCGAAAACTGCTCGGTGTTGTCCAGCAGGGAGGAAATATCGGACGTCACAGATCGCTCCGCTTGCACGGCGCAGAACCCTTCCTGATCCAGATCCTATCTTGCACGTCAGCCTGGCCCCGTTTGTCCATCGGACGAGCAATTCAGGTTCTCAGTGACACGTCTTAGCTATTCTTACCTCGGAGAAGACACTATCGACGTATCGTATGATTCGCTCGCGATACGCCGCCTGATCCTCCCCGTGGATGTCGGCAAGCATCGAGCTGAGATGCGCGTTTCCGTGCAACCAGAGCAAGCCGTGAACATGAAGCGCCCTCGTTCGTTGGTCTCCACAGCGCCATAGTACTTGCCGATGCGCCCGAATACCGACTCTTCTCCGACCTTCACGTAATGATCGAAGAACAGCTTCATCTCCCGGTGGAAGAATACGGCGGCGCTCATCGGATCGGACATGGCCAGCCTTGTCCGCTTGTACGCACTCCCAAGGCCTTCTAGGAACTCCTCGGCCGCGCCGGGATCGCGTGTCCGATATGCCGCCAGTCGCAGCTTCACCGGGTTCGTAATGTCGTTTGGGTTGATGGTGAACCAGATGGCCGGAACGCCGTAGCCAACGATGAGCGACTGGATTTTCCGCCGCATATTGAGCCGAACCTCTCTCGACATGGGTTGCCGGTGGCCGTACAGCGAGAGGCTCCTGAGAAGCTCCTTCACGCCCTCATCGGTCGTCTTGCCCGAGCTCTCCAACTCGACCCTCGCCGCCGCTAACCTTTGCGCGGTCATCGAGCGGGCAACGCGCTCGACCTTGCCGAAGTCCTTCCTCGCCACACTCAGCATGCTGACGCGGCGGTTCCTCGACCGCACCCCCATGTTGAAGACGAGAAATGCAAATATGTGGTGCAACGCAAACCGGCCACCATGGCGCCGGAGCACGATGTCGGCCCAAATCCGGAGGTTCAAGCTTCGGGAGGATACGATGTCTCCCGCTGCCGCCCCTGCCTCAGCAGCTCTACCGGTGCCTCGCAAGTTGGTAAGGGCCTTCCCGCCTCGGCTATGGCCTCTTCGGCCAGCCTTGGTCCCCAACGCCAAATGGGAACAGGGTCGGGAACGTTCTGGCGAAGAAGGACGTCTCAAAGGAGTCGGCAAACTCATCCCCGCGAGACTCGAATGTATGGCTCACTGCCATCGTCGCCACGCCCTCGACCCCACCGAGGATCCGACCCACGTTCTCGGGCCCGCGCGGCCGTCGTCGGCACCTGCGCCAACAGCGTCACAGGCAAACCGCAGCTTCTCGACATCCGCCACGTCTGGCGGTCCGTCCAGCAAACATGCCGGAAGACGTCACCTCGTTGATTGGTCGAACGTTCTGATCGGGGCTAGCACCAACTCCATCACGACCCGCGCCTTCTTCGTTGGGCCCGTGCCCTTCAGCCTCGCCTCCCGTTTCCTGCCTTTGGTTGAGCAGAGCGAAGAGTTCCTCGATCTCCACCGACCCCTCGTCGTCCATGGCGCGCTCCGTGGGCGGCACAACGTGCGCCGTCCGCGTTTTCTCCCATGCGGACGGCTCGTTCCGCTCCATGCGATCATACACCAAGGCCGGCACCCCGTCTATCGGGTCTCCCAACTCTCCATCTCCGCCACGTCGATCTCGATCTCGGCGTAGTGGGGGTTGCTCCTCTTCAGCCAAACAAGAGCCCTCTCGACGACCCGCCGCCTCACCGACAAGAGACTCGACAGGTCGCTCGGTGCCGGCTTCTCCACGCCCTGCCACGAAACGTGGATCTCGTCCAGTGCTTGCAAAAGGGGGTGCGGGAGCACCTTGGTCGCCAGCTCCTGCACGTTGTTGGGAAACACTGTGATGTGGCCCTTGACGTGCCTCGGATACCTCACGGCCTGCCTCTGCCCGCCCGGAATGCTATATCTCGTGACAAACCCATAGCAGGAGTTGAGCGAGACGAGCTTCTCTTCGACCAGCGTGAGTCCCTTGAGCTCGTCAGGGAACATGTGCTCACAGCCAAGGCGAGTGTGAAGATGGACCGCCGGCGACAGACTCCCGCGCGCCAGGCATCGGGCACACTCCGCACACACCGACACGGGCTCGCCTTCGGGAAAGCAGCTCCGGCATGAAAATGGTGAGCGGCCGCCCTCTGGCACGCAGCTTGACAGCCATTGATCCCATCTGATCTCCTCAGCTCTTTTCTCGTACGCTTGCGGTAGCACATCATGCAGGTCCGTATCGGCAACGTGCTCGCATCGTGGAACGCCTGATAAAAATCCCGCACCGTCGACACCTTCCTGTCGTGCGGTATTGGCGTACACCACGTCTGATCGTTAGACAGCCTCTCCTTCATGGCGAAGTCTTCCTCCAAAAAACGCAGCACACTCGCCAGGTCTTCGGCCCGCAGCTCCCGACTCCTCTGCCTTCCGATTCCACTCCGAATCTGTTTTCTCGGGCGCTCGTCCGGACCAGGAAGACGTTTTCTCTTCTCCCGCCTCCGGGGCCGCCTCCGGGGCCGCCTCCGATCCATGATTTCTCTCCGTGGCTGATTCGCTTCTTCGCAAGCCGTCGGATGCGGCAGCTTTGGCGACGACTGCCCGACTACGTGCGCATCCCCTGACACGCCATCCGGCCCTTTGCACTGGACAGGCACCGGGCCGTGCTGGCGAACGTTTTCCACGCCGAACCTTGACCTCAGTCCTTGCCCTTTCCAGCACTCTCCTCGTTCTTGCTGCCGATCAAACTGCACGGGCTCCCCAGCCGCCACCCGCGATGAGCCGCCCACCTCCCTTTGCTGCAGCCTCCGCCCGCTCAGCGAAGCGTCCGCTGGCTCTGCCGCGGCGTCGCCCACCCCCACAGGAGACGGCCCCGGATGCTGCGCCGTACCTGCTGCGTTGGAGACACCCCTGCGGCCTGGTACTCCTTTACCCGCCAACTCCGTCCCCGACGGCGCTTGGGCAAACCAGACGCAATCGCTGCTGCTAATTGCCCGTTTTCTCTTAAGTTGTCGAATACCGGTTCCCTAGGCTGGATGGATCGAAGCTTCGGTACCTCCTTCGAATGAACACTCGGGACATCGCCCGCCGCCGCCGTAACACGTTGCTCCTCATCTTCAGGATCTCCTCCTGAGGCAGAAAGTGCCGATGAGGAGCGGACGATCAGAGTCCGCTACCCCATATCTCCACGTTCCCTAGGCAACAGGGGCCTCGGAAGCTGACCCGGTGACTGATGTTGCGCGGAACTTCCGCTGCTAACCATATTATGGAACTTCCGTGCTCTGTTTGACCGCAAACCGCCTCGCGGCGGTCTTCTCGGCAACGACCTCGCAATTGCTTCTGCGTGCTGTCTCCATGCGGTGTCTTCAACCACAGGTTTCCTAGGCTGAATCGGCCGGAACGTTGATGCCGCATTCGCCCGTGATTCGTATCTTCGTAACCGTCCCAGGCTCTCCCCCCGTGCTCTGCGGCCCCTCTCAGAAGCTGCCACCACATCTACACCGGCTCCTGTCGCACCATCTCCGAGCCCCGAACCCGACCCGCTCACGTTCTCACCTCTTCTCCATCCCCGACTGACAACGAACAGGCTTCAGGGTGAGCAACCGCCTCGCTTAACTTCACTGCAGGACTGTCCGCCATGCTGCTGCCTCCTCGACGTCGACTGCCGTAAATTGGCAACAGGCTATAAAGCTTTGGCTCCGGAGCACCTCCACTTGGACAGTCTCGCTTGTTGACGACGCTACTTCTCCCGAATGGGAAGCTCCTAGCCATCACTTCCTCATGGCCGTGGCGTTTCTTCCCTTATAGCTTCCCTATAAAATGCTTCCCTATGGTACCGAGGCGATGCAATACTACCCCTCTATATTCCCCCGTTACCATGCCTATCTATGTGCGTCCACCGTCCCGGCCTCGCCTGGTCTCCACGTGCGACCTGCTACCCCGGCTTTGCCAAAAGCGACCCTTCCATCGCCGTGCTCTCTTTTGCGCACTCCAGCGAATCCTGGCCACTGCCGACCTCCGGCACATGGAGATGGCCGCGACAACCGCCTGCCGCACACTTCAAACCATACTCTTCAGCCCTTCCAACACCATCCTACCAACCTTGCGCATCAGTTCACCATCAATACCCGCCAATCCGCCTCGTCGAGCAACAGCCACAAGGCTGCCGGCGATAACATGTCCATGACGTCCTCATGCAGCCGGACTACCCTTCTAGATTTGCTCCCTCGCCAGCACCAATGTCGCATCAACGGCCTTAATGCTAAAGCGATAGCCAGGACCCCCCTGCCTGTCCTCTTGTAGTCGCTAGCCACCGGAGTCTCGACTTGCAAACCCTCTTGGAAAGTTCTCGTGACCAACTCGCATCCTCCTCCTCAGGTCGACCCATATATCCGACTTCACCGTGTCCCAATAGTAGACTCGACACGGTCGGCACCCGCCTCGCTCAGCCGCACGCAATGCCCATCCAACTACCGACGACCGTCAAAAAGGGAGTCCTGCAATACTACCATAACCTCTTTCTTTCCTTCACTCTCATTCGTTATTGCCCCCTTTGCTATCTACTCCATGCAACGATGACACCGAAGGGGACTACTGGACTTTCTTTCTCCGCAGTCTTACCCACACTAACCTTACCGTTCGCCGACCTCCAACTTCTCGCAACATAGCCATCACCCCTACTCAACTTCCAACCCCCGGCTCCCTACTTCACTCACGACCACAGAACCAGATGGTCGAGACTGCTCGAGAACCTCGCCAGCTCATTCCCGCATACCCCCGCTTCTGATCTATCACCTAGGTAGCATTCACTGACTCTCAAGTCTCCCCGACCCGAGCCACGAGCCCTCTTTCGAGCAGCAAGAAAACCTGCTTTATAGGATGCCTACCTCTACTCTGCCTAACCCTTCCTTTACACTTCCACGGTGACCACATCTGCCATGTTCTCACGATGTCGGCCTCCCAGCTCAACGTCGATACCTCGTCCTCCCGCGGCAACCTCTTGACAGCCAGAAAAATGCTGGCGCCGACATGTCCATGATGGCCTTTGTCCAGCCCGGCTGCCCGTCTAGGTTCGCCTACCAGAATGAGCATCGTGTCAAGGGCTCAACGCAGAAACCCTAGCGAGGGTCTTCCTTCCAACGCCCTCATGGCTGTCGACTCCAGAGTATGCAGCAATCCGGTCAGATCCTGACAATCCATCGACCTGCATCTTCTTGAGCCTTAATATTTCCATATACAACCAACAGATAATCCCCTCGGAATGGACCGAGCAGTGGTTCTTTATGGTCGGCCGTGTTCATCCCTTTGCCCTGACGTGGGAAATCGAGCGACGTGATAGCTTCGAGTCGGAGGATGACAACATTACAGAATACACCATCCCGGCTCTCATCGTCCGCGACCACAGCTACCAGCCGTAGGTGTATGCTCCAGACCTCCGTCACCACTACCATCTCTGACGATGGCCACAGAGTCATCCCTCGCACCCTCGGCTCGGCGGATGCCTTCCCAGCGATACAACCCATTGTCTCCTTCACGGGACCTGTCATCGGTTCCGGCCGCGACCTTCTGCATGGAAACTCGGCTGCGGCCCTTGACGACACCCAGCTGAGCTGTTGCGGCTTTGTCCAGCTCTCGACCTTTATCTGTCCTGGGATTCCGGGCAAAACACCCTTCAAGGGCTTTCATCCCTTTCAACTTTTCGTCATCTTCCCCATTCACGCCAATCCTTGGACCTCCCTATGCAAGAAGATGACCGAGAGGCGCGATAGCCAGTTCCAGCCGAACGCTCTCCTCACCTGCACGGGCAAAATCGCCGGCTTACTCGATCACCAGATCATGACACATGCCCCGGCCTTCGAGCAAGACTATATCTTCATCGTCGTCCCCGATACATGGACTTTCCTTGACAGGGCCATGTCCAACCAGGCTTCTGCGACACAGCTACTGCCGACGACACCCAGGGCTCAGTCGGCAACCCTCGGACTATAGCGATGCGTTGGCCAGGTTTACCTCTACCAAAAACGCAATGCCGCCCCAAGCGGCGCCTCCCCACGCCGCCTGCATCTAGGTCAGTCGATCCTTATGATGACATCAAAGCGGTCATTGCCCGATCCCGACCAAACCCCAACCAAGAGACCGCGACTTTCTCCAGAAATTTCCACCATAGTCGCCGCCTGTGATAGTCGAGGCCCCGCCAAATCCGACACTTCCTCCCTTCTGTCCCACGAAGACCCGGAGACTCAGAGACGGACACCGAGCCAGTCAATCACCCAGCCACATCCGCCTCTGGCCCTATCAGACCTCCGGCGTCAATCTCTTCCCGACCCCACCGCGCCCGACATCCGCCCAAGAATATTCTGTAAAGCAACGAACGAAACAACACAACATGACAAGGAACATGTTTCATCATCCTCAAACTCAAGTGCGAAAGGCCCTAATGGGATATTTCCTTCTCCTCTTGCTCTCCTTTTCACAAAGACAATCCAGTCAAAACTTCTCCAATATACTCCTTATTCTGTTTATATCCACCACTTATAGCACCTGTAAATCCTCAGAGCCTTCCACTCGCCCACACATGCATTACCCACCCACAACTCTCTTCACCCCTGCCGCCTCTCCACGCCCTTTGCGCCTTTGCAAAGCAAAATCTCCTTGCAGCGGCCTAGGCTGCCTCTCTGACGCTCTGTCTCGATTTCACTCACGATAATGCTCTACGTCTCTCGCCGGATCTCCATCTCATATCTCATATCTCACTCTTCTTCCTGTCTTCCTCTCACTTCCCCTGTCTCCTATCTCCTGTCGCCAACTCTCTCCTCTCCCCGACTTTCTCCTGTCGCCATCGCCAACTTTCGTTCCGAAAGGCCTCTTTGCGCGAGCCGCGGCTGGCGAGCCTTCCCCTCGTACATTAATGCCTTGAGGAACGAAAGGCCTTCTAACGTGCCCCGCAGACCCCGCCCTCTCCCCCCAAAGGTTCTCCGCCCCTTGATTGGTCCCTTGTGATTGGTCCCTCCTTGCCTCCCTCCTCGTTGGTCGCTGCCCTTCCCCGGCTTCTGTTGCCTTTTCGCGTGCCTTATCCCACCACTAGGCGCCTCCCACCCTGTCTGCCGCCTGCCGACTCTTCCCGCCTGCCGAACTCTTCATCGCGTCACCTAGCGCGGCCGCCTTGACTCTTCAGCATCACCGTCCAGCCAGCGCAACGCCTCCTCAACGGTCCTCTCGCTCAGTACCTCGAGCCTGGCCTGTGCGGCAGTCATCTCCTCGGGGACCCGGTTGCCCACCAAGTCTCTGTCCCGCACCTTGGACACGAGCATGATGCCGTCTAGAGTTCGGCAGCGCGATAGCTGCACGTACAGGCCGTACGGGTCGCACTGCGAGGGCACCACCGTTCCATCCATCTTCGTCGTCCGTGTCCTCGCAGCTCGAGGGCCACGCGCTCCAGCGTTTTGCCCTGCACCTTGTAGTCCGTGCACGCGAACGCTGCTGCGCACGGCAAACCCTTTCGGCTGACGTCGTTGCGTTGCCACGGCCTTTTTCGCTGGCACTGTATCTTAACGGTCATGGGTGTCAACAAGATCGTGCCCGGCGGCATCCCGACGAAGTGGAGATATCTCGTCGTCTCCGATTCGAGAATGATCCCCGCCGGCGGCCGAAGTGGATCGTCATATCGGCCGAGATCCGATGCCCCGGTACGCCTTGTCGACAATGACCTCCACCGCCGAGTAGCTCGCGCCGTTCACTAGCTTCAGCCCCTGGTGGGTGTTGTGGTTCACGACGATGGGCATCCCGGCCACGAACATGAAGACGGCCGGCACCGGGATCGCGCTATCGTCGCCCTGGTTGAGTATCATGATCGCCTCTTCCTCCGTCGGCAGCTCCTCCTTCCACTTGTGCTCGGAGATGAAAATGCGCATCGTCGACCGCTGCTGGACCCGGAACGCCAGGCTCGCCTCCATGTTCAGGTTCCACCGATTCCTATTGAGCGGCGTCACCACGGTGATGCCCGTCTCCCAAGGGATCCGCCTTCCTCCCGGTAGCACCTTGAGTTGAGGAGGTTTAGATCCGTCCGATCCTGCACGCCTAGACGGATCCGCTTCAGCAGCCTCTGCAGCTCCGGGTCGCCGGCGGCGCGCATCTGCTCGTCCAGCATGACGACCGTCGTGAACCTCTTCCACAGTGCGTGCGCTTTGTCGTGCTGGTGACGCTGCTCGGCCTTGAACGAGTTGTCTACGTCCCACGAGATGGCCGCGCTAGGCAGGACGATCGACCTCTCTTGGACCGGCCGGAACTGCTGAAAATCTCCGCAGAAGAGGACGATGGGGATCCCCCCGAAATCTTGCCGCGATCCGCGAAGCCGGCGAAGCCGCTCGTTCACGGCGTGCAGCGTCCGCGCCCCGAGCATGCTCACCTCGTCGATGACGAGCACATCCTTCTCCTGCCAATCCATTCGAGACTGGCCGTGGATGAACCGCTCCGCCTGTTTCGGCAGCCGCACCCGTCAAGGTCTTTGACCATGTTCGCGCCCCGCCCCTTGGTCTTTAGTGAACCCGCAGGCGGAGTGGATCGTGATGCCGTTGATCCGCGCCGCCGCAGTCCCCGACGTCGCCGTGATCAGCAGACGATTCGAAAGGCTCTTTTACTGAACAGCTCGACGAGTGCCTCGATGATTCGCGACTTGCCGGTACCGCCCTCGCCACCAACGAACTGGCGCAGCTGGCAGGCATCGCCCCGTCGGTCTGCTGCATCAAATCGAGCTGGCGGCATATTATCAGAAAAGCGATGGACTGCCTCTTGTTCAGCGTCAGCCGTGTTGCCAACACCTTGCCCGCCGCGAGGAGGAGGTTGATGGGCCAAACTGAACGTCCATTCCCGCCCCTGCGTCGATAGCGGTCTCGTCGGAGTCGGCCATCGTCATTTCGACCTCGTCCTCCCCGAAACCGGTCATCACCCTTCGCAACGCTGCGCGGCGATCGCTTTCCCAGGCGGCGGGCGTGCTTTGTATCCCTTGGATCATCCTCTCCCTCTCCTTCGAGGCACTTACCTGCTGCGACTTGATAGCCTTGACCTGATCCTGCGGCGGTAGTGCGGCCCCGGAAAATACCCGCCCTGGCATGCTTAACCGCCTCTCCTCGTTCGATCAGCGCCGTGGCCTCGAGCTCGGCCGTCGAGCGCAGCGCCGATTGCTGAAACCGACAGAGCTGCTGTATCATTGCCATGAGCTCCGGCGACTTGGCCGTCACCTGATTCGCTCCCACTGCACCTCGGACGACGTCGATGAGCCGCGTTGCGTCTCCGATGCTGTTGGGCTGATATGTCGCTGCAGACTCCGCGCCCGCCTCGCCTGCTCCACCCTCCTCGACGTGTGCGACCGTCGGGTCGCCATCGCCGGACGAGGCTGCCCATTGCTTGGCGTCGCGTTTTGCGTCTTCGGCGGATCGTCGAAGCAGCTGCACGTTGTCGACGAGACGTGATATTCTCGGGGCCATAGCGTCTCGAGCCCGCGCCCAGATGCTGTTGATCTCACCTGTTCCTTCGCCCAGGAAGGACTCCACGGCACGAACAGCGCAAGATGCTGCACGGCTGCCCTTCAGGGGTGGGTTAGCCTCTCCGATAATGCCCGCTGACAGAGCAGTTGCCATACACACCTCCGGTAGCACGACTCGTCATCGTAGGTGAAGTCCTTGCTCAGGTAGCCGTCGAGGCAGGCGGTAGCGTGCTTGCCCGGCCGCCTGAGCACCTGAACCCAGCGTCGTCCCGGCGCCCATCCATCCTCGAAAGACATCTCCCCCCAAGCCGCCCAGCTCTCGTCGTTGCCGATGCGTTTCAGTCTGACGATCGATATGTAGTCATACAGGCATAGGCCTTTCAGCAGCTCTCCCGGTGCTGGTACGCCTCGACGTGGGAGATTCTCAGGCCTTCTTCTTCGACGACGACCGACTCATCCAAGGTGTCATCCGTAGCCGCAGCGCCACTGGCTTCTCGGAGATGCCGCCATCGCCGAAAGACTTCCCAGTACAGCAGAGAACAGTTCAGGTACGCCCACGCGCTGCTGTCGGTGAACTCGGCCGGATATCCGAGAAGGTGAGCGACGACCTCGACCTGTGATAGCGGACGCTCCGTGAACACGCGGTTCGCCACTCTCATCAGGAACTGTCGCGTCCTGTTCCCCTTGACAGGGTCATCGGTGGCAGCGTCTCCGCCACCGTCCCGCCCTCCGTTGGCCGTGCCATCACCTGTTGAGGCGGCCAGGAGCTCGGCCGCGGCCGCCACACGCTTCCACACCGGGTCCTCCACCTTGGTCGCGTAGTTCGTGACATAATAGATGAGGGCCATTGTCTTGCGCTGCGTCGCAATGAAGGAAATATCATGGTTGTGCCGGAGCCCGACAGCAATAGCCTCGTTCCATCGATTGACCATGCTGTGTGTCCTCCGGATCTGCAGCACCCCGTCTGCCGTGAGGGCGGTCTTGTCGACTAACCTCCATGGCGCCTTGAACCGGCAGAGGTCCCCTTTCCGCCCTCCTTTGCCCAAGGAGTACTTCACACAGGTCGGGCTATGCGTGTGCACCTGCGTCGCGCCGGCACAGAAGTTGGCCTCCTCGATAAACGCGGCCGAGAACTGCGCGGCGTTGTCCAGCAGGGAACCAATACCGCCCGTCACAGATCGCCGCTTGCACGGCGCAAAACTTTCCTGGTCCAGATCCTGCCTTGCACGTCAACCCGGCCCCACTTGGCCATCAGAAGAGTACTTCAGGCTCCCGGTGGCACATCTTAGGTAGGCATTCTTACCTCTGAGAAGACGCTATCGATGTATCGGACGATTCGCTCGCGATACGCCGCCTGATCCTCCCCGTGGATGTCGGCAAGCATCGAGCTGAGATGCGCGTTCCCGTGCAGCCAGAGCAAGCCGTGAACATGAAGCGCCCCTCGTTCGTTCGTCTCCACGGCGCCATAGTACTTGCCGATGCGCCCGAATACCGACTCTTCACCGACCTTCACGTAATGATCGAAGAACAGCTTCATCTCGCGGTGGAAGAACACGGCCGAGCTCATGGGATCCGATATCGCCAGCCGTGCCCGCTTATACGCATCCCCAAGGCCTTCTAAGAACTCCTCGGCCGCGTCGGGATCGCGTGTGCGGTATGCCGCCAGTCGCAGCTTCACCGGGTTCGTAATGTCGTTCGGGTTGATGGTGAACCAGATGGCCGGCACGCCATATCCGACGATGAGCGACTGGATTTTCCGCCGCATATTGAGACGGACCTCTCGACATGGGCTGCCGGTGGCCGTAAAGCGAGAGGCTCCTGAGAAGCTCCTTCACGTCACCATCGGTCGTCTTACCCGAGCTCTCCAACTCGACCCTCGCCGCCGCTAGCCTTTCTGTGGTCATCGAACGCACGATGCGCTCTACCTTGCGGAAGTTCTTCCTCCCACACTCAACATGCTGACGCGGCGGTTCCTCGAGCGCACCCCCGTCTTGAAGACGAGAAACGTGAAGATGTGGTGCAGTGCAAATCGACCACCATGGCGCCGGAGCACGATCTCGGCCCACGCCTGGAGGTTCAAGCTTCGAGACGATACGGGTCTCCGCGGCCGCCTCTGCCTCGACAGCCCTGCCTCGCAAGTTGGCCGTGACCTTCCCGCGTCGACCATGGTCTCTTCAACCAGCCTTGGTCCCCAACGCCAAATGGGAACAGGGTCGGGAACGTCCTGGCAAAGAAGGACGCCTCAAAGGAATCGGTAAACTCACCCCCCCGCGAAACCCGGATGTATGGCTCACAACCACCGTCGCCACGCCCCCGAACCCCCCCGGCTAGGGACCCGACCCACGCTCTCGGGCCCGCACGGCCGTCGTCGGCACCTTCACCAACAGCGTCACAGGCAAACTGCAGCTTCTCCACGTCCGCGACGTCTGGCGGTCCGTCGAGCGCGAACATGCCAGAAGACGTCACCTCGTTGATCGCTGGAACGTTCTGGTCGGGGCAGGCGTCACTTCCATCGCGAACCGCGCCTTCTCCGTTGGGCCCGTGACCTTCACCCTGGCCGCCGGCTTCTTGTCCTTGGTTGAGCAGGGCGAAGAGCTCCTCGATCTCCACCGGCCCCTCCTCGTCCATGGCGCGTTCCGTGGGCGGCACAACGTGCGCCGTCCGCGCTTTCTCACCCAGACGGCTCGTTCCGCTCCATACGATCGCACACCGACGACGGTACCCCGTGTATCGAGTCTCCCCAGCTCTCCATCTCCGCCGCGTCGATCTCGATCTCGGCGTAGTGGGGGTTGTTCCGCTTCAGCCAGACAAGGGCCCTCTCGACCACCCGCCGCCTCACCGACAAGAGACTCGACAGGTCGCTCGGTGCCGGCTTCTCCGCGCCCTGCCACGAGATGTGGATCTCGTCCAGTGCTTGCAAAGGGGTGCGGGAGCACTTTGGTGGCCAGCTCCTGCACATTGTTCGGAAACACCGTGATGTGGCCCTGACATGCCTCGGATACTTCACGCTCTGCCTCTGCCCGCCCGGAATGCTATATCTCGTGACAAACCCGTAACATGAGTTCAGCGAGATGAGCTTCTCTTCGACCGGCGTCAGTCCCTTGAGCTCATCGGGAACATGTGCTCGCAGCCAAGGCGACTGTGAAGGTGGATCGCCGGCGACAGGCTCCTGCGCGCCAGGCATCGGCCACACTCGGCGCACACCGACACGGACTCGCCCTCAGGAAAGCAACTCCGGCATGAAAATGGTGAGCGGCCGCCCTTTGGTACGCAACTTGACAGCCAATGATCCCATGTAATCTCCCTCAACTCTCCTCTCGTACACTTGCGGTAGCACACCATGCAGGTCCGTATCGGCAACGTGCTCGCATCGTGGAACGCCTGATAGAAGTCTCGCACCGTCGACACCTTCCTCTCGAGCGGTATTGGCGTGCACCACGTCTGATCGTTAGACAATCTCTCCTTCAAGGCAAAGTCTTCCTCCAAAAAGCGCAGCACACTCGCCAGGTCTTCGGCCTGCAGCTCCCGTCTCCTATGCCTTCCGATTCCACTTCGGACCTGTTTTATCGGGCGCCCATCCCGGCTAGGAAGACGGGCTCTCTTCTCCGCCTCCGGGACTGCCTCTGTCCGCGCAGCGAGCCGTCCGCTGCCTCTGCTGCGCCATCGTCCACACCCACCTGTGCCCTTGGCCGCCGAACCGGTCCCCGACGGAGCTTGGGCAAACCCCATGCAATCGATGCTGCAAATTGCGCCGTTCGTCTTAGGTCTTGGAAAGTCGTATCCTTGGGCTGGATAGGTCGGAGCGTCGGTCCCTTTTTCGAACGAACACCCGGGACACCGCCGGTCGCCGCCTTATCTCCCTGCCCGTCACCTTCAGGACCCCTCTCCTGGGGCAAAACGGCCGATGAAGGGCGGACTGTTAGAGCCCACTGCCCCTGGTCTCCACGTTCTGTAGGCAACACGAACCTCGGAAGCGGACTCGGTGACTGACGTTGCGCGGAATTTCCGCTGCTGACCAAATTACGGGACTTCCGTGCTCTGCTTGACCGCAAACCGCCTCGCGGCGGTCTTCTCGGCAGTGACTTTGCGATCGCCTCTGCATGCTTTCTCCATGCGGTTTCTTCGACCGCAGACTGCTTAGGCTGAATCAGCCGGAACGTTAATGCTTCATTCGCCACTGATCTGTATCTCCCGAACCGCCCCAACCTTGTCTCCCGTGCTCCGTGCCCTTCTCGGGAGTTGCCCCTGTATCATCTCCGCACCCCGAAACAGGCACTCCCCCGTTCCTACCCTCTTCTCCATCCTCGACTGACAACGAACAGGCTCCACGGTGAGCGGCCGCCTCGCCTAGCTTCCCTGCAGGACTGTCCGCCATGCTACTGCCTCCTCGACGTCGACTAGCGTGGATTGGCAACAGGCTAGAAAGTTTTGGCTCGGAGCACTTCCACTTGGATAATCTCGCTTCTTGGCGTACACTATTTCTTTCCGAGTGGGAAGCTTCCTAACGATCACTCTCATGGCCGTGGCATTTCTTCCTTATAATGCTTGCCTATGGTACCGAAGCGATGCAATACTACTACCCCTTTGTAATCCCCATTTACCCTCCCTATGTGCGTCCACCGTCCCGACCTCGGCTGGTCTCCACGTGCGACCTGCTACCCCAGCTTTGCCAAAGGCGGCCCTTCCATCGCCGTGCTCTCTTTTGCCTCCAGCGAATCCTGGCTACTGCCGACCTCCGGCACATGGGGTGGCCGCGCCAACCGCCCGCCGCACACTTCCAACCATACTCTCCGGCCCTTCCAACGCCGTCCCACCCACCTTGCGCATCAGTTGCTCCATCAATATCTGCCACTCCACCTCGTCGAGCAACAGCCAAAAGGCTGCCGGCGATAACATGTCCACGGTGTCCCTCGTGCAACCGGACTACCCGGCTAGGTTTGCTCCCTCGCCACCACCAACGTCGCATCAACGGCCTTCATGCTAAAGCGACAGCCAGGATCCCCCTGCCTGTCCTCTTGTAGTCGCTAGCCACCGGAGTCTCGACTTGCAAACCCTCTTGAGAGTTCTCGTGACCAACTCGCATCCTCCTCCTCAGGTCGTCCCTATATCCGACTTCACCGTGTCCCAATAGTGGACTCGACACGGTCGGCCCCCGCCTCGCTCAGCCGCACGCAATGCCCATCCAACTACCGACGACCGTCAAAGGGACCCCTGCAATACTACCATAACCTCTTTCTTTCCTTCACTCTCATTCGTTATTGTCGCCTTTGCTATCTACTCCATGCAACGATGACACCGAAGGTACTGCTGGACTTTCTTTCTCCGCAGACTTACCCACACTAACCTTACTGTTCGCCGACCTCCAACTTCTCGCGACATAGCCATCACCCCTACTCAACTTCCAACCCCGGCTCCCTACTTCACTCACGACCATAGAACCAGATGGTCGAGACTGTTCAAGAACCTCGCCAGCTCATTCCGCATACCCCCGCTTCTGATCTATCACCTAGGTAGCATTCTCTGACTCTTAAGTCTCCCCGACCCTAGCCGCGAGCCCTCTTTCGAGCAGCAAGAAAACCTGCTTTATAGGATGCCCACCTCCACTCTGCGTAACCCCTCATTTACACTTCCACGGTGACTACATCTGCCATGTTCTCACGATGTCGGCCTCCCAGCTCAACGTCGATACCTCGTCCTCCCCGCGGCAACCTCTTGACAGCCAGAAAAATGCTGGCGCCGACATGTCCATGATGGCCTTTGTCCAGCCCGGCTGCCCGGCTAGGTTCGCCTACCAGAATGAGCATCGTGTCAAAGGGCTCAACGCAGAAACCCTAGCGAGGTCTTCCTTCCCACGCCCTCATGGCTGTCGACTCCGGGTATGCAGCAATCCGGTCAGATACTGGCAATCCATCGACCTGCATCTTCTTCAGCCTTAATATTTCCATATACAACCAACAGATAATCTCCTCGGAATGGACCGAGCAATGGTTCTTCATGGTCGGCCGTGTTCATCCCTTTGCCCTGACGTGGGAAATCGAGCGACGTGATGGCTTGGAGTCGGACGATGATAACATCACAGAATACACCGTCCCCGCGCTTATAGTCCGCGATCACAGCTACCAACCGTGAGTCTATGCTCCAAATCTCTCTGTCGCCACTGCCCTCCCTGACGATATCCATAGAATTGTCACTCGCACCCTCAGCTCGGTGGATACTTTCCCAACGATACAACCCATTGTCTCCTTCACGGGACCTGTCATCGGCTCCGGCCGCGACCTCCTGCATGGAAACTCGGCTGCGGCCCTTGACGACACCCAGCTGAGCTGCTGCGGCTTTGTCCAGCTCTCCACCTTTATTTGTCCTGGGATTCCCGGCAAACCCCTTCAAGGGCTTTCACCCCTTCAAGTTTTCGTCATCTTCCCCATTCACGCTAATCCTTGGACCTCCTATGCAAGAAGATGACCGAGAGGCGCGACAGCCAGTTCCAGTCGAACGCTCTCTTCACCTGTACGGGCAAAATCGCCGGCTTACTGGATCACCAGATCATGAAACATGCCCCGGCTTTCGACCAAGACTATATCTTCATCGTCGTCCCCGACACGTGGACTTTCCACGACAAGGCCATGTCCGACCAGGCTTCTGCAACACAACTACTGCCGACGACACCCAAGGCGCGGTCGGCAATCCCTCGGACTATAGCGTTGCGTTGGCCAGGTTTACCTCTACGAAGAAACCAAGGCCGCCCAAAGCCCCGCCTCCCCACGCCGCATGCTTCTGGCCCAGTCGATCCTTATGCTGGCATCAAGTCGGTCAATGCCCGATCCCTACCAAACCCCAACCAAGAGACCGCGACTTTCTCCCGAAACTTCCACCATAATCACCGACTGTGACGGTCAAGACTCCCCCAAATCCGATACCTCCTCCTTTCTGTCCCCGGAAGACCCGCAGAGTCAGAGACGGACACCGAACAGGTCAATCACCAAGACACATCCGCCTCTGGCTCTATCAGACCTCCCGCGTCGATATCTTCCCGACCACTGCGCGCCCGACGTCCGCCCAAGAATATTCTCTAAACTTTAAAGCATCAAACGAAACAATACAACATGACAACATGTCTCATCATCCTCAAAATCAACTGCCAAAGGCTCGAATAGCACATTCTCTTCTCTTCTTGTTCTCCTTTTCATGAAGACGATCAAGTCAAAACTTCCCAATATACTCCTTACTCTGTTTATACCTACGACTTATACCGGTAGCACATGTAAATTTTCCGAGCCTTCCACTCGCCCAGACATGCATTACCCACTCACATCTCTCTTCAACCCTGCCGTCTCTCCACGCCCTTTGAGTTTGCGCCTTTTAAACAAAATCTCCCTCCAGCGGCCTAGCCTGCCTCCCCGACGCTCTGTCTCGGTTTCACTCACGATAATGCTCTACGTCTCTCGCCGTGTCTCGTATCTCGACCTCACTCTTCTTCCTGTCTCCAATCTACTGTCGCCAACTCTCTCTCTCTTCTGTAGCCAACTCTTCTCCGGTTCTCTTGTCGCCAAATTTCGTTCCGAAAGGCTTCTTTGCGCGAGCCGCGGCTGCGAGCCTTCCTCTCGTATATGAGGATTGGTGCAGACAGG